CCCCCCCCCCCCACCCCAACCACCCCCCCACAACTCCCATACCCCAATTCTCGATGTTTCGATCTCTCTCGCCTCAGTCTTGATTACATGCAGCCTGTCCGTCCTTGCTGTCCCGCATTGCACAATTACCTATGACACGGCGGCTTCTCAACTTTTCTCGCTACTCTCACCAACGCGACAACAGAGCTGCACGGGCAGCTCACCTTCACAACGTCTTCCACAAAGAAAAGAAAGCTTTCTCCGCAGCATATAAGAGGCCCCGATTCTGATAATAGCAACGACATCCCGCTGGACTCCGTTGAGGAACGCGAATCCCAGTCTCCCAGCGATTTGCCGCGCTTCGACCTCCCCACCAACGACGACGCCCGCTCGGATTCAGCCCTTCCTCCCCACATTCCTCCGCACCTCCATAGCTCCTCTTCCCTCAGCGCCCCAGACTACATCCACTCGGCAGCGAGCTCTCCAAGTGCTGCATACGCAGGTTTGTCCATCGAGGGCGAGAGGGCTGGAGACGCGACGTCAGCCTCCGAGCTTGGAAGAGCCTCACACTCTCTGAACGAACAGGACACAAGGGGGCAGTCTCCACTCCTCCCTTTCTCGCACAGGGCTATTATGGGAGGGGCAGCAGATCTTCCTCACCGATCCTCGTCGCCACTCAAGAGACGTGCGTCGGATTTGGAAGGGGAGGCGCCATCAAGCCCGAAAGATGATATCGATATGATCACAGTCCCTCCTTCGGACACTACAGAGACTGCCGATTCATCTACACAGCCAAGCCGTGCCCAACGGGCACAATCTGTGGATATGCTGAAGGGTGAACCAGATGCAGACACTCCCGCCACCTCGACTCAGACCCAAGACCCTTCACCTTCTTCTTCCGCAGAGACAGGTTCGTCAAGATATATGCCCCAGTCCTCAGAGTTACAGAAGCTTACTTGCCGCCACGCAGATATTCCTCCTATTGATGTACAGATCAAGACGGTTACTACAGTCTGTGAAGCGGCGGACCAACATCAACTCAATGAAGGGGACAAAACGTACCTAGTATCGAAATCATGGCTCAATCGTGTCCTAGCTCGAGGCTCAGAAGCCAGGCACAACAGCAAGGTGGACCCCGAAGGAGAGATTGGCCCAGTCGACAACTCCGACATCATCCAGCAGATCATCAAGGATTGTGACGGTGAAGACTTTGTGCAGTTAAAGCATGGTTTAGGCACAGAGTCATTCAGCCTTTTCCCCCAGGAGGCTTGGGACCTTGTGATGGCTTGGTATGGCCTCATGCCAGGGCAGCATCCTATTGTTCGGTACGCACACAATACGAACCCAGACAGGTCAGGGATTCCGAACGTCATCTACGAATTTCATCCTCCCATATTCACGGTGCATCGGTTGTGGTCGGATAGTACCTCACTTATTCCTCAGCTACTCAAGGTGCAGAACCCTGTGGCCCCAGTCATCGTCGTTAGCAGATCCGTTCAATATATCGAGTTCTTGAGGAAAGCAAAAACCAAGGCCAACATCGATTTATCCAAGAAGGTGCGTGTTTGGAGAATCCCTCGAAAACAGCCTGCCGCCGATCCAGTGCCGCCTACTGGTGATCTCACAACTCCACCCTCCTCAAGACCAAGCTCTCCTGCTCCCGGAGCAGCAACTGCTCCGAACCCAGGCGAACCCCAGGATTCCTGGACTCGACTTCTTTTGGATGTGGCTACGTTCTCACAGCTCAAGAAGGGCTTGGAGCGAGAATTAGTTAATGCACAGGATCAGAGCGGCAATCCGAAGTACAATGGTCACAGTGACTTGGCTTTTGTTGGACTAGGCGATAACCAAGCTATTGTCCTCGATGAACAAATTGACCATGACACCCACGTTTCGAATCATGTGTCGAAGACGAAGACCTCAACAACAGGCACTCGAACGGGGGTATCAAATCTATCTCACCAGTCGAACAGTCAGGCGAACAGTGGCCGAAATAGCCCCGCACCATCAGGATATAACCTCCGTGGCCGAGCACAGAAAAATGGTCGAGTTCCTGGGACTGTAGGCTTAAGTAACCTAGGGAATACGTGCTATATGAACTCAGCCTTGCAGTGCGTTCGAAGCGTGGAGGAGTTGACGAAATACTTCTTAACGGACAGTGCCCAAGAAGAGCTAAACGTCGAGAACCCGTTGGGCAATAATGGCGAAGTTGCAATGGCATATGATCACCTTCTCAAAGAGATCTACAAAGAACCTGTCCCACAGTCTATTGCGCCACGACACTTCAAGAACACTATTGGTAGATACGCACCGTCATTTTCTGGTTACGGCCAACAGGATTCTCAGGAGTTCCTTGGATTTCTGCTTGATGGCCTCCAGGAGGATTTGAGTCGTGTAAAGAAGAAGCCATATATTGAAAAGCCTGATTCGACGGATGACATGGTCAACAATCCGGAGGCAATTCGGGAGATGGCTGCCAAAGTCTGGGATATTACGAAAAAGCGAGATGATTCTGTAATCGCCGATCTGTTCACTGGGATGTACAAGTCAACTCTGGTCTGCCCTGTTTGCGGCAAAATCAGCATCACGTTCGACCCCTTCAACAACTTAACCTTGCAATTACCGATCGAGAACTCATGGTCACATACTGTCTATTTCTTCCCTCTAAATGACGCTCCAATGCTCATACCTGTCGACATGGATAAGCAGGGAAGTTTCTCAGCCATGAAAGAGTACATGAGCAAGAAGGTTGGGGTTCCGGTCGAGAGATTATTCATAGCCGAAGAGTTCAAATACAAATTCTACAGGATATACGAAGATTACAAATCTGTGTTCGAGGAAATTGGGGCCAATGACAATGTTGCGGTGTATGAGCTGGAAGCCAAACCTACGAACTGGCCAGAACGCCGCAAGCCTACGAAGAAACAGAGGGCCAAACTGGCGAATGCGAGCAACTTGAGCACCGAATCCGAGGAAGATGACACGCAAAGTTGGGAGGATGCATTGGCAGAGAAAATGCTGGTGCCTGTATTTCATCGTCGCCCGAATAAGGACCGTAATCGCAGCGGATACAAGAAGAACTGGGCCCTCGTTCCGGTTCCCCATTACATTATCCTGACTCCTGAAGAGGTAAGGCGATATCTCTTTGTGATTGAACTACTATTAACAGGATCATAGGCGAGAAGTGAGGACATGATCAAGCGCAAAATTCTCGAGAAGGTCGCAACATTTAGTACATCCCCAGAATTCGAAGAAGACGATGAAGCCAGCACCAGCGTTACTGATAGTGTGGACCCGGATATTGTTCTTACCAATGGCTCCGACTCATCTGAAGGAAAAGTTGTTGCCAACTCTGTTGATGGCGAAGATGGAATCGTTGACGTAACCATGAAGGAGTCGAACGGTGTTCGTGAGTCTGTTGAAAAGGATGCTCCGAAATCAACAGCAGCAACGCAGACTTCCAAACCTTCTTTCAACAGGCGTCGACCAAAGTTTCTTCAGCCCGGTTCTTATCTTAATCCGGCGTTGCAGAACATGTTCGATCTTGGCTACTTCTCAGGCCCGAAGGACTCGGTCCCCACGGGATGGAGCGAGGTCGATGAAGATAGAAACTACCCATCCATTGCATCAAGGAATCCTCGCCTGCAGCGAACCTACGAGGACGAGTCAGGGAACGATTTCGACATGGCCAACGGTCGAACTGGTTCGGAGAGCAGTAATGATGATGATCAGTACCCTTCGAATACTCTGTCAAGCGCAACACGAATGAATGATGAGTCAAGTGAGGAGGATGAACCCTCACTCCCTAAACCCAATGTAAGTAGAGCCCATTTTCGTTATTGAACCCCATTATCAAGCCTTATGACGTATTATGTCCCCCGGACCCCTTTTTGGGTGCTTTGTTCTGCAATCTTAGATTCGGCCCGGGAAAGTTGATCTGACCCAAGACCCTAGGCTCTTGTTTACCGAACAGTGGCAAAGAAAGCCGGGGTTAGAGTAGGTTATGGCAAAGGCCGCAATAGCCGTGGTATGAAAACTTACTCGAGAAAGGGCAACCGGGCATCACGAAAGGTACCCAACATGAACGACAGCGACCAAGACGCGCCTGATGACGGACCTCTCATTCGTCTTGGTGAAGGCATTGTTGTTGATTGGAAAGCCGACGCTTACGAAGCAATGTTTGAAGCCGACGGTCCAGATGACAACTTGCGGGGGCGTTCAACGTTCAGTTCTATACCGACCTTCAACGATACTGAGCTCATCGCCAAGCGTTCAGCTCGTGCGCAACGGAGAAAGAATGGTATCACTCTAGACGATTGCCTGAATGAGTTCGGCAAAGAAGAAGTACTTTCTGAAGCCGATACTTGGTATTGTCCACGATGCAAAGAACACCGAAGAGCAACGAAGAAATTTGAGCTCTGGAAGACTCCTGATATCCTCGTCATGCACCTCAAGCGTTTCAGCTCTAGCAGTACTCGGCGAGACAAGCTCGACATCCTTGTAGATTTCCCTATCGAGGGCCTTGACCTTACCTCAAGGGTCATGGAAACGGAAAATGGCAAGCAAGAGATTTATGACCTTTTTGCTGTTGATGATCATTGGGGTGGACTCGGCGGTGGTCATTACACTGCATTTGCGAAGAACTTTGTGGACAACGAATGGTACGAATACAATGGTATGTACGAATCCTAACCTTCCAATATACTCATTTTTAACTAATTTCTCTAGACTCGTCAGTTTCGAAGCAGAAAGATCCTTCACGAATTGTCTCGCAAAGTGCCTATCTGCTGTTCTACCGACGTCGGTCAGACGTACCACTAGGTGGGCCCAGATTTCAACAGATTATCAAAAAGTTCGAGAATTCCCATGAACCGTCAGAAGACGATACAGCCAAGTCGGGGGAAGACCAGGGCCTCGACGCAAATTCTTCCCTTCGTGGGTCGTCGAGCGCTTTGACAGAAGTAGGAGCAGCTCACCATCGAGCAAACAATGGTTTGGATAAGACAGTAAATCCACAGGAGCTCGAGGGTCTGCCAGCCTACAAAGCCCACGAACTGAATGACGAGGATGCAGCCCCATTACTGTTAGGTGATGCGCAGATGAACGACGGTTTGCCACTCGAGAGTATTGAAGATGAAGGTATTGACATGGACATGAACTACAACAACCTTGGTTTAAGTACTGTTGGGCTACGCTCTTCCAAAAACACCGTTGGCAGTTGGAACTTAGCTTCTGACGCTCCAAAAGCCATCGCTGGGAATTGGAACTTTGCCGGCCTCGAAGGCTTAAACAGAGAGCAGAATTTTGTTTCCGGGACGGGATCTGAGGTAGACCTCGACGATAACTCGGGGAATGATTTCGATCTGGACGGCAGCGATATTGTTCAGCATAACTCGTCGGCAAGTTCGGGTTCTCTCAGAGGACGTCTCGAAGATTTCGAAAATGCCATCCCAGAAGGTGATAATGGTGTGTTCGTGGATCCGAGCCCGGTGCCGGACATTGATGACGATGACCAGATAGACAATTTAGCATTGCATAGGGATCTCTTAGAGACCCATAAAGGTGGCGCGAAGCTCCGGCCGGAGTTTGAGGTCCCTGTTGAACATGAGGCCGAAGAGGTTGAGGAACCGGCGACGGAGATTCATGTCGAGGAAGGCGAGGGTCTGAAGATAGATTAAGTGCAGAGGAACCACATTCTTTGCGTAATGAGGTAGACTTGGGACAATGGTGTGCTTTGGATGGGATGATAAACTTGATGCTCACATGCTATCGCTGAATACGCGAAAGAGCTATGACTTTATGGACCATGGGAGGAAGGGAACTGGCTGCATACCAGAAGTATTGCGGCGCAAAATGTATGGACAGTGAAGTTACTGTATCGATACTATAGAAGCAGTCTTTAAACAGTCCTCTCGCTGGAGAGTTAGTTACCTTGGCCAGAGGCTCGATGCAAAACATCTTTTGAGCGTGTCTGCCTACTTGTTGATCCTAATCTCCGTTCCATATAGCCTTCCTTCCCTCACGACCCTCCCTTCTTGAGTCAACTGCGCACACACCTTGCTTGCCGTACCCTTCTCCCGCCATTATACATACATATCACGATCTTCAATTCCCTGCGCCTCTCAACTCCGAGCAGTGAGATTTCGAGTTCACTCTTCCCTATTCTATTATATAGGTTTTCACCATCCACCCCCCGCTTCTCGACACGGACTTATGTCATTCAACGTGAAATCTTCCATTTACGGGAGGCGTGGGGGACTACATCGTTCAATACCGGGTTATTACACTTAGGCCTATATGCATTCATATTCAGCCGTCCGACAGTATGTATGTATTACAGGACACGAACGCGAACACGATATCTAGCAAAGCTCGCACAGGAAGAACGCAGACGCAGAGTAAACAAACGCTGTGCAGAAGCCATGTGCAAGACAAATCTAGGGAAACAACATAAATAATAAAGCTCTTCAGAAGGACCCCAAGCTCTTCAGAAGGACCCCAAGCTCTTCAGAAGGACCCCAAGCTCTTCTGTAACAGACCGTCTTAGTTTGAGTCCACAGATGAATTAATTATTATTATCGTTTTTGCATTCAAGAAAGAAATCTCGCGGTTTGCTACAACTACTACACTACAAATACGGCCAGTTGTTCCTTTCTCTAAGCTTTCCATCCATCATTCATCTCTTCCTATCCCACAATTGATCCATCCGCGAAAATTGATAATATATATACATAGGTAAGGTACGTACCCGTAAGATACAACAAACACAAACACCCTCTCATGTGAGAGGAGTCTCAAACTCGCAAAACGCCGTTTCCTGCCCTATAATACCATGACGGAACCGTAAATCCCTTGCGCAACTCGCTGCAAATACAATTACCGAAACAAATACGGGTTTATCCTCAAGGCTTTTTTTCTACCCTGCAATGTCATCATCATCATCGTCCGTGGAACCTTGATGATATTAGGGCGTGGGTGATAAAGGGTCACTATAAAGGCGAGGAATCAATATCCAACACCTCTTCCGCATCAGCCTCTTCGCGGAACTTGATCCCGCCTTCGACAGCAATCGCCCCCTTGACCCACTCCAGCTCGGCAACTTGCTCCAACGTCCAGCGATTCCTAACTCGTTTTAATAGTCCCTCCGTTGCTAGCATGGCACCTTCTAACCCCTTGGCTCTAAACTTTTCTGGGTCGCTTTCACGGTCCCCTTCATCCCCGGCGTATTCGATCCATACCCATTCAATTCTCGCAATGCGATGAGAGGTTCGACTGCGCATTCGTTGCGCTTCGGACATTCTTGGATGGGGGTCAAATGGCAATCGACTCTCGAGAAGGGCATATAGAAGGACACCCAGAGACCAAGCATCAATGGCGCGTCCATCATAGGGCTGGCCTAGAATCACTTCTGGCGCAGCATAATCGTCGGATCCGCACCTAGTAGTGAGTTTTTCATCATCAGCAACGTGGCGAGCAAGCCCCAAATCTGTAAGTGTAATGATTGAGTATGGATAGACTGTCCAGTCTTGATTACGAGCGAGCTCATAGTGAGTGAGGTTGACGAGGACGTCTGTGATATATTAGTTTGGTTCACGTGAGAAATAGGGGATACGACTGACTCTCAAGTTTAATATCCCGGTGTACAATATGTGCCCCATGCAGGTACCGCACTGCCCCGACTAACTCTGCAAATATACGTCGTAGGAGCCCTGGAACCATGACATCTCGATGGCCACTTGCTACCTCGAAGAGATCTCCCCCAGGGCAGTAATTGAGGACCAGAAGAGCGCGTGTTTGTTCGATATTCCACGCTTTGAGACAAACTAGTGAGGGATGGTGAATTGTCTTCATGATTTCCAACTCGCGCTTCAAAGACATCTCCACTCGGTCCTCAGAAGCGCCTCCTTTCGGCCCATGCTCACAGATTTTGATGGCGACCAGTTTCTTCCGGTCCATCTTAACCTCAGGCACAGGTGTTAGGATACCTTCCATTTGTTGATCGAAATGTTCGTTCTCATCTGTGCTCCTGTCTTCTCCGTCGAGTTGGCTCGTTGCTAGTATCACTTGGCTGAAGGTTCCTTTCCCTAAAACTTTCAGGCCTCGCCATCTTTTTTTCTTCTTACCATCTCGAGTATACGCATCATAATATTCATATCGCGGCTTTTTCGCCCGAGTGAATTCTGCAGCTGTTAATGGGGAATCGCTATCGCTACTTTCGCCCCCCGTTCTACTCGACGGCGGCGTTGGAGGTCTACCCGAGGATCCAGTTAATACCATGCTTGTTAAACATAAGAGATGGTTTGGGGTTTGAAACATGATTCAAAGACTCAGACATATTTATAGGTAAAGGAAAGAAGGAATTTGTGTTGTATGCTGAACAAAGGAGTCTGCTCTGGGATACCTACCGAGGTACAGGTGCCAAACCTCTTTGTACTGCCAAATGCGGTTCTCGTCGCAAGTGCATATCCAGCGAGGCATCCGATTCAGCAGCAGGATTAAAGATAGTGGGACACTGGGAACCCGAGACTGTGATATGTCGAGGCATTGAGTTCTGCACTGCTTCCGGCACATACTCGCTGAGACTTCTATTTCTCGTATGTCCCCCGGCATTCTTATCTCTGTTCTTTATTGTGCTATTCAGGCCCGACTCATTATTTCCAAACCCGTGGAAGGCGCGGCGTTTTGACTGGTTTGCTATTGCTGAGGCTATAGACTCGCCGTTAGCTGTAATGAGGGCCGAGTCCGCCGTGGGAGGTATTAAGGTCTCTCGAGAAGTAGGTCCCGACGTAAGTTTCCTCCAAGGCCCTGGTGAATCTCCCGACATGAGGGGTGACGGTAGGGGAGTAACGTCTGCCATAGCATTCAACATTGGTGAAGACACCACAGAATTTGGCGCGGAACCGAGACTCGTGTTACTGCCAACGCTACTCGCAAGTACATTCTTGATACTTGGCGTTCGTGCTATCCCAATTGTCGTTGCAGGTGCGCGGGAGAATTCTTCCGAGCTTCGTGCAGTATTAACGGCGCTTGCAGCTGTGACTGTGCATCCAGGTACGTCGGTTCGTATTCGAAGGCCTGCGCTGAGAGGACTCGAGTGCCCGCTGCCAGTGTCTAGGGATGTGTGAAGGCGAGACGATGTATCCAGAGCGCGAAGAGATGCGCGATCGTTCAGAGGTGTAGAAGGGTTTGGCGGTGGCGAAGGAGCTATCGTGTTCGACTTGAAGATCGTAGCAGCGTTCAAGGTTTGGGACGAGGATGGGAGATCGGGATTCTGCTCTGTGTTCAGCTCATTCACGACCGTGTCGCCATTCCTCCGTTCTGCAGTCGCAATGTCTGTCAAAGCCGCTCTGCCGCCTCTGTATCGGGGAGTGGGGGTCTGAGGCTCCGAGTCTGACATCGCGGGAGACGCAGCTCGCGACAACGACAGTTGTGTTATCGCAGAGTAATCGGAATAGCGGCCTTGGATATGCAGTGCGACCTACCTCGACATGTAGCGCGAGGTCGATTGGAATTGGCGGACAGCCACATGTAAAAGAGGGAGAAGAAAGAGAAATTGTAGAACAGAGGATTTCCAAAAGACGTCGATCATCAGTCAATACGTTGCAATCTAGTTTTGGGGGAACTGTGGCGAGGGATGCGGGGGCTAAGCCAGATCCAGCAAGGCGGTAAGATTACGGGGAAAACGAAGCTTAAATAGACGCGGAGAATGTAATCGTTGCCTTTAGGTAAGATCTAGGTTTAAATTACGGCATGTGTTATTTGACAATTTGATTGTCGTATCTACTTTTATATTGATGTAGGGATCCATTCATGTATCTGGGTGTAAAAGCTGTATCTCCCTATTATCTTATCTTACCTACCCGTCCCTCTATCTGGGTCAAGGGTCTCGCAAAGAAGCTCAAATCGTAAGGTTTCTTCCATTCCACAAGACGCAGTTCTTCTCACCGTTTGTGTTGCGGCTAAAGCTTTTATTACGAAAATAGCAGCAGAGTAATTGCGATTCATGTCAACACGGGGAGCCTTAGCCGTCCCCATTGGCCGGATAGCTTCGACCAGTTATAACAGAAAGAGTCTGCTCTCGGTGCTTACTACTAGATGATTAGCGGTGACAGGAATAACCAAGTTGTGATACATTTAGGGACTCCCACAAATCTAGGTGCCTTCCATTTTGTTGTGCAATGCACTACTAGAAGCCGCCTCTAATAGCCTCCCTATTCATGAATGATATTTGTTCCAATGTTACCACTCTCTTGAGTCCTTCCCCAAACTTGATTCCAGACAAGGGCTTCACATGTTGTAAACCCCTGTTCTACCTAGTTTCACAGTTTCACGCGTATGCTTCAATTCATGGCCCCCTCCTTTCGACTCCACGTTCCGACAAACACTACCAGAGCCGCAGCGTACGCCGCCGTGGCCGCAAAGATATCTTTACATGAGGCATCCTCCATCCAAAATGATAGGATAAGTCCAATCGCCAACGTCGAAATACCCGTGGTCAGCAGGACTGTCACCTTCCTGGCATCCATGACCATAATTATCATAGGAATGGTCAGCGTTGCTCCCCTGAAAATTGCCATTGCAACCCGACTTATCAGTGCTCGCTTGGGATGTGTGTTATCGTTAATCTTCTTGCGGAGTTGGCAGAAACAAGCGTGGGTCCCAGACAATTGCACATGCGAGAAAGCAAGTCCTTGTAAGCATTGGAGGTAGGGAAGCTCGGAGATATGGGGGTGGCATGTTGACAGGAGATCTGATGGCTCTTTTTCCAAGTATTGGATCATGCATTGTAGCCAGAGTTCGTAGCTTTGGGCCAGTTTTGCTTTTCGCAGGTTGTCAGTATTTTTTGGGTTTGAATAAGACAAAAGTTGGAACTCACTGTAGAGTTCTGTCATCTTTTGGATTTCGTCCCACTGCTCTGGAGTACATCCTATTTGGTCTTAGGCACAATTTATGGGTGTGAATAGTGGTCCATCCACTCACGTCCCTTGCACTTCTCGTTCTGGCTAAGGAGGATCCAGGCGTGCTCACGTAGCGAAGCATGATATAGGATGTTGTCGAGATATAGTGTTCGAGCCATGCATCTGTGCTCCAGAAGGGGGGGGATGCCAGTCATATCATACTTATCATGGGATCCTGGCGATCCTTCTGAAGGTGTGGATATGTTCTCTCTCGACTTGTCATCTTCCTCAGATGTTGGTGACAAAGGGGGTTCCATCGGACCTTCATCCGGGGAATTGCGAGATGCGTGATTGCTATGCGCCTTTGGTCTTCCAACCTGGAAATCTTTAAATCTGTTGAATAGTTTCATTTCGAGTAATTCTGTGGTAGTTGGAAATATTAGGAGCAAAAGGGATTTCGAAGCCTTTCCGAAGTTTGGAGTACGATTGACAGAGACAGTAAGGGGGAAGGAACGAGCGGTCCTGCCTTCCATGCTTCATACATCGCAACTCAAATGAAATAGATGAAGTCTTTATTGAATCTCTCACGGTCTAAGATATGCCAACTGCCTTGGGTAGGTCTAACAACGCAGTCTAGCTCTAACCTCTAATGTCTATGTCGTTATATCTCATCTATCATCAACCTCAAGTCTAACAACCCCAAGTCTAGTAAACCCATCGTATCATACAACCACGTCCACACTTCACAGCCGCGCTCGGAACTTTTTATTCGCATCTTTCAATGGCTCCGCTTCGCTCACATCCACTTTATCATCCGAGCTCTTCGCTGGACTTCCTGGAGTGTTCTTCTTCTTTGGCGCAGAGTGATAACCGCCCTTCACATTATCCGTATTCGTGATCGTTCCTTTCTCATCTCTCTTAATGCCTAGCTCAAGCAGTTTCTCAAAAACCTTGGCAAAATCGGCAAAGAACCTATCCTTATCCCGAGCATATATTTCCACCCATTTGCGGAAACTCGGATCTTGGGTCAGGGCAATGTCCGTTGGCAGCATCATCAGCTCGGTTTCGGTGTCCTCATCATAGTTCACAAACTGCTGCACCCCGTTCGGCAATGTCTTCTTCTTCCACTGTAGGGAGAGGAGTAATCGGAAGTACTGATTCGAGAACCGCGTTGGATTATTGACCCACGGACCATCAAATCCCGATCGGTCGGCGTGACAACGTCCGAGATTATGTGCTCCTGAGAGCGCGACGATTTCCTGGTCGTTGAACCCCATGCGGTAGAATATCCAACGGAGGTGGTCTGCGCCTTGGGCGCCGTCGGGAAGCCGTCCTCGAGGGGGAATTTTGCTGTCATCGACATAATCTGTGCGACCTCCTTTCCATGGGACTGCGGGGCCGCCCATTTCCTCGAGAGCTACAACACCAGCATATGTCCAGAGGTCGGCGTATGTGATCCACGGGTGCTTCTCCTTTACGGATTCGAGAAATACGCGCGCATGTTGAAGGCCGGCATTGGCAGGGTCGCCACCTTCGGCTTCGTAGCGCATGCCAGCGCCATTTGATCCGCCGGTGTCTGTTTCGGCATCGTAAGTCCCAGAGGAGTGCCTAAGAAAGGCTTGTCAGTAGATGGAAAACGAAGCATATCAGAAAGACATACCAAGCCAGCCGGACGAGGATGGGGCCAGCGCTTCCATCATCATAGCCAGGTTGATGAAGAAGCTTGACGATATCCTTGCGGACAGCTGCGAAGTCGCCCTTCTGGCTCATCGTGCGATATTTCTAGGAACGCGAAAGGAAATCTATATATAACGGCCGTCTAGATATGTAAATACCAGTCTATAAGGAAGCAAAACAGAGAAAAAAGGGGGAAGGAGATCAAAGGAAAAGATATATGGGAAGAGAAAGATACGGAAGTGGATACAGGAGCAAAGGCCGCGCCACGAAATACCGAGGCACGCGAGGCTACAATGCTACCAGGTTCCTTGTAAAACACATGCGTGGATCCCGACTCCCGATAAAGGATGATAGCCGAATGTCACAACGGCCGTACCTTACCTTATCCCCGAATTCCACGTGATAGACTTCACGTGGTTAGAGATGTTGTAGTGCCACCTGCAGGAGGTACGCTACTAGGACTTTCCATGAAGTTACTATAGGTCCTCTTAGGTCCTCTTAAGGACGTATTGTAGCAGGTATTTCTGGGTTTTCCTTCTTTTGTGAGTATCACATGTCTAGCAAATTGCGTCCACATTCACAGTCGAAACGAAGAGGACCCTTGGGCACATCACTCCGGGCATGACGACGAGGTGACATGGTAGCCCGGTAGCTGGATATTTCGACATTTGCTTGTTCGAACCTCCTTGAAAGACAGAGGACAATAGCTTAATCTAAAAGTCGATACATGGATTAGGCGTTTTGACTCTGAACCTACCTAGACCAAGCCAGCAGAGATTTGGAAGACCGAGGTTGTGAAAATAAGGTAAGATAAGCTGTATTGACGTCCCTGTATCGTGGAGGGCGGGGGCGGGGCCGGGGGCAGAGATCTTGCAGAAATGAATAAGAGGAACACTTCAAGTCACTGCTAAGACTGTGGACCACGATGAGAAGCGTAGAATAGACAGTGCAGATCCCTGATCTAATCTTCCAGGTTTATATATTGGAGTAGCAAGAGGGTTCAGTCGCTAAGGTAGCTATTACATGCAGATAGAGAGGTGTCCGCCTTCGTGCAACTTCCCACGCAAAAAGTTAAAGCAAAATAAAGCCATCACTTCTCAAGTAATAAGGCTATTAAGCTTCCTCGCCAACTCCGTCTCTAATCGAAGCTGCCCTTGTTCAGAACTAGCGAATTCACCTATCGGATCATAGCCTTCAGGTATGTCTTCATCCCATTGGGGATATCCTGTTCTGCCCTTCATGTTTAACAAGACCGCCATTCGAAAATGATGCTTCAAAATTGCGCGGCTTGGCTGGAACTTTTCTGGTGTACTTGGATTTCGAAACATTATTTTATTGTCGAGTTGTGGGGAATTAACAAAACAATGAGATTTGTAGCCGGTCTAGACGATAATCAGAAATCAGAAACAGGAGATCTAGTAATTGATTAAACACACATCAGGATTGATCGCAAGGTAGTATTTGTCGAAGAAGTGGTGTACGTCATCCCTCAGAAGAATTCCGTTTTGTATGGAATGGATACAAGTAGGGCCAATGTATTCATCATCATTGATCTGCTGTTTCCACTTCCCGGAAACCCACTGAGGACAGAGATTAGTCTAAAAACATTGAATAGAAAGAAAAATTAAAGAAACAGAAAAGTATACCAAATCAGCATGAGCAACTGGAAAGATATGCGCTGCTGCAAGACCGGTATAGTTGGGATCAACTCGCGGATCACCCGTAACGACACAGCGCCCGTCTCGTGCTCGAACTCTATCACGAAATTGGGTGGTCTGTTTGGGTATAACATTAGCGCATCCTTATAGAACTGACAGCCAAACTAAAAGGTAGTAGCTAACATGAGAATCAGGCTGCGACAAAGAGCGGCTGAGTGTGCGTGGTGCCGGATTATCTGGGTTGATGGGAATGTCGATGGGCAAGCCTGAGATTCGCTTAGTATTCGTATGTACCTTATTAGAACGTGAGAGGGAAGCAACAAGAATATCTATCGATTTACCTTGGGCGCTCAGAAGAACATAGAAGCCAGGTTCAATAACACTTGTATTCGTGTGTAGGTTATTGATTGGCGCGCCATGCTGAGACGCGGGGTCTTTGGGATCTCCGTCCTCTAGACAGGGAAAAGGCGCATATTCATCGAGGGGGAGCTGATAGACGATCTCCATCCACTCTGACATTTCGGCCCACGTGAGTGAGCCGTGCTGCATCGTTCCACCAATCTCGTCATTATCTCCGTTGACGAAATGAACGTTGCGAGTAACCTTTTCGAGTGATACGCGCCGTCCGGGCATGGTGAAAGGCCTGGTGAGGTTGGAGAGGCAATAGTCAAGTGAGAGGACGGATGAAAATCCAAGTAGGTAGGTCTCAAGGTTACTTGATCCAGGGATGTTGTGTCTATTCAGAGCAGAGCCTAAGGTACCTTAGCTACTACCTTACCCGTACTGTTAGTAATAATCATCTGCAGAGTAGGTACGGTAGAGTAAGGTAATGTACCTTACCTTAGTACGCGCTCGCTACACGTTTAAAACACTATACGTATAAATCGAATTAACGTAGTACCTATAGTGTAAGACTTCCATGTATATAGCAAGAATTAGCTGTGTTAATATTATTAAAATACACTATTGTTTTCCGCTGAGGCCCGACATCAACAGGTTCGAGAATCTGGATACAGGAAGGCTGGATTCGAGATGCTGCTGTAGAAGCTGTACCTGATAGTAGACGAGAGACCCCTCCCCTGCACGCCGGACACCGAACACCTTGGGCTATGCAGACAGAAAAGACAATGCACGCGTGAGGACTACTACCTCCTAAGAATCGGCAAAGGTCCTCCCTACGATCGGCACGCCGCAGATAGCCTCCCATTGTGACTGGCTAAGATCTGCGCTGGAGAAATTCTTTCCGCCCGTAGGGCTATCGAATGGGGCCCTGCCTTTGTTCAGCATGCCGAATCTAAGGCCTACCTCCGAGACTGTGACGCCGATGCTGATAATGATGAGGACGATGATGATCCAGGTGATGGTGCTCATCTTCGTGTCGGCGATGCTGTCACTTAGGATCTCCGCCAGCTCTAGAAATACCTTACAGCGCTCGTTGAGCACTTGGATGCGTGGCGTGATCTCGAGATATTCGCGAATGGCAGTGTAGAGGGGATGGAGGGTAGGCTCGGAATCCCAGAAGAAATTGGGCACGTCCAAAATGTTGGATGCTAGAGGCAGTTAGTGGATTGGTTGCAGAAAGAGTGGCTTGGTGATCCTTACAGAGATTGACGTCCACCCGACTCTTGAAGAGTCGGCCCAGAATCTTTACGATCTCCGTTCGAGACATCCCAAGCTGGCCTGTGAGGGCCAGATGCTTGGGAACATGTTGCGCATCCAACATCGTTTGAGACATCCTCTCTTCGAAGAAGCTCAGTTTGGTACTCTGCGCGATTGCATGGCTCATGGCGAGTTTTATCATATGGTCCCCACTCCTCAATGTGATCATATCATTGAACACTCTAGGGCGCTCGATCAGTGGATTATATTCGAAATGAAGCTCTTCCGTTTCAAAATCATCCTCATTTTGCGGTCTCGTAACCAGTGAGACGCCAGTCTCGTGCTCTGAGAAGGTCAAATCGGCCAATATGTCTTTTTCTTGACGTTCTGTGAAGTTCCAGAATACGACAACTCCATAAGAGAAAACGAACATCTCGGCAAACGCTGTGGCATCGGGCGCAATTCGATTCGGACTATCCGCTCTTCGCCCCTGCACCAGACCATGATTCTCTTCCCTCCGTCGTCTTGCGTCTTCCTCTCTCTGTATCTTTTCTTCTTCAGTCTCATTTCGAGGGCTCTCTTCCCCACCTCTTACACCGTACGTGTCTGTATCCTCAAAATAACCCTCGTGATAATCTCTCCTTTCGCTCCTCTCGATCTCCTCGTCCAGGACCGCTTTTCCACCAGGACTCTTCAATGCAGGGCTGCTTCTAACTCTGTAACCTTCACTCCCAGGCAAAAGAGGTAGATGATATACTGTGTAGAGGCAGTCGTCGTAAAGTTTCGTCTTCGCGCCATGCCTCTCCTTAACAAATTGCGCCGTGGCTTTTGTCTTGGAGCCCTGCGCTGTACAATATGCCGTCACTCTTGCCACTTTGTCTGCTCTCTGGACCTTTGGTAGCCTTTCCGCATAACTCTTTCCCCGGATCCCGCCCCTCTTCTTCAGGACGTCAAGTTCATCATCTCTCAAAGGACCTTCCTCCTCATCTGAAGGTCGCGGCTCTTCTTCGTCCGAACCCTCTTTCTCACTTATTGTCTCCGGTATTAGCACCAACTTTTCGCTGACTTTTGTACTCCGTCCCGGCACAGTCTGCTGTGCAATTCGCGCGCCGGAGCCTGGTGCTCCACCGGGACGTCGCTGGGGCGCCGATGCTGGTCTGCGTCCAGGCGGCCCGCGAGCTTGACCGGACGGGATCTCGGACGCATACTGGAGGACATTATCGACTGAGATTAATCGTGTCGGTGCTCGGTTTCGCACCGCGCCGGGGCCGTTGAAACTGGGCCGATGAGCGGTACTGCGAGCTGTAGAAGGGCGCTCTCGAGAGTCGGTGACCTAGATGTTTTAGCAATGGCTTTTGGAAGCAGTCCCAATGCAATACAGCCTTGGCAAGGTGTTTGAGACACTCACCAGAACTGATGGACCTCTCTTTCCTGTAGCTGCAGAAGTCGACATTGTGGTAGACGTTGGCGGGTTTGGTCAAATTGGAGTGGTTAAGTTCGATTTCCCTAATGTCGTCGCCATGGGTTGTAGTTGGGACCGAACACTTTCCAGAAGCTGAGAGGCACTGGTAAATAAGGTGTCTAGATGCTTCACCCCATGGAGTTTAAAACGTCATCAACGGTACTCGAGGCGCTGCTACACAAACACCCATTTATTATTGCAGGCACCACCTGACTTCCCCTACCAAGGCCTTAAGCTATAACAAATACATCAAATCAACATCATCGGGCGGTTAGATCAGTGGTAGCATCGCTCGCTTTGCATGCGAGAGGTCGTGGGTTCAATCCCCACACCGTCCAGTTGTTTTTTCTTTTTTTTTCTTTTCCTTTTTTTAATCGATCCTGATATCTGAATTTTAATTTATTTTCCGTTGGTTCTCATTATTTCAAGCTTTTTTTTTGTCTATTTCGTGGGCCAAGTCTCGCTGCTTCTATGTAACCGACAGTCCATTACTTCCTCGAACGGGGAACACGGCATGGGAGTCTGCCTACCTCTGATCTCTACGACGCATCTTCTAACCATCTAACCACCTCGACTCTCGCAGCTATCAACATTCCAGAGGTAAATATATTGCCTGGAATCAGGAGCCATGGCCTCAGCCTCTTCGGCTGGCCCCTCAGCTATTGTCAGCTTTGCAAGATTCCCTCAACTGCCAACAGAGATCCGACTGCGCATTTGGGCCTATGCTGCCCCACACCGGCCTCGTGTCATTCAAGTCTATTATGATATCGAGAAGGCTTCATGGCTGGCCTGGAAGGATGGATGTGGAGGTCTCCCTCCAACTGTTCATGTTTCGCGTGAAGCGCGCTCAGAAGCTCTGAAAAGTTACGCAAAAGTGTTCGATACATATTTTGATCTGGAAGCGGATACCGTATTTATCAGCGACCCTATGTTCACTATTCGAAAGCCCAGAAAAATCTTTATGGATTCGGAATTTGCCAAGAGATTCAAGAATGTTTCCTTTTCTAGCGATGTCTACGTAGGGCTGGTACAAGCAAATGACCAGTTCCCAGACCTCTGCATGCATCCAGCAAGTGTCTTGCGTCAGCTCACAGCTGTGACAAATTTTAATATCGTCTTATCTGATGATGCGGATGTTTTCTACGACAGTGACGACGGTGAGGACAGTGACGACGGAGATATAGATATCTCTGGATGGGAGTCAGACGGACCACCAGATCACAACCATCCAAGAGTCGAACAGGCCGGCTTGTCTTCCGGAGAAGACCAGGACAATCCAGGGAACGTGGAGTATGACGAAGACGGACAGATAGCAGTGAGCTTGGGAGACACTATTCATGACAATCCAGAAACTGAAGCGGGTCAGAGCAGCATAGATTCTGTTAAGCTCGACCATCTAGAGGGGATCGCTATGGAGCAGATGTCCAAAGGGTTTTTTAGGCATGTTGGGAATATCCGCTTCGAAAGCGCAATGCAGAATCCTGATCACTGGGAATCCTGGGCCGAGTTTAGGGATGTATTGATGCTGGATTTTCAGCGGGAGAAGTATTCGTTCCCTACATGGGTTCGACCAATGTTCGGTGTCATGGCAGTCAAGTATGGACTGAAACGCCCTGGTGACTTTAGCACCGTGATACACTCTTGGGGTGACCTTGGTTTGGTTGAGGGTTTGGTCGAAGAGGACCAACTTATTTACGAAAGTTCGAGTAGCGGCGACAGTGAGCTGTTTTCCGACTAATATTAGGCATTATGGTTGGCAGATCGAAGCGGAGGAAAGACGTCTTATGACCCGGAATGGCCAGGATATTCTTATACAGAGCTGGGAGAGACTCGGGCTGGAATCATCAGAAAGCTAATATGGTTGGTCTCCATCTGCGTCCGAGAATGCATGTAGGTTGATTGTCTCATATTGGTCTGCATTGCATTCAATCGCATCACCTGCAATTGCAGCTTCTTACGTACTTCTTATGAGAATAGCTATCAGGAGAGAGAACCTCAAAAGGATGTATAGATATGATATGTCACGTGAAAATCTGGCCTGTGAGAGAGCCACGAAGATTGGGTAGGGCCGTTTAACCGTACTCCGTACTCCGTAAGCAGTTCTTTCGACTCGTACGGAGTAATCGTCGACTCGCTTAATTTGTCGTCTTTTTGCATTCGCTATAAGTCGACGAAAGCGAAATAGGCCAGTAAGCGAAATAGGCCAGATGGAATTTGTTAGTAACTTACATAGAAATACTATCTTTTTTGATTAATAGCTATAACTACTATTTGACTAATTAGTATAATAAATAGAGGTATCTAGGCATTAATTTTTTATATAATCTATATATAATAAAAATAACAATATACCTACGCTTGTTATATTACTTAAGAAAAATATTAGGCTTATCTTTAGAGTCTTTAGATCCTTTAGATCCTAAGCTACTACTTAAACTGTCGTTTTCTAAGGTAATAAAGTCCTCTTAATACTACTGTTTAGGCCCTTGTTAATCCCTCTAATCCTCTTGATCCCTCTAATCCTTTTAATCATTTTGATCTTCTCTCTAATCCCCTTAATCCCCTAGATCTTACCTAATAAGGGAGAGCTATAGGCCCGGTAGGTAAAGCCCTAGTAATTAAAGTCTAGCCTCCTTTTTAGGATCAGGTACTTTAATATAGAGGTAGCTAGCCCTTATATTACCCTAAATAACCTCCTAAAGGGCCCTTTTTCTAAAGCGCTTATACTAGCGCGCTATTACTCTTTAGCTCTTAAGCTCTTTAGCCTCTTTCTTAACTATCTGTTATAATATCTGGGACTCTTTATTACGCTCCTTTTCGGCCTCCTTCTTATCCTTTATTTCGATAAGCTCTTAGGTATACTGTTTAGTTAATTTACCCCCCTTTTATAGGCGTTTTTTATTAGTAGGTAACCTCTTAGTATATCTCTTGACTTTTCTTTATAATATATCCCTCTTAACCTTATATATCTCTCCCTTAAAAAAGACACTTGTAGTACCGCGCGCTATAGAATTAAACTCTTGCTAGGTAGAACTACTAAATTAATTAGCTACCTTTATACTCTAATTAGCTAGCTTTAGCTTAACTTAACGCGCTGTTCTAGGCGTACAAGGCTCTAGAAGGCTAGGATTAGAGAGAGGATTAGTAAGAGAGGCTTCCTTAATATATTTCTTTATTATGTCCTTTACTTTGTCGACGCTAATTAGCTATATCCTTACCTCCTTAAAAGAGTCTCTAATTGTCCCTTTAGCAAAGGTTTTAGCGCGTATTTTAGGTAGATCTTATAGAAAAGAAGATATACTATATTTAAAGTCTAGGTTCTCTATAGCGTATTCTATAGCCTTGTTGTACTAGTACTTATATAGCTAAAAAACGCGGACGTCTAAGGGCTATATACAGTAAGTAAGGTAAGTAAGGAATAAAAAGGGGACGACGTTATTCTTACGCGCTAATAGAATAAACTTAGGACTCTAGTAGCTCCTATAGTTATCTATTAATAATAGCTTATAAGGCTTGTTAGGGCCGGCCTTTATATGTTAGATAAAGTACTTTAAATAACGTAGTAATAGCTTATCTATAGTAAACCCGTTTTCTAAGAGTAATACTAGCTTATCCCTTAAGAGCCTGTCCTAGTACTAAGACTCTATATAGTGTTTCCCTTATATAATTATAACCGGCGGTATTGTGTAGCCCTTAGCGTATATAGCCTTAATAATCGTAATTAACTAGCGATTGTCTAGACTTAGTAAGTATAGCTATAGTTATACTATATTAGAAACGCGTTAATTAGGTATAAAAAGACGTGTTTACTTACCTCTTTAACATTAATTAGTATAATAACCTTAACTCCTCTTAGGTAGCTAACCTAGAATCTAGTCTTATTAAAGTTATATATATCCTTTTATTTAAACCTATACTTTTTAACTACCTTCTTATAGCTGTCAAACTATTACGTCACCTCCTTTAAGTCTTGTACCGTTAGTCAATTATAAGCGATTAGCTTAGTTGTTAAGTGTATTTCTATAGAGTAAAAGAGGTAAGAGTTAATAGACAGTCGTAGTATATTTAAAGGTATATTACTACTTTAACTATAGACTTATCTCTAAACCCTCTTTCTTTTCCCTTTCTACCCTTTATTCTTATGTTCTTTAATGCCTACTATTACTTTAGTCGTAGTATGTAGTTACCTTATACTTAATTTCTAAGCTATTATAATTTTACGTATTAGCGTACCTAATATAGTATCCTTTCTTTTTAGCTTCTGTCCTTAGAAGCTTATAGGTAGCTATTAGATCGTAGAGAGGCTAGGGCAGGCTAATGCCTCCTTAGAAACAAGAATAAATGTATAAGAATAAATTAGTAAGTAAATATATAACTATATAACTATATAACTAGTAGTGTTAAGAAAAGGAGAAGGGTAGCGACTTTATAGTATAGTAGAGGCGTATAGCTAAACCGTAAGATTTCTGTTATATATTATACTTTTAGATCTCTACCTAGTATACCTCTTGTATTTACTTTTAGTAAAGATACATTATAGTAAAGTACTAGTAAGTCGCTAGATAGTTATAAGACCCTTAATACGTAATACAAACTGTATTACCTAGGCGCGCTAGTATTCCTTACCCTTTTACTACTTTTAGAAATCCTTTATTACCCCTTACTAGAAGGTTAATAGTATACTAATAGTAGGTAGCTATAAGGATTAAACTATATTACCTATAATCGTATTTTTTAAGTAAATATAGAAAAACACCTCTTTTGTTCTCCTTTACTTAGTCTGTCTCTTATAGTACTAAGGAGTATATAAAGACTTGTTTTTACTAGTTTATTACCTCTTTTTCTTCTTTTTACCTTATACGAATATAACGCCGCTACGCTCTCCCTCTTCCTTACGACTCTTTTAACGAACTTCTAACATACCTTTATTAAACTATTAACGACAACATAGTACTAATAAAGTAATTAGTAGCTTATAAGCGATACTTAAACTAAATGGCTTTATAAGACCTATAAGGTACCTTACTAAAGTATAAGGATAACGACTATAAGTATTCCTTCTTAGTAAAGAGTAATAGCCTAATAGTATAGTAGCTATATTAGTAAAGTACGTTTATTATAAAAATCTAAAGAAAGAGTATATTTTTGTAAGTATAACCTTTCTTAGGGCGACGCTCTTACGTCGTAGCTTTGTTAACGTTACTAGGTTGTTTTAACTCTTTAAGCTAAAGGAATTAAACTTTAAAAGGTAATTACAAAAAAGGATAAGGTAAAGTAGTCTATTATTTATAGTAAAGTTAAAGCTAATACAAACAGGCTATAATTTAGGCCGCCTAAACTTTAGTAAAGAAGAGCCTTTAATATTTAAAGTCTTAGACTAGAATATTAGTAGAAAAGAGGCTTTATAGTAACGAAGTAGATAAGAAAGAGTGTATAAAGTAAAAGTTAGGTTATTTAGTAAAAATTACTTATTAGTTAAAGCTTTATAATAAGTTTACTATAACTATAAATATAAAGGTAAACTGTCGTAATTAGCTTATAGAAGAGGCGATCTAGGTATAGTAAGACTATATTACTATCTTTAAAAAGTACGTGTCTTATTTTAAGAAAGTTATAAGTATCTCTTACTCTAATACTAAGTCGCTACTAACTTAAAGGTAGTACGCGTACGAATTATAGAGATCTAAAGGAAGTAAGGAAGTAAAGAATAGAGTAGTAGTAGATACTATAAAGGATAATAATAAAGAAAATAATAATAGAAAGGATAGTAATAAGGACGAATAATAAATAACTAAAGGTTAAAGCGTCTTTATTAAGTAAGATCGTACTTTAGATTTTTTTTCTTTTTTCTTTTTCTAAGATATATAATAATAAAGTTAGTAGAGCTTTAAAGGGTGTTTACTAGTAAAAGGGTAGTTTAGTGTTTTTTTTAAGATACTTAGGTTTCTAAGTTTTTATATAATAAATATAGAAGTCGTACTTACGTTACTACGACTACGCTAGTAACATTATGCCTTTCTAACGATTATCTTAATATATTTGTTTGTATTTACGTAAAAGTAGGCTGTTGTTAAGGTTCTATTATAGCTCTTATAAGTTTTCTAAATCGTTATACCCTTTTTATTTTATAAGATAAAGTCTGTTTCTTTATAGGCCTTTATAGTTAAGAATAGCTTTTACTTTAAATGTTTCTTTATCTAAGACTAGGATGTCTATTAGGCTTATAAGGACTTTACCTTCTTACGCCTTATAAGGTTCTAGGCTTATAATTAAAAAGGTAAGATATAGCTATACTAATAAAGAGAGGCGTAGTTTATAAGTAAGTCTATAGTCCTTAATAACGTCTTTAATTTAGTAAGGGCTAATGTACTTATCTGTAAATTTCCTAGAGGGTTAACGTTACCTTAAGTGTTTTGTTAATAAGAGTACTTAGTCTTTCTTTTTAAATAAAATCTTTTTTTAGTTCTAGTTATACTATTTCTTATACTGTTTTTAGAAGTACTAAAGGAATATAATAATTTCTTTATAGCTACTTTATAGCTACTCTACTTGTATATTAGCTACTAGCGCCTCTACTAGCTTTAACCGGTTTAAGGGTATGTCCTTAGGACCTTACGGCTAGTACTTATATAGTATGTATAATAGTATTGTATTTATTATAGAGTACTATAAGGTATTATATATAAATTTAGTAAGATCTAGCTTAGTTACCTAGTCGTCTTATATAAAGCTATAGTAAGTTTAAAAGTAATGCTTAATAGCTTAGTTCTGCCGTTTTGTCTACCTGTCTATTTATAAGTAATAAGTAGTACTAAGTCGCTATAATGTTACTAGGTACTAGTAGAAACTACTCTAGAATTTACTTATAAAGAGAGAGCCTTAGTCTAAGACAATACTGTCTAGAATTCTAAATTATTATATAACGTAGTATATTAAGAGAGACGCTAGCCTATTACTAGTAAGACGATTAGTTATTAGAATATATAAGGAAAATTTTATAAATTAGTCTATAATAACAAGTATTAAATTATATAGTTTACCTACTACGTTATAAGAGTAAGGTAGCTATGTTATAAAGTTAAGTAAGATCTCTTACTAAGGTTTAGAAGAAATAAGAAGTAGGGCTAACTTACTATATAGTAGATAAGTCCTTACCTTTATTCTTTAATAGATAGCGTAAGTAAAAACGTAATAGTAGACGTCTTTATTAAGACTTAGCTAAAAGAAGGATTAGAAAAGCCTTTTCTTTGTTTTACTAACTCTTTAGTACCTTATAGTAAGTACGTTATAGAAAAGCTTTAGTAACTCCTTACGTAAGCCTAGATTATTAGGTATATATATACGTCTATAATACTATAGTAGTATATTATCTTTAAACGTCTATAAGGACCTAATAGTACCTTAGCTACCTTACTACTTCTTCTACTCTTTATTAGTAATAAAGGCGTCCCTTTACTACGTATTACAAAGGGCTTCTAATAGTAATAGTAGTAATGTCGACGTTACTATTACTTAGCTATTACTCTTACTAGCCTAACTCTAAGTAGAGTTCTCTACTAGTATAAGAGTATTTAATTCGCGACTTAATACTCTAGTAATAAAAGCGTAAGGTCTCTAAGACCTACGATCGCCTTAGTCTACTAGCCGGCGTAAGTCTAGCCTCTTACGCTAGAGCGATTCTACTAAGATAGTATACGTTAAGGAGGTCGCTAGACCTTTAAAAAGAATAAAAGAAATTAAAGAAACAAAAGGAATTAAAAGAATAAAAAGAATAAAAGCTTTGTTTTAAATAAGCCTTATAGTAAGACTAACGGCTTTTAAGGTAACTATATTTACCTAGAATTTGTTAAGAAAAGTTACTAAAAGAGCTTGTTACGCCTTTAATTACTTATTAGGATCTTATAAGTCAGGCTGTTACAATAACTTATTAGTAAGGTTTTAGCTACTCTCTTTATATTTAATCTTAAAGTTAAAGACAGAAAGTTCCTCTAGCTATCTAGCTTACTACTATAACAACTTTAGCTTTATAAAGAGGTAATAGTAGTTTAGGTAATCTATTAAAACTAATACTAAACTTTATATATATACTAAGTACGGCCTCTATAACCTAAAGGCCTTAACAATAGCTATTAACTTAGCGTTAAGGGTATTATAGCGTAGCTCCGGCCTCTTTAGCTTTCTAGAAATAAACGTAACAAGGTACTAGCGGCCTTTCTATAACTATAAAAGGATAGTACTAATAGTATAGGTAGATATATCTATTTTTACGTACGTAAGTAGTTTAGGGTCGTAGTAACGTAGAAAAGAGGCCTTTATAAAGACTAGTTATAGCTTATAGAAGGCTTCTAAGGCTTTAGAACTTAGTGTAATAGTACTAGTAGCGTTACCTTAAAGAAGATTTGTTAGTAGTATAATAATCTTTAAATAATTCTTAATAAAGCGCTTATAGAACCTAGTAAACCCTAAAAAGATATAAATGTCCTTTATAGTTATAGGAATAAGCTATTCTTAGATTATAGAGACACGCTTAGGTTTAATGTAAACTCCTTATAAGTCGATAACGTATCTTAAGAAACCTACTTACTTTATATTAAACTTATACTTTAAGAGGTTAGTATAAAGGTTATATTATTAGAGACGTTTAAGGACGTAGTAAATATACTACGTATACTCTTCTTTATCTATAAAGTAAATAAAGATATTATTAAGATATACGATACAAATATTATTAATAAGATTCCTTAGTACTTTGTTAATAAAGGACTAGAAGGTCGCTAGTACGTTTACTAGCCTAAAGGGTATAACATAGTATTTAAAGTAGCTGTATTAGTACTAGAAAGCCGTTTTCTACTTATTACCGGCCTTAATATAAACTTAATAGTACGCTTTACGTAGGTTAAGCTTAGTGTAAACACGGGCTTATAACAGCTAATTAAGGATCTCTCTAATTAATAGAATAAGGGCTTAGTTCTTTTTAGTTATACTATTTAACGCCTAGTAGTTAACGTAAAGTTGTAGCTTCTTTTCTTTTTTTAGAACAAATAGTATTAGAGTACTAGTAAGGCTCTTACTTAGACAGATCTATCCTTTTACTAGGGCGTCGTCTAAATATTTGTATAAGACACTTAGCTCGACCTCTATAAGTAGGTAGATTTAGCTATATAGCGGTACTACGTCTCCTTTAAGGTCTATTACATAAGTAAGGCTATTAATTATAAGTAGTGATCTAGCCCTTTCTTTAGAGAAGACGTCTATAAATTATTAGTACTTACTAGATAGAGTTACTATAGCCTTACTATCTTCTTATAGTTTCTCTTATAGTTCCTCTTTACCTAGGGATTCTAGGTCTACTATAATTAGTTGTACTATTACTATAATTACGAATTAAGCTTCTTTTATTACCTTCTTAATTTCTTTCTTTATTATATATAGCCTAACTATTAAAGATAACGTAAGGTATATAAACGTCCGGGTCTTTTATAAAACGATTAGGTCTATAGCCTTTAGCTATAGAAATCTAAGTATAATATCTAAGTCCTTAATGTTAGTAATAACAAATCTGCCTTAATGTCGCCTTACTATTAAGTAGTTATCTTAGGCCTTAACAAACAGATCGTATAACCTAAAGCTTGTCGTTGTTTTCTAGAATAATAAAGATACTATAATTATTATTATTATTATTATTATTATTGTTCTTACTACCTATGCCTACTATATACAGAACCTCTATACTATATAAATTACGTAGTAAAACCGTACTAAAGCCGGGTAAAAACCTACGTACTACTACTTGTGCTTTACACTATTACAGTACCGCTAGGGCGCCGGGTCCTTATCGCTACCTTACTAGAACTTAACCTTCTAGCCTAGTAATACTAAACATAACGCTAGTAAGGCGCTAGTAAGGCGCCGGCTACTAGCTAGGGCTACTCTCTCTCTTATAACTTCTCTACTAGGTAGCGCTTAGCTAGACAGAACTATAGGAATCGGCTAGTAGACAGTAGCTAACAGATTAGTATATAAGCGCTCTTACCTTTCTCTATTACTACCGCGAAGTCGCGGAACGTCTATAGTACTCTTAGGTAGAGTACTTACTATAAGGCCTGCTACTACTAATCTAACTACTAGTAGTTAAGGGCTAGGTAAGCCGCTATCTCTAGGGCTTTACTATAAGGGTACTAGGGAGTCGCTACCTCTAGTACTCTATACTTAAAAAGGAAAGCCTAGAGTCTAACTTTACTAGTACAGATCTACGTTAAAAGAGAGCTCTTATACTTATAAAGGAGTAAGTACTTCTTAAGGGTATCTACTAAGGGGGCAGATAGCGCGGCTAGGGCGGCGCCCTAGTAGTATGCCGGCAAGCTATCGTATTAAGACTATCGTGCCTTCTAGTTCTTTTATAAGGTCTCTTCTAAAGAAGAGTCCTTATACTAGTCCTTTACTTATACGGCTCGGCCTGTCCTATACTTAAGTAACGTATAAGGTAGCGCTATAGCAGCGCTATAGTAGCGTCTCTAGCGTTATTAAAGACAGGTTACTACCTTATTACAGATAGACTATATAAGCTTACCCTTACTTATATGTTTAAGACGTTATTTAAAGTCTACTACTTACTTATTAAAGTAGAGGTTAAGTAAGGGTGTAGCTGTTTTAGACTTAAGAAACCGGACAGGTATTGCCTAGTACGCCCTTATAACAACGTAGAGGTACTATAACTACTTTATAGCGAGGTCTTTTACGATCTCCTTAGCTTACTACCTAAAGGGGCGGTACTAGACCCTTACGCTATATACTATAGTACTCTAGATTACCTTTGTATAGATCTCCCTTACGTGTAGTAGGCTATATCCTTACGCGGACGCAGTAAGCCTTATAAGCGCGAACTACTAGGTAGTAAACTTTTGTTTAATAGCGTTAAGGTAGCCCTTTTATCTAAGCTTCTAATCTATCTAAACTCTTAGAAAGCGCGCCTCTTAGACTAGGGGTATAACCTAGCTATTAAGGTAGACAGGCGTTGTTAGTATAGCGTAAGTATAAGTAAGGTAAAGGAGCTTACTCTTTTCTAGGGCAAACTCTATCCCTCTTATACGCGACTACTAGCTATATGTCTGCTACGCCTCTTTAAGGTACTAGCGTGTCTCTGTCGTGTCTCTACTAAAAGCTAAGAGGTTAAGGTCGTTAGTAAACCTTACTATAATAAGGCCTGTATAACCTTATAGTAGTGTGTACAGGCTAGTAGTATAAAGGAAGAAGAGGATAAGAGAGAAGAGTAAACCTTATAGTACCCTTATAGTAACTTTCTAGAGTAGTGCCGCCTCTTTATTAAAGAAGAGGCTAGCCGTTTAATTAGTAAGGAAGCTATATACTTACTGTACAGCCTATATAAGGAACCTTAAGTACTAGAGAGTATAGAGAAAGCGTGTATAGTTTACTATATTAAAGGCGCCTTTAATGTTAAGTTAGAGAAAGGACGCTATAGCCTTATAGCTTTACGCTATATATATAGTATTAACTACTATTTTAACTATAAGGTCTGTTAAGCGCTATAGCCGGTTCTTTATCTACGTTTCTAGGAAGAGCCTTTACGACTCTATAGTGTTAGTAAAGCGCCGGCTAATTACTAACTTAATTACTTTACTTATCGCGCTTAAGAGTAATATTAGCCTATAAGCCCTAGTAGTTTGTTACTGTTTAAGGGTCTTTCCGGGCTTACGTAGTACTACTACCTTTACTACTTTAAACTATACTAGGACGTGTCCTAGCTAGAGGCTTATAGTTACTACTACTATAAAGAGCTTAGCTAAGGGGCGCTTATATACCTTAAGGAAGCTAGTAGGTAGTAGGTTAGGTCTTAGCGCCTTTTAGGTACCTGTCTTTTAGAGAACGTTAGTAATGTCTGCCTTTATTATAGTGTCGTTAATAGTAAACCGCTAGTACTACTTGTCCTAGAGGTCTAGAACAACGTTACTAAGATCGGCTACTAATTCTAGAAAGAACTGCCGGCCTAATACTATTACTTTGTTATAGTAGCTTATAGCTAGTACTTTCTTATTAGCGCCTTAAAGAAGAGAGAGTAAGGCCGGTTCTAAGGGTATATAGCTATAAAGCCTAGCCTACCTCTTAAGACTCTAGAGTTTCTATTAGTCCTTTAAGGTAGTAGTAAGAGCGCCGCGCTAGCTCTTAGTTTTTATATCTTAGATCGTATAGAGTTAATAGGTACTAGCCTACTAGAGGTCGCGCTAGTAGAGCTTAGTTAAGGCGGTAGTATATTAACAGCGCGCTACCTATACTTACTAGACGGCCTTAAGGACCTTACTATTCTACTAAGGCTTAGTACGCCCTTAGTTAACCTTTTTCCTTAAGGTAAATATGTCTATAATACGTACAAGCTAAGAGGTAAGTAAGTTAACTGCCTTATTAACCTTATAAGGTGTATCTAGCGGCTCTAAAGAAAGGTAAAGCCTCCTAGCCTTAATTATTACTAGTTCTTAGTCTATTAGGGTCTAGCTCTATCCTAGTACCTTTACGGCTTTCTCTTAGTAATCCTTTACTTAAGTAATAACCTTAATTAGCTAGGTATAGTAGTCAGATCTCTTGTACCTTAGGTTACCTTAATAAGTATACTAGAGTGTCGCCGTAACTTATACGTAGTTAATCGTCGAGTCCTGTTTGTTATGTTACTACTATATTAGCTCCCTTTAGGGTATGTGTAGTAAGAGCTACTACTTATAGGCTAGATAGAGAAGGGTCTCTGATTTAGGGGTAGTCTTACTAGCTTTGTCCTAGAGTAAGTAATAGAGGTTTATGTTACCTGTAACGATCTATAGCCTTTCTAGGTCCTCTCTAGTAAGCTACTAAAGAGGGCTAGCCTAGCCTAGAGAGTTAGGAATTAGCGAGTATATTAACTAGATAGTAACACTTTATAGAGTAACGTAATACTAGTCGACGCCTGTCTCTACTACTTAGATAGAAGGTAGGTACTACTTATAAACGTAGATAGCTACTTTACCTTTACCCTTATAGACCTACTAGTATTTTGCCTGTACTAGGTAGTAGACTGTCTTTATCTAAGTGTTATACTACAGCTCCTAAATTACTATAACGTCGACTTTACGGCTATCGTAAAGTACTATTAAGGTAAGGCCGTTCTTTCTTATAGTATTCTAGTATACTATTATTAATTTTATTACTAAGAGTCTAGGATCTATAATTCTTACGTTATAAAAGGGTCGCTAGACCCTTAGTTAGTCTCTTAGCTTAACATCTTTATAATGTTGTAGCTCTAGACTGTTATAGTGTCTAGTACCCTAATAAGAGGGCGCTCTTACCTTACTAAAGTCTTTGCTATAGGCTTCTTACTATTGCCTGTCTATAGTCTCTTATATACTACGATCTAGTAGCTATTGTCACTATCTTATAAGGACGCTAGTGTAACGCTAGGTACCTGGCTAGTAAAGCTACTCTTAGACACCTTAAACTGTCTAGGCCTCTGTTAGTATACGGCATGTGCCTACTCCTTTACCTTAAGGGCCTTAAGACACTAACAGTCTTACGCCGCGTATAGTCTACTATAGTTAACGTATCTCTTTTTACTATTAAGTTAGGGGTACTCTCCTTTACCCTAAGGGTACGCTACTCTCGTGTAGTAGCTATACTAGGCCTAGTTCTTATAGAACCGCCTAATATAGCTAAACTAGTAGTATTAAAAGTATCTTTAGATTTATAGGTCGGCTAAATACGGCTTATAGTTAAAGATCTAGGCTTATTAGATTAACCCCTGTTCGTATAGGCGCGTCGCCACGTTAGCGCTCTAAAGGTATAGTACTACTATTATAAACTTTACTATAAGGGCCTTAACAGGTTTAACTTTAACCTTTGTAATATACGGCGTGTAGGCTTAGATCTCTACTAGTAACGCTCTTAGCTCTACCTATATAATCTAGTCTACTAGTAGGCCCTTTACGATTACTATAAACTTACTCTTATAGAGCTAGGCTATAGGCCTAAACGCCCTCTATACCTAGCCCTAATCCTAGATCGCGTTCTTTAGTATAGCCTCTTTAAACGTAAGGATAGTATTACTACTAGGTAGCTAGTAAGTCGCTACTACCTTAGCGCCCCTAATCGCTATATTAGCTACTGTTACTACTTTAATAGCGCTATAACGTACTAGGTCTTTTATCTGTCTGTCTACCCTAATCCTTAGCTCTCTAATCTACCTCTCTAGTATAACCTATACTCTTATTAGGCGCTAGCTTACTACTAACGCGTAAGTAGCCTAAAGGGCCGCTACTACTACTAGCCTCTAGAAGGCCTCTTCTAACATCGTTCTTAATTATCTAATCGTTACTAGGTTATCGTTAGAAAGGGACCTAAGGGTACGCGAGAGAGTCGTCGTGTTTATAGCTCTTATCTCTACTACTGTCGTCGTTATAGTAATAAGGTTATGTAAGAGACGCGACGCCTCCTCCTCTTTACTTAGTATTACGTAAGCTTTGATTCTTTATATAATTTTCTCTATCTTATCGTCCTTATTACCCTTACTACTCTCTAGCTCCTTACTACAGCTCTTAGTTAGGGTATAAGAGTACTAGCTCTTACTTACAAGTAGGTAGTACTAGCTCTGTTTAAGTCTAGTACACTTACTATCCGTTACTATAGGCTCGCCTATAGTCTACTAGTACTCTAAGGGGTATCTAAAGGTACTGATTTTGATTCTATTGTTTATTTTTGAGTTTTTAAGGTAGTAGAGGGCGTGGACGACCGTTTTTTTTTATTTAAAGTAATAAGGTAAAGATACTATAATGTAATTATTAAGTTACTATAGTGCCTCTTATTCTAATAGTTGTAGGTAAATAAGGTTAACTTCTACTCTTAAGTCTAGTAAGGCTAGTATAGCTACCTAGCTACCCTTAATACGTATCTCTACCTAAATGCTTATTAAGGGTCGCCCTTCTTCTTATTGTTTAGGCGTAACGTAGTAGGCTACTAGCGTAGTATTAGTACTTAAAGTACTAGCCCTATTAAGGTACTAAGCGTAAGTATGCCTAGATTAACTGTATATAGAGTATTTATATAGTAAGTACGAATTTGCCTAATAACCGGGCTACTAGTATTAGTAGTAGTTGCCTTATACCTTACTTACTAAAAGGGTTTTTGTAACGCTAAGAGAGTCCTTTTACGTGTTTAAAGTTTAGCTACTAGATACTCCTTACGTGTTTACTAGTATAGATAAGGTCTTTAGATTATAAGAAGAGCCTCTCTTAGTATAGTATAGTATTAAAAGAGCTCTATAAGAGCCTTTTTATTACCTTGTCTAAATAAGAGTTTCTCTTCTTAACGCTACTACCTTAACTACCTTAAAGGTATCTAGGACCTTACTACTTACTATATAGGCCCTTAACTTAGGCTTTAAACAATTAATAAGAAGGTAGATATAGAATATCTCTAAGAAGGCGTAGCTAAGTTTAATAACTAAAGAGTTATACTATTAAAGGAAATTCCTAAAGGTCTTGTTTTAGTTTTAAGTTAACATTTAGAGTTTTAATACTACTTTAAGAGAGTAGGTACCCTTATCTACGATACTATAGAGAAGCTACGCCTTTATTTCTCTCTAAGTTATATTAAGAACTAATCTACCTTTTTCTAAGAAAATAAAAGACTTCTAGCGCTCTTTAATATAATCCTTTAGTACTACTACTATAGCGCTAACGCGTTTAGTATCTGTTAGATAACTCTTTAGATAAGTGTTAAACTCTATTTCCTAGTTAAATAAGAAGGTCGTAATACTAGTATATGTCTTGTTTTTTAGTAGAATAAAAGGGGTGTTATAATAGCTCTTTTCTGTTTCTTTAACATAAGTTCGCTAGAAAGGCCGTTCTACTTTAAGAGAGTTATTAAATTTATATAGGTTTATTAAAGGAGCCTCTCTTTTCTTAAGTACTATAAGGTAGTCTTGCTTTTGTTTAAGGTACTACTTTACCCTTACTTAGGCGATCCTCTTATTTAACTTAGTCTTACTTAAAGAAAGGATTTCTATTAATATTTAGAGAGTCGTACTAGGTTTACTACTATCTACTTATAAAGAGGTATTCTAAAGAGTTACTTAAGAAGAGGCCTACGTCTTATTAAGGTTTATTTGTTGTGTCTACGTTATCGCTTCTTACTCTAATAGTCTGTAACCTTTTAGTAAAAGGAGAGAGATAAGAATGTTAAGTATATTTTTATAGAGTAGAAGAGGTAAGAGTTAATAAACAGTTATAGTATATTTAAAGGTATATCGCTACTTTAACTATAGACTTATCTCTAAACCCTCTTTCTTTTCCTTTTCTACTCTCTATTCTTATGTTCCTTAATACCTACTATTACCTTAGTCGTAACACGTAGTTACCCTGTACTTAATTTCTAAGCTATTATAATTTTACGTGTTAGCGTACCTAATATTAGTCTTGATTTTATGTAAAGGCTAAGCTTACTACTAGAGTATAAACTACCTAAAAGAAGGGGGCTACTTGTTCTTAAGCCTCTTAAGACAGTAGATAGCGCTAAATATAATATCCTAGGTAGGCTTTTAGTTATGTTAAAGATAGGATTAAATAAAGTTATAAATAGCCTGTTCCTAGCTAAGGGATAGGATCCTATTCTAGCCCTTATAGTGTTAATTTAGCGTGCCCTTATTAATCGCGTTACTTAGCGTCTTACAGTTAATCTTATATATCCTTGCTACTATAGATATCTTCTCTTTAAGATACTTAAGTAAGAACTGTTTAGTAGCGTTAAGGCGTTCCTTTTTGCTATAGCTAGCATTAAGGGTACCTAGTATAACGGTGTTAGTAGTAGTGTTGTTTATAGTGTTGTTTATAGTATTATTTATAGTACGTAAGGTCGTAGATGTCAATTTCATAAAGAAAACAGTAGATGTAGTAGTTGTAGTTAGTAATCAAAAAGATAGTATTTCTATGTAAAATACTATAAAATTTGATCTGGCCTATTTCGCTTACTAGCCTATTTCGCTTTCGTCGACTTATAGCGAATACAAAAAGACGACAAATTAAGCGAGTCGACGATTATAAAGTAACAAGCTTACTAACTGTCCCTCATACAGTCCCTCCTTTGCACCACAAGTACTTCTGGAATTGTACTTCTATTCCCACCATATACAGGTCAGATCATCCTAGTCTGATACATACGAAGTAATGCTTGCCTTGACAGGATGTACGGGGAAGATCGGGGGAGCGGTCTTTGATGCGCTTCTCACGAACCAGCTCATCCCACCCTCTCAGCTTGTGGTCTGTACCTCATCCAGCACGGAAGACGCACGATGGGACGCCTTCAAATCTCAGGGGGGTATCGTCCGTCATTCCAACTACGATGATCCGGAATCCATGGTGAAAGCGTTCTCCGGCTGCACCAAGCTCTTCCTCGTGTCCACCCCACGAGTTAGCATGGACTTCTTCGATGCTCCCCCAGGCCAGGGCCGGGAACGGCATCACACTGATGCTATCAGAGCGGCTCAAAAGGCTGGCGTAAAGCATATCTATTACACCTCTTTAGCCTTTGGGCCAGAATCCGTTGCCGGTGTGATGCGGGCCCACCTCCGCACCGAGGCTTTCCTCAAGGACTTGAAAGACATCAAGTTCACTGTAATTAGAGAAGGGCTGTACAACGAGTCGTGGCCATTGTATTTCGGCTATTATGACCTCAAAAAGGATGACCGGGACGAGGTCGTCACGGCTGGTGATGGTCCGATCAGTTGGACTTCTATTGCGGATCTTGGTTTGGCGTCTGCTTTGGTTGTTGTCGATCCCTCGGAAAAGTACGTCGGGAAGACATTTTACCTCTCGAACTCGAGAACCAAGACTCTCAAGGATATTGCAGCCATAGTATCCAAGGTTAAGGGGAGGGAAATCCGCTTGAAAACTGTCTCACTTGAGGAACATTGTGAATATTACATCACGAAAATGGGTAGGGACAAAGGAGCTGTTGAATGGTGGTGTACGAGCTATGCTGCTCTGGAGAGGAATGAGTGTTGGATCAAAGATAGTCCGTTCAATGAACTGCTATCGAGCAGAGGCAGGCAACCAAAACCTGTCGAGGAGACTATCGAAGAGATGTTGAAAGGCTGAAAGGGCTTATTGACGAATCACAAGACCTTATGCCCTTCGTATATTCCCTGAACCGTGAATAGAGCAACACGTACATATTCCCCTACCGCTTCTATCACAGTAAATGAGAAAATTTTCCATCTATTCTCAGACAAAGCTCTATACAGTGCTTCAATAACTACCCAGACATGTGCCCTCAAAACTCTGCTCACGCTACCTTCCTATCTCAACAGCCAATACCCCGAGCTTCAAACTTCTGATCATCCACCCTCATAATTCTGGTTTCAGGCGTCTCTTAATCAAGTATGTATCAACCACAGCTTGAGTATATTACCACTTCGTCCCAAACCACATTTCTGAAAGTTGCTAACTCTCCATCATCCACAATACCTCTGCATCTGCCCAAAAAGAATATCTGCAATGGATTATGCTCGGTTTAACACTTGATCGACCAGGTCCACATATATAGTGGAAGCTCTTCACAGGTTCATGATTGGAGGAGAGCGCAATGAAAGCTGGCGACTGAGTTGGAAATTTGTGCAGGAGAGAATATTTACAAGACGAAGTGAGATTCGAGTCTGACACAGCGGTTCAGGAATAGATAGATGTATACCAAATGCAAAATAGTAATGATATTGGACAGAAGAATCATGTGTATAAATAACATGGACGGATGTAGCGATTATCGCCTGATGCTCTAGGGTCAAAGCAGGCATCGAAATGAACAGATGACAAGTCAAAGTTGAGTCCATAGTACATGTATAATATCGTAGCTTGAAACACCATCTACTACTCCTACAGAGTGTGTTCGATTGACGTACCGATGTGGAAAGGCCCGCACCAGGAAGAAAACGTAGAAAGCTACAAACTTAGCGTACCACGCGCTCCGCTATTTTTAAACAGGTAAAGAGGAGATCTAGCAGCTGAAGGAGTTGTGCTATTCTTATCGCATGATAGCAACGACGGGTTTGAGATATCGCAACTCGCGGAGAAGATGTCCAAGGGATGTGAGGGTGCAAGGAGGCCCTTAGCGCTTCCCGCTTAGCATTAAAGGGGCGGTGTTCGATGGATCTTGGCGGATGACTATCCAAGGGAGACCCAAACACTTTCAAACCATACAACTAGTGAACCCCCCATAGCCAGTAATTGAAACATACCTTACTTGAGAAGCTGCCTCACCTACTTAATCGGGACCACCACCTAAGGTCGGGTCGGATTCGAGATCCAAGCCACATACATAATTATTGAGCTGAAAACTTTCAGTAGAGAAGATTATAGCTATCATTAAAAGGCTAATTAGGGTGTAATTCAAACCAAGCCAACCCCAAACCCCCCGAAAACGAAAACGCCAAGTGACTTCGATGTACCGCGCCGTACTTCTATGTGTGCAACGCAATCATGACTTGAGACTCTCAGCCAGGTGGTTGAAATCAAACCCAGTATCGCCACTAACCCAGCTCTGTTCTTTCGCATCGATCGCTCCAGCGGTCAATTGCGGTGGGTGAACATCGTTAGCAACGGAATATGTATCCTTTATTCCACTATCCGAATGATCGATCCATGGCGAGAGTTTATTGGCACTTTGCTCAACATAATTACGCCCTTGCTTGACGGTGCTGTCATCTGTCCAGTCATGATTTATATCTATATCCTCAACCCAATTGTCATGCTTTGGGTCTGAGGTATCAGGCCATGCATGATCCCTCATCTCGGGGGTCCATTCAAGATGTGGCGTATTGGATGAAATAGCGTAATTTGCCCAGCCCGGATCATGGTCAAAAGATTCGGTGTGAGGTACGTCCCAGTGAGGAGAATTGTGGTCATAATCACCAATGCTCACAGTGGCACCGGATATGAAGCTGTCAATGTTGGCTGCGGCGTTGCTATCAACAAGAGTAGATTCGCTGTCGATCGTTGTAGATTCGAAGCTGAGATTCTCAGCAGGCATGTCGAATTGTTGATGATGATATCCATAGTCATGCCCGGCAAAAGATGGTTGAAGTCCGGCAGTATTTGCTGGCGTTGCGGGGCCCTGCAGGAAGGGATCCACTACATTTTGATGTTGAAGATGCAATGGATTATCCACCCAAGCATTGAAGTTCTCGTGCATGACGGCTGAAAGAATTTGGCTTGGATGAGGCGAAGGAGACATACACGAACGGCGTGAAGGGGTAGGATTGAGGTAGCGCCAAGTGGTTTGACCCCCCTCACCAGGTCTTGCTACACAGAATGTCCAAAGGATGATAGCTCTGCGAGTGAATGGCATATCAGGTCCAGAACGGGATTGCACTTCCTGATACATTGAGATTTGGTCGACGAAATCCCGTGCCGGTCTTGTCGAGCCGACAAGATTGTCTCCTCCGAAGGATTGAGATCTTTGCCTTTCTTCATACTTCAACTGAAGATCTGTGAGGCGGGTAAAGATATTTGCCCAGTCCTCTGCCGGAAAACGCACCTTGAGGCGAGTCTCAACATCACTAACGGACATGATGTCGGCAGCGGTTAGTCTTGCTTTCAACGACGAATCCATATTGGGATCTCGATGCAGCTCGGACGGCTTGACGAGACACGTGAGGGTCTGCCATTCGCACCTCTCGTAGTTTCGACCGGGTATTGACACCTCTGACCGAGTGACCAGATCTGCTCCTTCAGGGGCGTGTGTTCCCATGAGGTCCAGTGACACGTCCATGTGAATTAGATCACAATTCAGCTCACCGGTACTGTAAAGAGGTTCCAAGTACGGGAACCTCTGCCGCCAATTTGAGATTCCATCCAGATCCCCACGATGAAGTTGCGAAGTCAGTCGCGAGTACCTGTGGGCGACGACTTCCTTCTCACAAAGATCCCCATATTCCTCTTGGGTCCGGGTAGAAGCAATAAGCAGCCAAAAGACAGCGGGCTTCATAGAAGCTTGTTGAGGGTTTATCAGCGCCTGGTTCAGATTCTCAAACTGCTCATATCGTATAGATGGCAGTCGACCTTCAGAAAGTGCCTTCAGACATGGGTCGTTCTTGAAGGAGTCCTCAAATCCATTCTTTGGACCCTTGTTGCAGGGGAAAAGACGGTCATCTATTTGATATCAGTCAAGTGAAAACGCTATTGAAGATGCAGCTCACATGCTGGGTGATCTTTCAAGAAGCCTTTCAGTACTTGTATGTGGCTAGAGACCTGCTTCCTATCTCGTGCCATAGATGGATCAGGACGCTGTCCTGGAGCAAGACTTTGCAGATAGGCAATCCAGAGGTATTCTTTAATAAGCTCATTACGGCCGTGGGGTTTGCCTTTGTAGGTGAACTTTCTTCGGCCCATCGCGGGTATTTCGATAAGGGCTTGTTTATTGTCAGTAAACCGGGAGAAGATGCGAGGCGAGGGAGATAGTTACCATCGAGAAAGGCAATCTCGAGAATTTCGGGCCATTTTGCATCCTCTTGATTGCCGTCACGGCCTTGACGGGCTCGATATGCCTGATACTGGGGGGAATCGACTATGGGATTGCGAGTGTACCTATGATGACGCCGCCGGCGTGTATTTTGGCGTCGTTGTTCCAAGGTGCCTTGCAGAAGTTGCCGTGGAGGTTGGGATGGCACTGTTGGTATAGAGTACATGGGTCTATCCGTTTGAAGCCTATGGCCTTTACCATCACGATATAGATGCACTGAAGCCAGGGTGCGTAGCTGGGCGTTGCCAGCCGCGTTAGAAAGAGGCTGTCTGGGCTGTAGTAGAAGTTCACTGGAATCCTCCAATGAAAGGTGTTGATAGTTAGAGGGTAGGATATGTCGACAATGGTCCATCGGTCATGTACCTGATCAAGAATGCTTCTCCTGGCTCGAGAACTTCGACATACAAAGCCGGTATATCGTCACAGGGACATTCACAAAACCGTAAGTTCACGAGGCTACTAGGAAGAGCGCTTGTTGGGTGGAATAAGGATTGCAGTAAAAAATGTTTGAAGGAATGACGATGTATTTCTTGGTAGTCAAGTAGGTAGCCTCAAGTGAGAGAATGTCAAAAGCTGTCTTGAGAATGAAGGGGAATTCCCAAGCTTATAAAAGAGACAAAGAAACACCCCACCTGAGTTTGTCCCACGTAAATAGAAGTATGGCTGAGATCTCGAAAGGGCTCTCATGCAGGGTAACTCCAACGGGATTGGATTGACCAGGTTATTCACCCCTGCCGAGACTCGACACCCTCCCCAGCGCCTTCGATTATCACAAAACGAGACATATTTTAGGCAACTCAGAAGCTAGGCCGATCGGATTCAATCCGTCGAGGCAAGGAAAAATGGTAGTATGGAAAGAACCATCGTTACTTCAGTGACTGCAGGAATGTTTCATCTTGCTGAAGTATGTAGCAATTTGACGGATCCAGGTCCCTTCGGGACCACCCACGCCGCACGCATTCAGCAAGGAATGCTTCAGGTACGGCATCTGGTAATTCTACAAAAATGGCACTATCACAAGTTATTGTCTCCATTGCCCCGGTCAGTAGAGGGAGGATGCGCCGTCAGGCGTCCCCAAAATGATAAAGGACGGATCGAGGTACTCCTACCAAAATGCGGGGAGCTAACATCTAAGCATAGAATCGTGGACGGTCCAATGATTCTGCGAAGGAGGCGAAATCAAGGTTCCTTGATTGAAGGGATGTCGCCAAAGGGTGGGCGGATTTTCGGCAAGGGAGACTTTCTGCTTGCGTGCGAACTGGGTTTTAATTGTGGCTCAAGTTTGCCGAGAAACATCCCTTCAATCATCACCAGCATCGTCGCCTTCAATGTTGAATTTCTTGCGACCTCCTCCGGTAAGTTTTTGCAACGCAACCTTGTTGACTTGGCTGCCGACCTTCTTCTGCATTTTTTCGATCTCCTCCTCCGCATCAACAGGATCGTTGGCAGCAAACTCCAAAACGAGCCGGCGACCAAGAAGATGGGTGTCTTTGAGCGCTTCCAGTGCGTTTTCGGCCTCACGGGCTGTAACGAAATCTGCGAAAGCAAAGCCACGAGCAGAGTGATCGAACTTCTTTGGCACGCGTACCGATCGAAGCTGACCATACGCACCAAACAGAGCTCGGACGTCTTTCTTTGATGCCTCGAAGGGCAAATTTTTGATGATGATCTTTGTTCTCTTGCCGGCCGCTTTCTTTGCTTTGTCCTCCTTCCGCCGCTCTTCCGCGGCATCGAGTCCTCTGTGAGATGCCTTGATCACGAGTTTGTGATCCTCTAAAGTGCATCCATCCATCGCTTTGAGAGCTGCCTGGGCCTGGGCCTTGGTTCTAAACTCAAGGAATCCGAAGCCCATACTGAGAACTTGACCTGGTTTCTTCGGGTCTGTCTTGGTATTCACGCGGGCCGACAAGAATCCGTCCAAAGGTTTGAACATTTCAGTGAGACGCTCGCTGGTGGTGGTAAAGTTGAGGTTGCGAACAAACAGGGTGGTTGTATCGACTGTCTCGATAGCCACGTCCTTTTCCAGAAGATCAGAAGCTGAAAGCTTTTGGTCTGCGGGCTTCTCAGCTTTCTGGTCGGATTGCACCACCGTAGCATTGATGCTAGTGCCAGTAAACAAATTTTTGGGTGCCTTTTCAAGGAATAAGACAGAATCTTTGATACGACGATAAGCCAGGCTTGAGAATGCCGCCTTTGCATGGCCCGGTTGTGCAAACTCGACGATAGCAATTGTACCAGTTGGAGGCATTAGAACGCGAAGAACCTGCCCATACTCCTCGAACATCTTCCTGAGCTCCTCCAGAGTCATTCCATACGGGAAATTCTTGACGAGAATAGCAGTATCACCCCGTTCACGTTTCTTGAACGCGTTCAGATCGACGCCATTTTTAGCAAAATAGGATTTGGCTTCTTGAATGACTGAGGTCTCTGCTAAAGCTTGCCTAACACCAGCATCTGCCGATGTGGGATCCAGCAAGTCGTGCTTTGACACCCCCAGCCGATCAGCAATGGCGGAATTGACCGCATCTTGATTCATAAATAATGAATTCCAGTTGAAGGTCATAGTCGAAGCCTCCGTTTTCTTCTTGATCTCCCTCTGTTTCTTGAGCGGCAGCTTGGCAAGGGCAAACTCATCCAATTTCTTTTCGCGTTTCCCAGCCGCGGGTAAAATATGCAGGAGACGACCTTGGAAGGGCTCACCGTCCAAGTTATGATACGCTTCGGCGGCAGCAGCGGGGTCTACGTATTGGACCAGTACGAATCCTTTACTAGCACCCTTGGAGTCGACCGGAAGATGAACCTAGGTATTATTAGTTAGCATCGAGTGATACTGAGATAATAATAGCACATATAAGGCAGAAGTTGAGCGCTTTCAGAAAACACGAAGTATCTACTAAAATTTTCGTCCAGGTTCACATCACATGCTTTAAAGCATAAGCTGTCCCTATCTGGATATTCATCATGAAACGCGAAGAACAGGAAAAGAGTAAGGAATAGTTCACAAGGGATTCGTACCTCTTCTAGTGACCCATACGGTGCGAAGTGCTCCCTCAGCTCCTCTTCTGATGCGGTATATGGTAGATTTCTCACGAATAGTCGTCCATTTGACTTAATTGCCTCAATGACTGGGTCGGGCTTTTCGTCTTCAGCCGCTTCCCCTTCTTCCTCAACTTTAGGTGCATCGACTTCAGGTGGTTGTTCCGTCTTGTTCGGCCCTGCCACCTCCGAAATCGATTCAGCCATGACGACATCAGCGTCTTCCTTTGCTGCAGTCTCTTGACCGACAGGAAGATCCGCCGGGTCCACCAGGTCCAACAACCTGTTTGTCCGGTTTCTCAGCCAGTCATCATCTGTTGCATCAGGAGCGACAGGTTCTGGAATGATCGGTTTGCTCTCCACAGGGACATCAGCTATGCCAGCTACTGGTACTGGATCCGCAGATATGACAGGCTCGGGCGAAGTCTTCTTCAGTTTCTTAGGCACGGCTTCATACTCTGCGTCACTCTCTGCCTCCGGTATTTCAATAGCCTGGATCTTCGTGGGCGGCTCATTTGTAAGGTCATCCATCGTCTGCTCAGCCCATATCTTTGGCTTTGATGCCGGCTGCATGACTTCCAAGAACTCCTTTAACTTGGGGTCAGACTCATCAACATCGCTGCGCTTTCTCTTCTGACCCGCATTGAGGTTGGTGGCGGGAGCTGCCTCTAGACGCTCCTTGCGGCTAGCCTTCGCATTCTCCCTTTCTTGCTCTCTCTGTGCTTTCCTCGATACTGGCAGAGTCGAATCAGATATCTAAAGTCGATTAGCCCACGTTAGGATACAAGTGTGTGCAGGCCTACCCACAGGACGAGCAAGTTCCACACCAAGCCTCGACATCCTTATGAAAGACCTGTTGAAGTACTTGACTGCCTTCGCAGCATCTTCCGGTGTCTTGTAGCCGACATAGCCAATTCTTCGGTGAGATATCAACTTGGCATCGGTGATCTCCTGCTTCGAGCTGAAGTGCTTCCTGAAATCATCCTCGGATATGCTAGGCGGGAGATTTTTGACGAATATACGTGAGGAGGCCATGTTCCTCAAGATGGAAAGTAGGAAGTTTCAAGTCTGAGCATTCTTGTGGAAGGTTGGTTTCGACATTTTCAAGTCCGGGCCAGAAATTTTTATAGGCAAGCTGGGTAAAAATTCCGCCGCACCGCCAATTTAACCTAATGGCGCTAACCTAAAGTGGAATCGCGCATCAATGATGGTCCGTGCCGTGGCATTACAGAAGGATCGTGGGGAGACCAGTGTCCAGCACAAGTCCAGGTCGAAGTGATCTGAACACCTTATACCGAGTCATTGCGTCTATCTACACCTCCTATAGCTGTACCAACACAGGTATCAACAAGCCGAAGACGTCTCTATTCGATTTACCTCTATCTTCCCGCATACCATTTGTCACGCAACTGTCCACAGCTCTCGAAGCTTCCGCAGTCGACTGCGCGCCCCCTTACCTTGCAGAGGCCCACGAAGAGGAGAGCCTTTGATCTATACAGAACAATATCATGTCATCGGAGAAATTGGCCGATTCAAAGGACAAGCTTAAGAGTACGTGTCAAGGAAAGGCTATAAGCCCGGCATTTTCTCTTGCCACCTCCCCGCGCAGTCCTTACAGCTGCTAACACTGTCTCTCTACAGCCGAGATGAATTCCATGGATACCACGATGAACGCGGAGAAACCAGCTGATTCTAAGGAGAAGCTGGAGGGTACGTATCAAGGTAGAGTATACGCCTTGGCCTTTTCTTTCCCCACGTCCCCGCAAGGATCGTCATACATGCTAACGCTGCGCGTCCCCTTGTAGCTCAGATCAAGTCTGCGGATATGGTGAGGATGGAGTCCCCTGTCGATGACTTCAAAGCTGGAGCCGGAAGAGGACGTTGACTGACAGTAACCAGACCGAGGATATGCAGCAAGAAGCTATTGATGTCGGTATGTTGCGCCTCCTGGAAACATAGCAACGGGAGGACCTCGATGTCCTCCACGCCAGCGAGCGGAAGCTGACTATCTTCTCCAGCACAAGAGGGAATTTCAAAATTCAGCATCGAGAAGGCAAGACCCACTCCCCTCTGCCTCTTCACCCAGCTAACATTGCTCATAGGATATTGCTCAATACATCAAGAAGACTGTACGGCCACTTCCCACAAGCATGCAAACCCCATAGCATGGTCTCTAACAGCCTCCAGTTCGATGAGCGGAAAGGGCCTACCTGGCACTGCATCGTGGGTCGGAATTTCGGCTCCTTCATCACGCACGAGACCAAACACTTCATCTACTTCTACCTAGGCCACTACGCGATCCTGCTTTTCAAAACCCAATGAGGTGGAAGCGAGAGAGAACCGGGGGGGAGAAAGAGAGGGAGGGAGAAAGAGAGCGAGCGAGCAGCCGCTCTAAATAGTCCGCGCAACTTGGTCCCCTAACAGGAAAAGAAACAAAAGGATAGAAAAAAAGCTAAAAAGAAAGCCAATACCCCCTCCCTCTTCTTTCCCTACCACTAAAAAACCGGCAACACGAAAAGCTTCACTTTCTCTTCCCCCTTCTTCTTTTTCTTCCTTCCATCTCTTTCTTTGTTGTTGTTTTGGAGTGCGTATCTGGGATTTTCACAACATGATCGTCTTTTCTTTTCTTTTCTTTTCTTTTCTTATCATGAGCCATCTGGAAAGAAAGAAAGAAAGAAAGAAACCGAACGAAGAAACGCAGGGGGGAAAATGTATCATGTATAGCAATTCGTCCGTTGTTATTCTTGTTGTTGTTATTATTGTTTGTTTGTTATTTACCTATGAAATGAAATACCAAAAAAAAAAATCACCAAAAAAGAGAAACATGTGCCCATCTATTACATTCCATTCCATTTCCTTGGTTGTTGAGTCTCGATTGTTGAGTACCTATATATACCTAGGTATATATATTTTCGTTACGCTAGTAGTAGGGAGTGAGTGAGTGGAATGGAATGGGAATTGGAATGCGAAAGAGAGATAAGAAAATGAAATGTGCCTCCAGTACTTCAAAGAAAAACACCATGGTGTTTATTTATTTACTTGTTTGTTTTGTTTCTTGGGTATTGATATCAGAGGATGTATAGGTGGTTAAGAAAGGGAATCAAAAGAAGTAGGGGGGGCGGGGGGGTTGGACCTATGTTACTCACATCTACACAGTGGCCAAGCTATCTTTTCCACCATATTACCTAGGTATCTGCACATATCACCATCTGAACAGGAACAAGCGAAGTATGATTGATATAATCAGTGCAGACGTTTTGATTCATCTATCCATTGAGAACCTTGGTATAAGGTGTGGTATCCATCGCTCGTAAAAGCAGAAAACTCAAAATCAAAAGGAAAATCCTGGATGCATCCAGATGCAATATTTCTTTTTTTTCCAATACCGTAGATCTCCTCGCAAACAAATGCAGCACGACCTTTCTCAGACCCGACGCAATGCACGCTGTAAAATCAAAACAAAAAAAACTCCCGGGTATGAGATACGTAGGGCTGGCGCGTAGCTCAGCCTTGCGTCAATTAAGAGACGCGGGCGCGGTCTCCACATCTATAATCCCGGCCAGGATCTGCTTCTTCAGCTCACTTAGCCGCTCATGCATGTCCAGCAACTCTTGTTCCCTCTCGATATTTCTCCGTCCTTCTGAATTTGCCACCTCCCGATGCAATGCCTCGTATTTCGGGTAGAAACTCCGATACCTTCTGGCTAGGTCCACCACCTTGGGGTTGAGGGACCTTTGAGAGCTAGAGGATACCGATGATGTGACACTGGAGGATTTTTGGTGGCGCTTGTAGATCGGTGAACGGCTAACTTTGACGTTGGGATGTGCTGGGGAGGCCGAGGAAGAGGTATGACCAGAGTAACTTTCGATATCGGAGGCGTTGGTCGGGGGTGAGGAGGCCAGCGGCGAAGATTTCTGCGGAGAATTACCCTTGGCCTTATTTGAATTGGAAGATGTTGATGTCGTGGTGGCCCGGGAGGACTGGCTGGCATCTGAGACACGGTGATTGTGGCTCTCCTTAACCTTCTTACTCAGGGGGGTGCTCGAGTCGCTGGTCTCTTCCTCATCCTCACGTGAGCGTTTCATAGGGTTCGGCTCCGCCTTTGTAGTGGTCATATAATCGTCTTCTTCATCCGACTCACTGACGAACTGTGATGAGAGGACTTTACCAGCCGGCTTTTTGGGCTCTTTCGCTTTCTTGATAGGGGCTGGCTTAGGTTTCGTCTTCGACAATAATCGCTTCGCTTGGGCTGCCTGCTCGCTGACCTTCTTCGTTTTCGTTACAGATGGTTGAGACGATGGTCGAGCCGTGCTCTCCCCCTTCGCCTTCGGGTCCTTCTTCTCACCGAATAGATCTTCATCCCCATCATTAGACGTGTCACGGCCTGAGTCCTCCGCCTTCTGGACATTGATCTTGGGAGCTCTCTGAACTGGGCCTTGCGCAATCTGAGCTTGAAGCTTGCTCAAGCACTTTCCCGTACCACGCTCCGCTTTTGGCAGGAGTCGGTCCCACTGTGGCTCCGAAACACCCAGTCGCAACTTGTCATACTGCTTGACCGCGTTGTCAATCGCCCGCTGCCGATCGTCGCTCGTCTCGTAGTCATAGCTCCAAACATCCAGCTCCTTGTAGAAATTCCTCCTCAGCTCCCACTTACCAGTCGACTGGTTTAGATCTCCGACCTTCTGCAGTGCTTGCTTGAGATCGCTACTCGAGGCATGTGGGATCTTATCACGAAGAGCATCCTCGCTCGTGGGACCGAGGGCGAGTAAATGTACGACCGGCTTGCGGGTGGCCTTTGCTTGCTCGGCTTGTTGTTGCGAGAGGGGGACAGAGGTGGGACCGAGAGAGGGGGAGCCCGTGCCGCTCGACTGACCTGACCGGGTCGTATCGCTGGAGAAAGATCGGTTCTGGGAGAGGAGCTTGCTCCTACTCGTCGCCTTTGCAGGCGGCCCGCCTCGCCGTCCTGAGGGGACGGGAAGGCCCACGCCATCCTTGATATATTTCGTACTGCCCCCACGTCAATACGAGCTTCCCAAGCATCACCAGCCTGACCACTTACGTATTCTCCGCCTTCTTGGCATTCTCTGAAGCCAACGAACTCTGTAGAGCTGCCAGAGCTGCATCTGTAGATTTAGCAATGCTGGGGGTGGCGGCTGGAGCGGTCCTGCTGCTCGGCGGAGGGTTCTTCTTGGATGCGACGAAGCCCTTGGGGGCAAACATGGCTAGGAATTGGGGGTGCGGTTTCTCAGCTGAGACACGGTTTATCTGGTGGGGCTTCACAGCGAGTGAATTTGAGGATCGCGACTGGGATTCGGAGTCGGAGGTGGAAGTTCGATAGAGTTCTTGGGGGAAAGGATCGGTTGATGTAGCAAGATGTTGGGTTTTGGTTCCGTATTGCAAGCTCTGTATGTTGGGAAGTGGATTGTTAGCAAAAAGAGGTAGGTTCTCAGTATTGGGGCGCTCTGGAAGAGAGCACCGTTATGGCTATTGGCACAAAGCTCAATAAGAGCCAGTGCAAGCTGAAGAACTCGCAACAGTCTTATCTAGGACTCGCCGAGCAGAGATGGAGAGTAAATGAGTGAATGAGAGAGTGGGAGAAGCTTACGGGATGTTCCCCCAGGGACAATTGGAGGGGTTTCCCATTGTTGTAGCAAGCAATCATCTCCTCGATCACGCTGTCCATCAAGGTCAGGCCGAAGACATTGGGGACGGCAGTGCCTGGCTTGGAAGGCTGCGGCGAGCCTTCCAACACCAAGCCCGACTGTGGGATAACGAGAGCAGGCATTTTGGAAGGTTGAGGAGAATGAAGCGGGAATCGTAGAGGATCTTGTAAGTGGGCAGGCCCGAGACGGCGAAGGGCTATGGTGAATGCATAAAGGCGATATCAAGGTGCAATTCTCACCGACGGGATGATTCGATATTGGGGCGGAGGGCAGTGAATGGAGTGATGGGGATGTAGTCTGTAGAGATGGAGAGGGAGGAATAGGAGAGGATAAAAGGAGAGAAGAGTGGAAAGAGAGGAGGAAGAAAGAGGGAGAGAGAAAGAAGTTGAGAGGGGAGAGAGAGAAAGAAGGTGAGGAGAGTGAGGAGAAGCAGAGAGGAGTGAGAGAGAGAGGAGAGAGAGGAGGAGGCCTCATTGAGGGGATTGCCTGTCGGGCGAGAACCAAGAACGAGGCGTTCCTCGCTCAGCCAGCAGAGCAAGAGGCTACGGCGGCCGGCCCGTGCTACGACGCACTGCAGCTGCTGTCGATGTAACATGTGCGAGGTACAGTAAGGGTACGTCCCAATACACCCATACCAGGGCAGCGGTCTAGGTACCTGAGACGTACCATCTGGTATATGGCCGGTTTCGCCCGTCTCGGCTGCCGTAGCCGCTGCGGGCGCCAGAGAGAAGCCAGGCGAGAGGCAAAGAGAGACGATTCTGGCCCCGTTGATCTTGGTCTTGGTCTGGATCTTAGAACAAAAACCATGGGGACTGGACTGTCGACAGTGCTGGAATAGAGAGAGGTACGTTCCATCTACCATATTACCATGTATCATGTACCGCGTACTATCATCTACAGTTACTTCGTACAGAGCACGTCCTGTACCTCTGGACCGGATAGACAGACGGTGCTGCACCATGTCGCATGCGGCATGGATCACATCGTCCCGTCCCACTGACGCTGCATCTGATTTGCCAGCCGAGCATCTGCGACGGAGTAGGACAGGAAGAGCTACGGAATAGCTCCAGCTCGGGCCCTGCTGGCGAGAGAGAGGAGGTGTGAGGTGTGAGGTGTGAGGCAGAGGCGGAGAGGCGGAGGCGGAGGCGGCCAAGACAAAGAGACAACAAAGAAAGACACCATCAAGGGACACGAGACGCGTGCCAGACCAACAATGGAATCAAGTCGCGGGCAGGGAGCTGAAGATAGATATAGAGACCGGGATATGCTTGGGATATACGGTATACCCTTATTGACACAGGGACTCTTCTCGCTTTGGCTCTCCAGAGTTCCAGCAAGAACCCGGAGGAATGCAGCCTCTTGCACAGGCCCGTCCCTGCTGTACCATATGATGCACATTGACGACCACCCTGACCCTGAGGATCTGAGCCTGAGCCTGAGCCTGATCCCGAATCCCGAATCCTGCATCCTGATCCTGAGTTTCTATAACCGGCTTCCCAGTGCTTGCCGGGCCGGGATGCAGAGGGATTCAGACTTCAGACTTCAGACTTCATACTTCAGACTGCAGACCTCAGACGACCTCACGACCTCCGACCAAGAGCTACGACAAAAGCACTTTCGAATCTCGATACTGTTGGCCATCGGGCTATTCAACAATTCTGAATCACTGATCCAGATCTGGTGTCAGATTCCTCCCCCCCTCAGCGCCCACAAAGGACTACTCGCCCGACTATCTCGACCATCCCAGGAATCTACCATAATAGGTACAAACTAACGTCTATAGCCCAAACTCAAAATTCCCTTTTTGAGCCCGGCAGCATCAGCGATCCACGCCTTCGCATCGTACATCTCCCCGTGTCGCATGGCCCTGCTTCTTTGCCTGTGCGCCGCCGTGATTGGCCCCGAAACACGATCTATCGTTAGTAGTATTGTTGTTCGGGCAGGTCTTCGAGTCCGGATTTGTATACTGTACCGTCCTTGTAGTAAGTCTATAAGTACCACACCCTCCTCACCCCCTCGTCTGCCTGCTGAGCTCCTGGGACGCGCGCATCGATCTATACTATACCATGCGTACGGCACGGAACCACCGATCCCTCATCTCGCATCTACCGTACTGTTATCTCATCTCCTCTCGCCTCTGACGAAACACTGCGCGCGGTGGCTGGGACGCTGCTCTGTCGGGCTGACCGTCTGACTGTTTCGAGTCGTAGACGACGTATCGAACGGAATGCTCTGCTGCATTGCTTACTAGAAGAGATAGACAGAGCGGCCGGTGTGGCGACGGCGTCCCTTATGTTCTGGAATCCCCACCTTCCATCAGATATCGACAGTAGGTAAGGTAGTGCAGTGTCTCCCGAGTCTAGACCTCTCTCTCCCGAGAGACTCCCGAGGCTGACCCGTGCTGCGTATATGGACGATTGATATTGCAGCCAGCAAGATTGAATTTCTGGGAGAATTGCTACGATGTATCTCCCTCGCGTCTCAGGTACCTCGTGCATACCTAGTGGACATAGAGCTTTTCTCTGGTGCATTGCTCCTGTGGAGAGCGCCGGACTGCAACGTTCTCCATTCTCCATTCCCTCAACAAGTGTCGTCTTACGTGGGACTCCTCACAGAGAAACAGGCAAATAAAGAAAGAATTGGAGAAACAGAAATGAAAGGCCCGGGACCTCGTAATTTGTTACCTCCAGCGCCCAATCGGCCCTCTTCCGCTTGAATACCCCCACGAGTCGATGGCACGGTGCTTTGTGTTGGTCGCATTCCTCAGCTCGCTTTTTGTCTCCTGCGTCTCGGGAGGTCTCACCACCCCGTGTGTGCCCCGATCTCCTCTCTCCGCTCGCCTCCAAGCTCTCCCTATGGAGTAGTATGTTTCTGCGGCTGAGCTCCGTCATACATACGAGACGAACATACACCACGACGGCCGAGCTTCCCAGGAATCCCAGGAAGAGGCGGTCAATGAACATCATCGCATCCCGTCCTCGTGTTCACACGGCCCGCTGCCCGCACGGCGTGTACCTACGTAGATACCTCCGTCGCGCCGAACAGCCTTCCCGCATGCTACCTACCTTACCTTACCGCCGTCGAGGTATTATCCAATGGGTCATGTGACGACAATCCCACCACTCTCGGAGAATCAACCCCACACGCTGCACGCCTACCGCCAACGACCAAACGTTCAACATGCCATGTCTAGGTGCTTAATAGTTTAATGTACGGTATCCTGTCTGCCGTTGTTTTTATTTACTCAATAAGAGCGTAATGATTTCGGCCCGGTCTAGTATCTACATAAGGAACTCGGACGCCAAACCTCTCTAGAAAATAAAGTCGACCAGCTCTGGACCGCTATTTGCACGTGGAAGTTTCCAGTTGCGGAGGATCACCTCCTCCTTGTTCGGGACCGATCTACCCAGTCTTGCTGTTGCTATTACTGTCGCTGTCGCTATTCATTATCACTGTCGCTGTCGATACTTATTATCACTGTCGCTATTACTGTTATAGAGTTGAATGTAATGTTCAACTACCCTGTTTGGACACGTTCAACGGAATTGCGGATCCTCCAGCTTCAAACTCTTGGTCAGAGGTGTTAAAGGGGTCGTCGTCTATCTTACTAAAGGAGCTAGAGCTAAGGTAGAGAGATCGACTAGTGTCGATTCTGACAAGGCGAATAAAGAAAAGCTTTCTAACAAGCCTAAATGAGTGGCTCCTAAAAGTCGAGATAATACGGGCCCGGTGCCAACACGGTTCTTCCGATTAGGCGCTCTCCCGAGAGATCTTGTCTGCCTTGGACACATGAGATTCCGAGTTCTGTCGGCTAACAAAACCGAAGCCCATCTGGTATTCAGCTCTAGGATGATGAAATGAATACCAACAAGCCTTGGAAGGACTCAAGCTTCGCCACCTTGAATCAGATCATACTACAGTCGTCCGCTCTCTAGCTGAGATTGTTCAGCATGCTCTAGCACTAAATAATATCATAGCGACCGTTACTCCCCGCTCTCGGGATATGTGGACAGTTCTTGAGGACCAGATTATAGTATCAACGACGCACATGATCGAATTGAATAAGCCTCTTTCAGAAGAACTTATTCTGCTTTGGTCTCGGGGTTTGATATTCATTATCGCTGTCGCTGTCGCTGTCACTCTCACTCTCACTATTACTGCCGGTGTCACCATTACTGCCGCTGTCTGAAACTTGCGAAAGTAGTCTAGCACATGCTCTCAAAGGATTTGGTATCTCTGCTTCGTTTGTGCGACACCTGGGAGAACTTCCTCGCATATGTAGGCGCTCAAGCGCTTTACGAGCCATTTTGTAGTGATATTAGAGCATAATCTGTCTAACTTTTGGATCAGTCAAAGTCAGATAAGGTAAAGGGTAATGATAAAGTTGTTGTGTGTAGATTATACAGGCTTGTTGTAACTTGTAAATAGTCAGGCATTCGGAATCTAGGTATCCAGACTTTGGAGCTTGTTAGATGAGATGCGAGATTGTCTAATATAAGGAAGGAAATATCACCTCGATAGCCTGAAGAAGAGAACAACCCGGCCGGTACATGGAATTACTGGTAGTATGTAGGCATGTCTTCTCGACTTGGAGAGCATAAAGATGTGCTTATCTCCCTGGGCTACTATTACCTACCCTATATCCTAGAATTACTCAATACACAATTCTTCTACCCATACCTTTGCCTGACAATTGGTAGCAACACCTCGTTGCGATACCTCCATTCAAGGCCGGACCACCCATACCGATTATCGATACCAATCCCAAAGCCCAATACCAGACCTGATATGTCGCTATCGCTATCTATTACTGCTGTCCCCATTCACTATTACTGTCGCTGTCACTATGTAATATCGCTGTCGCTGTTACTGTCACCGTTGCCCAATTGATATCTGCCTCCGAGTATCGATTCTATCGAAAGGGAAACACGCGGACCACCTTGGTGAATCTAAAGCGTAAAGGGTAGGTACTCGTGGGTGATTCCACGCAAGGCACAGAGAAATTACGCTGCGGGGTATTCGAAATGATCTATCGTAACGTAAGATCGATCCCAGAAAGTTATGGCGCTCCTATTTCGGATCGAATGGCGTTGACCCGTGACCAGTCACCAAAATCCTGCCAGACGATAGATAATAACCAAAGCGAACCTACCTATCCTTCCGCAATAAGTGCAAATTCTCGGCAGTTCCTTTAACTGAGGAAAGTAATCTAGCTTGAATTGTCGGTGTCGTTTCGTGATGACCTGGATTTTGCAGAAGTAGAAATTGTCATGAAGGTAATGGTGGAGGCTTCGGGGCTCCTCAACCTGAGTACAAGGCCTTTGATCTTTCTCTTCCTCTTCCTTCCCCTCGTCTGACAACGTTCTTGCGAAGTGGTGCAGTCTCTTGCAATAGCAGCAGTAAATTATCTGTTGTAGGTCTCGATCTGATAGAGCAAGGAATGATTCTCTTTCTTGTTGCCCCGCTGTGGAGCAACATTAAACCTACCCGACCAGTTTGTGAACGGAGGGAGTGCCTCGTTATTGATTCTTCCTAGATATACAGGCCTAGTTTGGCGTATGTATAGCGACAGCTCAAATTCAGGCCAGCGGCGGAGGGTGTCGGAAACAAGCTCACGATTCGCTGCAAGAGCTCTCTCTGCTGGAAGACCATTTAGCTTCTTTGGATCGCATAGAATTTGCTCGGGCACGGGGCGTAGAGAGGCGACTATCCATCCTCCAGATTACATGGAGAGGGCTTTTGAACATTAAGGAATCTTCTGTTACGGATCGAAAAATGTGTGGGCGCTTCTTGGAATCGGCCATGAGGCTCTGCGAGTCTCACACCGGGAGTCTCGGAGCCTCGCGCTTTCCGAGGCCGAGCTAGACCCATCTCGCCTCTAGCGCCGCATGGGCCCCCGACGACGTCATTGTGGATTGCACTATTGCCTAGACCAGGATAGGTATAGCGCCACAGCTGACGAAGAGAGCTTCACGGCTTTGAAATCCGGGCGGCCTCCAAAACAACAACTTGGTCAATTGACAATTGGATTTCTGTTCGTTGCAACAATCCCCTACAGCAATCATGTTCGCACGACAAGCCTTCCGGGCTGCTCAGCCATTGAAGACCGTAAGTGATCCTCCATTCCCGGGCTTGCGGGCTCGTTTCCAACGAATTGAGGCTGATTGCTTCCTAGCAATACCGTCGATATGCCACCGAGCAATCAAGCGGCGGCTCAAACACTCTGCTGTATGCGGGGGCTGCCGCCCTCTTGGGAGCTGGAGGGTACTACTACTTCAGCCAAGGCGACAATGCGGCGAAGGCCAAGTCAGCCGTGAAGGAGGCTGAGGACAAGGCCAAGGCTGCTGTAGAGAAGGTTGAAGGCAAGGCCAGCAAGGCTGCCTTCACCGGTGGCGACCAGGGCTTCATTAGCTTGAAGCTCGACAGTGTCGAGACTGTGAACCACAACACCAAGAAGTTCCGCTTCGCATTGCCGGAGCCCGACCAGGTCAGCGGCCTTGCTGTTGCGTCTGCTCTCATAACCAAGTTCAAGGGCCCAGCGATGGAGAAGCCCGTCATCCGACCATACACACCCATCAACGATGAGGGTATGGTCAAACCCCTGAACTGTTTCTGAGGATTTTCTAACGTCTGTTCTAGATGAGAAGGGATACTTGGAGCTCCTTGTGAAGCAGTACCCGAATGGGCCGATGTCCGAACACCTGCACTCTATGGCGCCTGGTCAGCGACTCGACTTCAAAGGACCTATCCCAAAGTACCCATGGTCACCGAACAAGCATAACCACATCGCTCTGATTGCTGGAGGAACCGGAATCACGCCCATGTACCAACTTGCACGCGCAATCTTCAAGAACCCCGACGACAAGACCAAGGTTACACTGGTGTTCGGCAACGTGTCAGAGGAGGACATCCTGCTGAAGCGCGAGTTCGAGCACCTGGAGAACACCTACCCCCAGCGATTCCGCGCCTTCTACGTCCTTGACAACCCGCCCAAGGAGTGGAAGGGTGGAAAGGGCTTCGTCACCAAGGAGCTCCTGAAGACCGTCCTGCCCGAGCCCAAGGAAGAGAACATCAAGGTCTTCGTCTGCGGTCCCCCTGGCATGTACAAGGCCATCTCCGGCCCCAAGGTCTCCCCCACCGACCAAGGAGAGCTCGACGGTATTCTCAAGGAGCTCGGATACTCAAAGGACCAGGTCTACAAGTTCTAAGGACTGGACTGGACTTGACCTGCTTGGGATGAGGGTATCACACGTGTACTATTATTAGGAAGGATATCAGGATGATGATCACGAGACATAGACAGACAGAAAGGCAGAAGATATTATTCCGTAGATACGAAATTCAAGATCGCGCGTGTCTCGTCCCTATGCTTCCAGTGCCAAAAATCATGTATCCACCACACTTTGCACTCCCGTAGCAAACCTGCTTCAATTTCTCTAAGGTAGCTACCTTACCTTAGCTTAAGGTAGCTGCTTGGTATCACATAACATAACATAACATCACATCATCCCCCATTCTATATCCTATATCCTACATCCGATCCTCCCACGTTAATCCCCACACAAAAACATCCCCCTTCCGATTCCGACATCCCCCCCCCCTTTTTCCCGAGCTTCTCCTGTCCCTCCCCTCCCGAGTCCGGCTATTTCTATACCCGCACCCGTAGCGCGCCCGTGTTGAAAAGCGGGCCGGTGGCCGTTCCGTCGGTCGACTTGTAGATTTGAGATTTGGTTGGGCTTTTCTGAGAGGGGTTCGCTATTCATTTAAATAGATAGATGGATAGTTGGATTGGTGGATTGGATTTCATTAAAGAGGTTTTTAAGTAGGTAGATATATATCCTTAGATAGGTAAGGTAGGTAATCATCAATATCGTAACTAGGTAAAAAGGAATCGGAAAGAAAGGAGGGACTTGGAGCCTCTATCTGTACCATGGCTTCTTGGGAGTAAGGTTAAAAGCCAATTGCGCATCTACCTTATACTAGAAAATAGACCGATGTTTTGCCGAAAAACCCCTGTAAAAACAAGGGTATTCTCTTAATTCTCATTAGCTCGCTACCCGGTTCCCTGCCTTAGGCCCCTACACGCGCTGTACGCGCTCTCTTACCTACCTACTACCTACCTACCTATATATTCTTTTTGACGCGTATCCTTCCTCTTACCTCTTCCTTACTCTTTACAGATCCTTCTGTTTCGTCTGTTTCAAACCGCTCTCTACCTACTGCCTAGCTGTTCTACCTTAGTTCGTAATAATAGAATCCCCTACGCTAACCCCTATACTAACCCTTACGCTAACCCCTATACTAACCCTTACGCCGTCCCCTTCTATTTAGTGCCAGATCTGTAGCTTACACTATCCTACTATCGACTTTACTGTTAAGAGGAACAAGGCCCGTTACTAGACGTGTTTTTAGTGTAAGGTATGTAGTTATAGCTTACTATAGTAAAGCTAACCTTTCTATCGCTATATAAGATCGTATATAGTAGACTCCTTTACAAGATCTTGATCCTAATACTACTAGGGCGCGCCTTACCTGTTAAACCGCTACCTAGCTAGCCTCTAAGGCCGAGCTTATAAATGCCCCTACTCTAAAACGTCCTTATAGACGCCCTTACTAGAGCGTTACAATCATAATTTAGCGTCTCCCTCTAGCGCTATAAGGCCGCCCTCTCCTTATAGACGTGCCTACACCTCTATAGTAAAGAGGCCGCCCTTACTAAGATCTAGTAGACACTACTCTAACCTATAGAGGCTTTATGATATATAAAGACTTTGTTTCTAGGCCGCTTTTAAGTCTATAAAAGGCTGTTATAACAGATAACCTAGAATTACGGCTTTTTATATAATCCTCTAAGTTCTACGACCCGAACTTTACGCTACTATCTATCTCTAAGCTCTATAATCTATACTAGTTTTATGATCCCTAACTCTCTCCTAAACTCTTAGATCCTTTCTTCTCTTCTAAACTCTTAGATCCTTTCTTAACCCTATAAGCCCTAGTTATACAGCCCTTATAACGGTCTAGTAGTAGTCTATAACCCTCTATAGCTAGAGACGATCCTATGCCTAGTAGACCTAGTAGACGATACCTAGTAGCGTTCTTGTCTAGCTTTAACATTAGGGCTAAGGCCTATAGTTTAGGCCGTATAACACAGGTCTATTATTACTACTATACTTTATAGTAGGTTAAGGAGGGTATATTATATTACCTTAATAAGGAGGTAGATCTCTTACTTATTACTAACCTACCGCGCTTTTTATAAAGGCTCTTAGATAAGAAAGATACTTGTAGCGTAGACTTCTTAAGAAGTATATAGAGGTATAACTTAGCGCTTATACTTACGTCTTATAATTTTACGTAAGACACTTGTTTTAATACGTTATAAAGTATCTACGTCTTCTTAATCTATAGCGAGCTCTACTACCTCTAGAGGCCCCTAGACACGTTACTAGGCTAAACCCCTTCTTTTACCTAGCTGTTTATTTACGACCTAGATTATACTAACTCTATTTAGTTATAGACATTTATAGGTTTAAACCCTAAGGTCCTTTACGAGCTTTTGTAATAGCTTTGTAACAATAATCGTTTTATAAAGGTATATAAGATAGCCTATAAGTAGCTCTATAAATAAGAAGGTAAACAAGAAGGCGTTTTCTAGATACTATTAAATCTATAGATATAGCTAGTTCTAGAGTAGGGTACAGATTATCGTAAGTACAACCTACTTACAACTAGTAACGAGCTTGCGGCTATTATTACGTATAAAACAATAAAAGTAACGTGCTATAATATTGTTCTTATAGTCTATAACCTAAGTACAAACAAGCGCCCTCTTAAGTAGATTAATCTTACGACTATAGTGTATATACCCCTTTACTACGTGCTTTTCTTTCTGTATAAGGACTATAGCTAGTACTATAGGTTAACTCTCTATAACTAGAACAGTACTTATTAGTAGACCTGTCTATAGTAGCGCTAGTTCTATTAGTACTGTCTTATAGCCTACAAACGCTAGTTTTTAATCCTCTACTACTCTAGACGCCTATTCTAGTAATATTATGTTAATAGTTACATCTATACTAAGTATACTACTCTTAACTAGATTAAGTAGAACTAAGATAAGATACAGGCCGATCTTTACTAAGGCTTAGTAGATACAATAACTTGTAAGGATTATATTAACCTTAAAGAGCTTAGCCGTAAGGTAATCGTCCTTTTAGCCTCTTATATAAGAGGCGATAAGAGTATATAATAGTAGTATTAGGACTTAATAGCTATCGTCTGTTACTTTAGTAAGCTAACCCTTTTTATTACCTTTATAGCTAACCTAAACTAGCTAGAGATTAGGGATTAGCTGTTACTAGGCTAGACAGCTAGTAATTAGCCTAATATAGTAGTCTACGTCTTTTACTAGAAGGTTAACGAGCTACTAAAGGACGTCTATAAGGGTATTTTTAGGCTGTATAGTACTTACGTTTATACGATTAAGTACTAGAAACGCGGCCTACTATATATATACCTATTAGTATTCCTTTAGGTAGACTTAGATTACCTTATACCTAACTAAATTAATAAAATTGTCTGTACTAAGCTTTTACTTTGTTTATAAGACCTGTTAGAAGAGTTAGTAAGAGTTGTTATAGAATAGATAACCTACGGCCCTTATAAGGATAACAACCCTAACTGTCCTTATATATAGAGTAAGACGCCTAATAGCCTAAAAACGTACTTAAAACTCTTTTTTAAGGCCTTTATAGAATAGACGATTGTCTAAGAGAATTCGTACTCTAAATACTAACGCTAAGACAATAGGTACAAGTTTATAGTCCCTAAACTAGGCTACCCTAGCTAAGTAATAACCTATAACAATCGTTAGGTAGTTCTTTATAACCTGTACCTACTTTAAAAGTTTTACTCTTATATTAACGTTAAGGTTTGTATAAGTATTAAGGCCGTAAAGTATATGTACAAGTACGTTTATAAAGGTTTAGATTACACGACTATAGCCGTTTTAAAAACAGATGATATTAACGAGATTATATAGTACGTTTAGGCCTGTTACGTAAGGGTAATAGAGGCGTACTAGTGTTTGTTTAATTTTAGGTATTACTAAGAGTTCTTATACGTTAAGCGTTTAGCCTTATACTTAAAGGGTTAACAGGCTGTCTTTTTTAACAAGGAGTTAACCTCTTCTTAGTTAGCCGTAAAGGCTAAAACAGCTAAGTTAACCTTAATAGGCTTCTTTAACTATAATACCTGTTAGGATCCTAATCTAAAAAGACTGTACTAGAAGTTCCCTAACTACTACGTATAGTATAAGAAGATAGGGTAGTAGCGCTTATAGTAAAAGGGGTAGGCTATTAGCTGTATATACTACTATAGTCCTATTATAAGTAAGTGTTACTACTTACGGCTCTTACTTACTATTGTTCCTAGTCTAAAATCGTTTAAAGAGCTATACGAATTTGACGGCTAAACCTACCTAACGTATTACGCTATGTACGTAATACGTAAGTTATATAAGAGTGATTAGAAGTGGTTTTAATACTTTAATAAGGCTAAGCTCTTTACGTCTAAGAGTAGGTTATAGACGCTTTTTTTGTTAGACATCTGTTACAAGGCTATTACAGATCTAACGGCTTTATAAGATTAGTTTAAGGATAATCTGTATAACGATCTATACTACTAGCTTAAGTAGGCGCCTACTAGCTCTTTTCCTTTCCTGTTACTTAATCCTTACTACGATTATAGACTGTTTCTAATAGAAAAGGGGCTTATAGATCTAGGTAAGTCTCTAGTAGGCGTATAGTTACCTAAAAACAGGTTTAATTAGTCTTAGGTAGAGGCTGTAAGGGAATAGTACGATCCTATAACAAAGGCTACTCTAGCTAAAGATCTTAGACGAGATTTAAACAAGGGCTAGAAGAAGTACTTTAATACTATTATTATAGCTATAGAAAACAGCCTAGAAATAGCCTACTTCTATCTCTAAGGCCCTAGTAGTACTAGTAAGACGTACCTTTACTAGACCCTTTACTACTACTTTTAGGGCTTAGGTAAGGCGGTTTTCTATATTACCTCTATAAGTATTATAGGCCTCTTACTACTAGGTAGCTATACCTCTTACTCTTTATTTAAGATCTCTGTTCTTATATATAAGGCGTCTAAGAGTATAATAACTAAGACTTTATAGGCTAGAAGGCTCTTACAATAGGCTAATTTAATTATTTAGGACAAGGTTCCTATATAAAACAAGTACTATTTTAAGGTAGTCTACTAGCTGTTTATTAACTTATAAGGTACTATAGATAACGTTCTCTTTAGTAGTATACCTATTATCCTTAGTAAGGACTTTGCTTAGATCCTCTTAGTCGTCTGTTATAGCTTGTAGGCTAATATCGTTATAGTATCTCTTTAAAATACGTAGATCTAGCCGCGGCTTAAGTAGTTACGCCTATAGACTAATATATAGGTAAGAGATAGTCTACTAGATTAACAGTTTGTATAGTAGATTAGTAGCCTACTATACGACCCTGCCCTTTATAGCTAGGTAACGATACCCTTATATATCTCTTAGCCTTAGACTATACTCGAGCTTATTAACACTATTTACCTAAAGGCTCTCTTATAGTAGGCTGTTATAGACTATACCCTCTTTTATAAACAGGTAATCCTGTCTGCCCTAAACAAGACTATAACAGAGCTAAATTACTTAGTCTACAGTCTGTTTAATCGTAGAGGTAACAAACGTACTTATGTAGTAGTCGACTTAGTAGACGTAAACAATACTAACCCGGACGTTATAGTACTACTAGTTAAGTACCTATAGAGTATTAATCTCTTATTACTACCCTTATTAACCTTAAAACTTAAGATAAGGACTCTAATTATAGTATTATAGAACCTATGCCTCTAGTAAAGGTTGTGTAACAGGTCGTAGATAGTCGTTACTAAGCTACGGCCCTACTATATTAAGGCCTAGTTTATCGGTAGTAACTTTAATAAGTAGTTATAGACGATCTTACGTATTAAGTTATCGTTAAATAAGGAGGACGCTCTCTCTTTTACCTTAATCTATAAGTAGTTTCCGGTCTGTCTAAGCTTTACTATAACGATTAACAAGTCCTAAAGATAGTTGTTTATACGTATTAGGCTAGATTTATAGTTTCCTGTTTTCTCTTATAGTTAGTTCTATATAGCTGTCTCCTAGGTTACGTCTATAGTAGGCCTGTCTGTTCTTTTACTAGAGAGGGTAAGTACTACTACTAATATCGTCTACCTAGAGGTATTACAAGATATTAATCTAATAGAGTAATCCTTTATAGTTTAATAGCGTATAGCGTTAGCTATATACCTATAGCGTTATCTATTTTTATAATACTATATATATTGTATACTATATATTATTCTTCTATAGGTATTATATCTATAGTTTACGGTCTGTTTTTACTGTTTATAAGTGTTAGAGAGGTTTTAGGTATATGCTTTAGTGTAATTATTCTAGTTCTATTATATAACCCTTATAAAGGCGCCCTTTATAGGACTTAGTAGTCTGTAAACTATACCTCTACTCTTTCTCTTTATTATTGTTGTCTTTATTCTCTACCTTAGCTTAGGCTAGAGTAGCGAGCTTAAGCTAGATTTCGGCCTAGCGGCCTATGATTTTGGCCTAGCCTAGGGTTTAGGCTTTGTTAAGAAGTCAGGTAAAGTAGCTACGTAGCGTAAGTAGTACTCTAATAGTACTAGCGCTAGGGACAGTAGAAATAAGGCCGCGAGGGCTAGGGCTATAGTAAGGACAAGGGCTAGTAGTAAGGTAGGTAGTAGGTACGTATACTAGGGCTAGGGCTAGTAAGAGAGTAGTAGCTATTAACAGTTAGTTATAGACTTATAATTAGGATGTTATAAGGCGTTACTATTAGCGGCTAAGGCGATAGTAGAGAGGGCTACTATACGTAGTAAGTTTTCTATCTGTATATAATAAGGGTAGTATACTTATAGTAACGTAAGGGACAGGGGCCTAAGGCTAGGGCTAGGGCTACTAGGGCTATAAGTATAGCTCTTAAGGCCTACGCTAGTAAGACAGGTAGTATAACAGGCAGGCTAAGGAGTATAGGCGCGGCCGCGAATATAGTATTAATAGTAGATATAAGGGCAGTAGATAGTATAAGTACAAAAGTCTAGCCTACGGCCTGTTAGTTATAGTATACCTTAAATCTACCCTATTAAGTTAACTTATAAAAGGAGTAACAGATCTCCTTACTACTATAGTAGTAATTTGTATAGCTCTAACTTAGCTATCTAAGTACTATAATACACTCTATCTATAGGCTAGCACTATTTTAATAATAGCTATAGCCCGGAAGGTTTACCTAACCTATAATATAAGCAAGCTCTACCTCTAGGTTACTAGCCCGGTTTTAGTTTAGCGGGTTACGGCCTAGATAGAGAGTTGCCGGCTACTATAGTACTATAGTAGCGAGGGCCGTTATAGTATAGGTAGCGTTCTAGGGGAGGAAGGGAAGAGTAATAGCCTTAATAGACAGGTTAGTATTAAGGTACACTCTATATTTAGGGTCTTTAGCTAACTTATAAGACAGTAAGGGTAGCGGCTATAGTAGTAGTAGGGGTAATAGCCCTAACAGACAGGTTAGTATTACTATATGCTCTATATTTAGGGTCTTTAGCTAACTTATAAGGTAGTAGTAGTAGTAAGGGCTAGGGCGACAGTAGTCGCGACGCTAGCTAGGAACACGGCTTTAAAGCTAGGAGAGGAGAAGCTAAGGACTAAGCTAGCCCGACTATTAACAGGCTATTAGCTACGTATACAGTAGTCTGTTACGGCTAGAGGTAGGTAGTTACTTACGTGCTAGTAAGGGGGTTACTATTATAGGCAAGGGAGGTTAGTGGCCTGTTAGATCTGTTAGTCTCCTTACTCCTTAGATCTAAGGGTTAACTTACTATAAGCCTCTACGAATTACAGTACCCTTAGCGGGCGTAAGAAAGTCCTTCTCGAATCTATCTATCTAGAAACAGTCCGTAAGGTTAGGAACAACAGGCCGTAAGTAAGGCCGTATACTAACTTTGTCTTTAGTATTATAGTTATAGTTAAAGTTATAGTTAAAGTTATAGTTAAAGTTGTAGTTAAAGTTAAAGTTAGAGTTAGAGTTAGTAGTAGGTAGGATAAAGGATCGTTAAGATCGAGTTTCTATATAGCTAACTACTACTATTGTCTCCTTTAACGGTAACAAAGAGATTAATTAAGCCCCTTACAGCTAATAAGAGTGCTCTATCCGTAAGTAGCGATTTTAATATCACGTACTGTTACTATTGTCGTCTACAGGTAATAAGAGCCTTAATTATTCTATAGGTAGCTTACTAATCACATATTTTCAGGTCACGTGTCCAAGCATTGCACCTACGCGAGCGAAGCGAGCGATTGCATCCTAGTACTTTGTATAACATCACGTCATATTCGGACATATACCCCCCCCCCTTTCCCCCCAAAACAAATCGTAGACGAGCCACTGCAGTAACCCGCCATCAAGAGCCAGCGCTCCCGACAGCGTAGGTGAATTCCTGCGCCTCCAGGATACGCAGGTATTCCGCGGCGTTGCGCCAGCGCGCGCCGAGCCGGCGCAGACAGTGACGGATGGACTCCAGGGCCATCTGCGAGGCCTCGTCGCCGCTCTCGCGCACCAGCCAGGCGTAGTTGTTGGCCGCCTTGTACAGGGCGTCCATGATGATGGGGCTGACGCGGTCGCGAGCCGGCGGCGACGACGTAGCGGCGTTGATCTGCTCGACGAAGTCGACGACGCTGCGGGAGACGGTCTTGAGCCCGTCGACGGCCTGCGCTTGCATGGCGAGGCTCTCAGCGCTGGGGCTGCCGCTGGGTGCAGCATCGCTGGCCTTCAGGCGGGAGTAGACTTTGCAGAGCGTGAAGAGGGTGCTGAAGGTGAGCGCGAGGGGGCTACTCAGGGAGAGGTAGTTCCCGGAGGTTGTGGCTTCTTCGAGGATCTTCCGTGAGAGGATCGAGATGTCCAAGTACAGTTGGGAGGCAGCGAAGCGCGCATTCTCCGAGGCGGTCTCCTCGCCGTATAAGTGTTTTAGAACCTTGCCCATCATGATAGATGCTTGGCAAAGGCGTGGGAACGGACCAGCTGGTTCATCAATGGGACTGGACACAAGCTTGTACATAGCACTTGACATCTCTCCATCATCCTGATAAATTCGTTAGAGCGGAACATCCTTCACGATTGTACAACTTACCCATGCATCGTCATTTACTGGTAGAGGGCTATCTTCCTTTGGCTCCTGGGTAGTTAAGATATGCCCCTGACTCCCAATTGATACGATTCTGTAGAAGATAAGTTAGTATTCATGCCTTCCACAGTGACAGTTATACACACCTATCAGTAACGAGGACACCCCACCACGTTCGTCTCCTCTCTTCTTGTTCGACCCATGTGGACTATCCCTTTAATTAGTATATGCCAGCTCACCAAGAAGATGTGTTTCCCTTACCGCATGGCCGATCAGTTGTGTAGCCTCACTATGGTTATTAATACCTAAGAGATTACCGTACCTCACACACCACCCAGCAGACATCCAAGCGGCTGGGTATATTGCTTGCCCATACTCAAACCAAGTTATGAGAAGACCAGCTTGGAGTATAATTAATGAGACGGTACCAGTCGCTTCCATGAGAGCAAGGAAACCTTTGGCGGACACATAGGCAGGGTTATGTGAACTTTCGATCCCATCTTGGGGCCTTGATGTGATGAGCTTCATGGAGAGGAGAAGGAGAGCAAGGTCTGGGCCAGCTTCCCACAGAGGACTAGCCATATTTCTAGTCAGCCGTTTCTGAGAAACGATGGGCATCCACTTGTGGATGGTAGTAAAATAATCATTGAGTAAAGCTTGTATAGATGGGCCATCTCCTAGGAGCTCAAGAACGTCCTGTTACACAGATCAGCCACCACTTGCAATGAATTTCAGATTCATGGTTTGGGGCTAAGGCATCTAACGGCGAATGGCATATAGTACATGAAATACAGAACAAAATAACTAAGGGATCAATTGCATCAATGCGCATAACAAGAATCTGAAATACTTACTACAGGGATCTCTATGGAAGGCTTTGGTACAGCGATCCTTGCATTACCGTTAGTTGTATTGCATATGATACATTGTATTTTGAACGTACCCGCCGTATTTGAATTCATGACTATCAAGGAAAGCAATCGCAGGAAATCGGCTCTGTACACCTTGCCAGGGACTCTCATGTTGTGGGGTATAGCCAGGTATAGGAGGACCAAGGGGTTCCGAGCCAGACAGCGTGCCACCGGAAGGAGTACTGAAATTTGTCTGGGAAGTAATTATACCATTACCCCCATTCAGCCTTGACTCGAGTTCCATGAGCTTCATGCGCAAGGCGTTGAAGTCCTCAGCAGTTGGCGGGGGCGTCGCATCTGAGTAATCGCAATGGCGATTCATCCGTTCGCACAACGCGCACGCTGGGAGCGTCTTGCTGCATTTCCGCTTTTGCTTTCGGCAGGATACGCATGCTTGGTTCGCTTTCTGGACGTTGAGATCTTGCATCCCATTGAAACCCCCATACATCGACATTGTTCGTGCTCACCAGGACCGCCGCGGGGTTATCGATTCATTGGCGGGCTTGATCCAGTAGATAGTGGCAATTTCTGCAAGGTGGTTAGATTGAAAGAGGAACAATAAGGGGTACCTATATAATCTGTCCATTGGACTGCTTGCATAGCAATTGGATTCAAACTCACCTCTGAAGCCGATAGTTCTCTTCACGCTCTTCAATATTGCATGTCGACGAGCGGTCGTCTCGGCCGCTTGATCGGGGTACGGCCGCTCGCGCCCTGCTCCATGATCACGTGCTATTACTTTAAACCCCCCTTCCCATTATTTCCCTCCCAGATCAACTACCTTGCTTCCTCGATCAATACAGCATATATTAACTGCTGGATTTCTTTCACTATCCGCTCCTATTTAACTCATTACTATATTAACCGTGTAGTTTGTGGGGTTGGAATTGTCAAAAACTGCCCCTCTAAGGAATTGGAGTCTTGAAAGTAATCCGGTAAGTCCAGTATGTTTAGGAAACTAAAGGTTAGATGCGCCCTGCTCAGTCAGAGGGTTCGAATAAACAAGATCATAATCTCTACGTCTTAAAACAACCATCAAATCCCCGGGTATTGGTAGCCTCCAACATGGAAAGGGTTTCTTGGGTTATTTTTGGTTTTTCTTTGGGGAGGTGGGGGGAGGGGGTCCGCAAGCATGGGGTTGAGGCAAGGGATGTGTGCGGCAGTGTTGTAATTGTACAATCGGACGTTGATTACGGTAGATGCCAGTTATAGGTAAGCAAGGGAATCCTCGTCTTGATTATTATATGGTATCGTTTAACATTATTAACAATAATATCACCGTAGAACGCCCAAGTGCTAGAAACATCATTACCCCTCTAAGACTTACACAGGGGACTCGAGAGCATTTAAAGGGACGTAGCCTTCTTCCTCCTTCCTCCTCCTGCCGGTAATAGCCCGTGCATAGTCCATAAACTTGCCCACAAAGCCCCACATTCCCCACCCCTTGCCTCTTTTCTTCAATCCTCCTTTCTCCTCTGCCAAGGCATCTTCCATCCATCTAGGCCTCTTCCAGAACTTCAACAACAAGCTGCTACCCACAACACTGACACTGCTGGCCGCCATTGCAGCTCCCGCAGCCATAGGGTGGAGATGCCATCCAAACGGCAAGAAGATACCCATTGCGAATGGGAGCCCGATGACGTTGTATAAGCAGGCCCAGGTGAGGTTAAGTTTGATGCGGTTGAAAATGGACCGGGCGAGCTGGATAGAGGCTGGGACATCCATCAAGTCATCTGGCTTCATGAGGGCAACGTCTGCTGCTTCCATAGCCACATCTGTACCGGACGCCATGGCAATACCAACGTCTGCAGTGGCGAGTGCAGGTGAATCGTTGATCCCATCGCCCACCATTGCAACACGCTCGCCCTTTTCTTGGAGTTGGCGAATGATATCCTGCTTCTGATCTGGTGTCACGCCGGCGTGGACATTCTCGGATGGTATGCCAACGATGTGAGCAACGGCAAGTGCTGTAGAGCGCTGGTCACCGGTGACGATCGCGGTCTTGATGCCCATTTTATGCAGAGCTGCAATTGCAGCACGGGCACTCTCCTTGACACTATCAGACAGACAAAGATGGCCAGAGTAGGAGCCATCAATGGCAATGAAGATATTGGTGGTTCCGGCAGATGCTGCCTTGAACGAAGAAGAGGCTGCTTGGACGTTGGCTTCCTCAGAAGCTTCAACAGCTTCTTTAGGTACAGCGACCTGATTACTTCGGAGGAAGCTGACGCTACCAATAAGAACCCGGTATCGTACTCGCTCTGCACTTGTAGCTGGTTCTACGAGTGCACTGACACCCTTGCCAACGCTGACTTGAAAGTCACCAACAGCTCCATCAATGGTTCCTTCAGTGCCTAACCCAAGCTCTTCCTTGGCACCAGCCAAGATAGCTTTACCAATTGGGTGTTCGCTGCCCATTTCAGCCAGACCAAGGATCGACCACCACAATTTCCTCCGCCACTCGCTGTTCTCCCATGTGGGCACGAGATTGGACTTGGAGACAGTCATTTTGCCGACAGTCAAGGTCCCAGTCTTGTCAAGAACGATTTGCGTGACTTTGGTTGCTGTCTCCAGTGCAGCACCTCCTTTAACCAAAATGCCATTCTCTGCACCGACACCTGTTCCAACCATGACTGCCGTAGGTGTTGCAAGACCGAGAGCACAGGGGCAGGCAAAGACAATCACTGATATACAGAGTTTGACACAAACCATAAACTTTCCACCACTAGCTGCATCCACGAAGATCTTGGGTGGATGTGAAAGAACGTGGCTGAGAACCATCCAGGTGATGAATGTGAGCAATCCGAGGAAGATGATAGTGGGCACAAAGTACCCGGCAATCATGTCAGCTAAGCGCTGGATTGGAGCTCTCGTTGTCTGGGCGTCCTGGACAAGCTTCACAATCTGACTGAGCTGGGTGTCTCGGCCAGCTCGCGTGACTCGAAAATCGACTCTGCCGGTACCATTAACAGTGCCTCCAATGAGAAGGCTACCCTTCCGCTTCTGGACTGGCATTGCTTCTCCAGTGACCATGCTTTCATCGACGTAGGTTTCACCTCTGGTAACGGTACCATCGGCAGGAATCTTGTCACCGGGCCGTAGAATGACAATGTCACCAACTTGGATAAGTTCTGTAGGAATAACTTTTTCTTCTGCAGAATTACCTTCTTGGGTGGATTCTGACTTTGGTTCAGCTCCTGAGCCTACGCTCATCTCCCAAGCCTCAGCCGCCTTTTCTGCGGCAATGGGATCGGCATAGATAGTTGCCATTGATGGCGCCAGTGACATGAGACGAGACAGCGCCTTTGAGGTCTGACCCTTTGCTCGATTCTCCAGGAAGCGTCCAAGCGTGATGAAGGTGATGAGCATGCTACTTGTGTCGAAAATGGTGCTAGGCCGTGAGTGGGGAGGAGCACACAAAGAGACGAGCATAGCGGCAACGCTGAAAAAGAATGCGGCTGAGGTACCAAGGACAACGAGCACGTCCATAGTGGGTGAGCCATGCTTCATTGATTTCCATGCAGAAACATAGAAACGCTTGCCAATTCCGAATTGTACGGGTATCGTAAGAACTAAACAGATAATGTCGCCCAGGTATAGACCAGGAAAGAACACGACCACACTCCCAAAGTCTATAGCAGGGATCATCATGGGAATTACCATGCCGATGAGGAACACCGGGATGGCAAAGGCTACAGAGGTTTGGAAGGCAAGACGCCATTCCGTGATTTCTCTAGTCTTCGCAAGGGATTCGAGTTGAGCATTATTGTCATCATTGTCAGCAACAAGGGCATTGTACCCTTGTGCCTCGATGAGTTCAACGAGGGCTCGGAGACCAGCAATATTTGGCTGATGCGATATGCTCAACCGAGATGTAGCGAGGCTGATAGTCGCCGAGTTGACTCCAGGCATAGATTGAATCTTAGCCTCAAGCGCTGTAGCGGCTGCCGCATCCCTGACTCCGAAGATCTTAAACTGCGTTGTCGTGGATGCAGAGGATTGGTTGGAGGCCCCGAGATGCGTGGACAAGACACGGGCATCAAATCCTCTATCCTCGATGATTTCGGCAATCTTCTCGGTAGGCAGTTTTGACGGGTCATGGACGACTACTGCCCGTTCTGCTAAGAGACTGACATTGAACTGTATCAGACCGTCCAAATCCTTGAAACCTCCCTCAACGGCAGACGTGCACGCACCGCATGTCATGCCCTCGATTGCGACGGTGGTAGTGGCTACCTGTTCTCTCGATCCGGAACTTCCTCGCCTTGACTTCAGAGCCGTCTTGGGGACAGCCAGTTGGGATTCCAAAACAGTTGCTCCAAAACCTCGGTCCTCAATAATTTCAGCAATTTTCTCGGCGCTTAGTAGAGATGCGTCATGCTCGACCACGGCTCTTTCTGATAAGAGTGATATGCTGAAGTGTTTGACGCCCGGGACGTCCTTGAAGCCGCCTTCAACTGCTGACGTGCAGGCTCCGCATGTCATACCTTCCACAGCCAGTGTCGTCGTTGTAAATGCCTTTGTATCGCCTTTCTCTTCGTGCGCACCCTCATCGTGTTGGTAACTGTTGCTCTCAAACGTAGGCGAAGGCAAATCGGTTGCCAGAACCTCTGCATCGAAACCTCTGTCCTCGATGATCTCCCGTATTTTCTCGGCTGGGATCCTCTTAGGATCGTGAAGCACGACCGCTCTCTCCATAACCAGGCTTACGGACACGTCGCCGACCCCATCGATGCCCTTGAATCCGGATTCTACAGCGGAAGTGCATGCGCCGCAAGTCATGCCGCCGACCTTCAAAGTTGTGGTCGCCATATGCGCCGGGCTAGTCGTCTCTAGCTGTGAATCCGGCTCCTGAGAATCCACTTTCACGTATGAGGGGGCCATCGTGAAAGTGTTCGCCGCCGCGATCGATCGGCCAGCCTCGAGGGACGTATGTCCGTATTTATTCGCGGCTGGGCTTACGGATATTACGAGAATCGCTAGTCGCACGGAGTGCAGGAGCGTAGTCAGGGTCTCTTGACTCTTAAGGTTACTGTGCAGTGCGTAGTGGGGGGCTGGTGGCGGTCAGCAACGAATCAACAGTGGTTGCGCGATGGCGCGGCCTTTGACAGAAGATTCCCACATGGCGTGATGATTGGGGATGTTGGCCGGCTACTTACAGTCTCGTGTAGGCTGTAGCCCTGTAGCAGTCAGCTTATGGTCTATAGCCGTACGATGTCTAAAGGTACACTTGATCGGGGAACAGAAGGCCAGCTCCTATGCGAGTCGTCGGTGTTTGCAATGACCTGCTAATTCTCAAGCCCTCCGGGCCGTCTTGAATAGGATCCGGGATATGCGACCAGTGACCGGAGCTCCGGGATGATTTATTGGAACTTGAACGGACTCTTAAGAACGCTCGTTCGTTCGGACAGTAGGACAGTAGAACAGTGTAGTGGCCGGTGTGATAAGAGAACAGCAGGCAAATATGGCACTACTCATATCAGTCAGATCAACAAGGGAAAAGAGCGCGATATAGGTAATGGAGGAGCCTCACGTATACAGAGCAATACTGCGTCTGGTTGTCAAGCAATGCCGAGCAAGAGCCAAAGCGGGATATGAATCATGGAATGAGGATCCTCTTTTTCAAGCTCAAACACACGCATTGTTACGTTATAACCCACCATGAGGACAGCTTCGGCGTTAGGACCAGGGCATTGCGAGAGTGTCGTCGCCGTCGAGGTCCTCAATTGCCATACATTGAGATCTCGCTTACAGTATGTCAGTAGTACAGTACCGATTAGATCAAACCATTCTGATACCTGGGGAGCTTCAACCTCCAAACAAATCTATTCTTCCACTTTGCCGTGTTTCGAGAAGTAGGAAACCCCCGGTGATTTGCGTTCATTCATTCATTCAGTCTCTTGAACCGTCCCAGACAACACCCCCACTTGATCTCGGCAACGGCTTCGTTTTGGAGTTGCGACACCTCACCACACAACCGGTGTCTACATCAAACAGGCAGCGAATCGAATCGAACGGCTCTTGAAAGCCCTCAAGACCCGATCTCGAAATGGAGCAAACTAAAGCCCTCAATGCTCTGGAGGCTAGTCTTCTCCTGTTTCTAGAGAATTCTTCTCGTTTCAATGCTAACGTTCGCAGCCCTTCCTAGCCCTGACAAAATCAGCCTCGTCCCCCCGCGCCGCCGCCGACCTCATCACAAGAGCCACCTCCCATCCCAACACCTTCATATTCGCCGAGCTGCTCCAAGCACCGCAGATCCAAGCTCTAGCTCAAGCTCCCGAACAAGCTTCCTATCTGGCGCTCCTCAAGCTCTTCAGCTATGGCACCTACACCGACTACATCAATACGCCTAACCTCCCTCCTCTCAACGAGCAACAGACCCTGAAGCTGCGCCAGCTCTCCTTCCTCACCCTGGCCAGGAACCCTGCAAACTTGAGCTATGCCAACCTCCTTCGGGAACTGGGTCTCGAAACGCCCCGGGAGTTGGAAGATCTCGTCATTTCTGCCATCTACGCTGGTCTCGTGTCCGGCACCCTCGACCCTTACCACCAGGTCGTGCGTCTGTCCTCCGTGTCTCCCCTCCGCGATCTGCCTCCAAACTCCATATCCTCGATGCTCAGCACGCTGAATGAATGGTCTTCCCGCTGCGTATCCACGCTGGCCGAGCTGGAGAAGCAGATCGCTACCTTCAGGGCCGAAGCTCTGAAGCGCCACCGTGACGAGCAGGAATGGGCTGCCACTGTGGAGAAGTTGGCGGAGGGAAAGTCGTCGGATAAGAACCAGAGTCAGAGTTCAGGAAGTGATACTTTGTATGCCCAGTTGAATAGGAAACTGGGAGCGGGAGCGGCGTCGAAGCGGGGGAATGGGGGAATGGACGGTCAGGATAATGATGATATGGACCTTGATGAAGAGGATGAGGATACCAGTAACCGGAGGGAGTTGAGATCCGCTAAGAAGAGGGGATTTTCGAACTTGGGCTCTGGGAAATAGGTGCATCATGCCGTAATATCGATCACAAGGGACCACGAGGCTGTGACAGTAGCACTTCTGGGGCGTTCACCAAGCATAACGAGATATCATATTATTTGCGTAGTAAGGTTCTGATCATTGCAAAAGAAAAGCGTTCCGCAGGGTATTTTACATTAGGACGAAGGAGGCATTTAGGAGAGCCTTTCCGAAAGGATTCATGAAGCATTTGTAGCTCAGGTCAACCGAGCATACGACCATATCAACCATAAAACTCCATCGCTACCTGTCCCTCTTTCTGAAAATATCCGTGATTGTCCGAATGACCTGAACACCAAACCTTGACTCCTTTAAATTCAGAACACATCCACGCTGGCCTATCACAATCTCTTTCCAGGCACGAAAACGAAAAGAACTATGCAAGAAGTAGCGATCACAAAAGTGACTATCGAGGCCATCAAAGCACGTTTGTTAAGTAGCTTTCGGACGTATGGCTCTCGGACGCGGGAGAAATTCATGAATGTGTATTCGCTCAAGCCAATGAAAGCCAGGAGAGGATCGAGACCGTATTGGTAAGCAACGAGGCAATAAACGCCAATCGTGAAAGGAAGGACAAGCTGTAGGGATAAACTATTAGCTGTTGTACATAGAGGCAAGGAGTTATGTTATTTCAAGCATACCCAGACTCGAATGTGACGAGCATAATCAAGGAAGATCAGAATGAACGCGACCCAGAAGGCAGCAAACATTGAAAGAAGACCCAGGATCAGCCTCATCATCATAGAAGGAGGGACAAGATTGCCAAGAGCCTTCATTCGCAAGAAACCCGGGAAAGCGTCACGTTCCATGGCCTGGAAAACGTAGTCTTTAGCAGCATCGAAAACTTCCGGATCATCTCGGCCTCTCTCTTCAATAGAGACGGTAATTTCATGCGTGATTTCATGCGGCAAAATGATCTCGCGCTCGGCTCCGGGGAGGAGGAAGGTATAAAGGATCTTCTCAGCTGATGCTCTGATGTCAGCTCTGGCAACTGTATGCCCGGGAGAGTCCGAGTCTGTAGCCAATTCGAGGGGGCTGCTCATGAAGCTTGGTCGAGGCTGTCTTTCATTTGATTGCGTCTGGCCGACACCTGACTGATGAGAACTAATGCTGCCGGGAGGGGATTGCCTAATGTTGCTGCCGTTGGCTGTCTCCTCTCGAAGAAAGGCTGACATCTGTGCATCTTGGTTTTTCTCCTTCTCAGACGTGAACATGGACGGGCCAGCAACAGGATGATTCATATCACCCAAGCTCTCCAGGATAGCCGATGAACGCTTTGACTGTGATTTATCGCCCTCTGGGGTGCCAATCATAACTGATCTTCGTAGCTCTCGAACATAGTGCCGGCAGAGAGACATGTGTTGAGCAACATCAAGCCTGTAGACTGTTATTATCAAGGTCTAACAGGCAAACGCGACACAGTGTCTTAAAAACATACCAGAAGTCCAAATAATCCACTGATCTTTGCTGGTCGCGCATGTAGATGTAGAACGAGAAGAGATCAACAGGAGGCAGGGTTCGTCTGCTAAGAACCTCGAACAGCGTAGGGAGCCTGTTCCGGTTCATGTCGGGCAGAGGAGATGGTGTTTTGTCCGCCATGTTGACAATTTCGTAGTGCAAGTCCGAGATGTAGTAGGTTGGAGACGTAGGTTCGCGACGGGTAGTAGGCAGTTCGAATTGAATAGAGCGCGTTTGATGCTGGTCGCTACCTCCAGTGAGTGCCCAATTCACCCTTCTGTACAAAGTAGGGAGGCTTCGCTACTTCAAAGCTTAGAAGGTCTGTAAACAGAAAGGTGAGATGAGATTGTAAGGCACGAACTGGTCGTAGAGCCCCAGGCCCAATTGAAGGAGACGTAACTGACTTGGATACCCGTTGTTCGAGCCTCCTTGATTTCCGCGATCTAAACATAACACCGCGCCAGGCAACAAGGCAACAACGGATCGCTTAATTTTCACACTTGGAGCCCACACAACTGAATTTCCATTTGAATTTTGAAGTTATCGACAAGAACACCCAACGGCACGTCGCGACACACCTTCCAGTACGTTTTTTTTCGAGCCAGGACACCCTTCAATACAATTGCTTATACAGGTATCTAACTCAACCCGTTGTAGAAATGTCGACGCAGACCAAGAAGCCCTCTGGCAAGGCCACCCGATCCGCCATCGCTGATGTCGTTGCGCGCGAATACACAATCCACCTCCACAAGAGAGTATGTTGAATACAATATGGAAAGTCGATCAGAGGAAGTAGGGTCACTAATAATTTCTACAGCTCCACGGTGTCACATTCAAGAAGCGGGCACCAAGGGCTATCAAGGAGATCAAGGCCTTCGCAACAAAGTCCATGGTACGAATACCCTTACATATCGAGATCGAAAGGGCGAGGAAGGAATCAGGCGCAGAATGAGGCTAACATTTGGAATCGAATAGGGCACCACCGATGTCCGTCTTGACCCCCAACTGAACAAGAAGGTCTGGGAGGCTGGTATCAAGGGTGTCCCGTTCAGACTGCGTGTCCGAATCTCAAGAAAGCGTAACGACGAGGAGGGTGCGAAGGAGAAGCTGTACAGCTACGTTCAGGCGGTCAATGTCAAGGATCCAAAGGGTCTGCAAACCGCTCTTGTCGAGGATGCGTAAATGATCTTTCTTCATGGCATAAATTGGGTGGAGTTTGCATTCTGCTGGCTAGCTTCTGAATGAAAAAGGTCTACCTATGCTTCCCGTCATATGCCTAGCTACGATAGAACCTGTGCTCTATGTATGGGTCGTGACTTGAGTCCGCTGAGGTTATGTGGCAGAAGACAGCCATCATGTTACCTATTTCCATTCGAAGAAAGATCCATACAATTGCCTACGTTCAGGATGGATCTCTAGAATAAGTCACAATATTACAGCGCCAGTGGATTGTTCCAGATCAGATTTAAAGCCCACTATGATCTACTGCTCGTAATGATCAGAGCGTTCACCCAAAGGTGTCTTTGGCAAAAGCAACAGAATTGTGCCTCCTGAGGCCTAACCCACACTTGTAGAAACGACGAGTCACCAAAGCTACTAATCAATCATGACAATACCTGAATCCTATTCAAGTATCTATCCAAGTACCAGGCCCAATGCTTCCCCTATGCAATGGACCAATAATAATGACCAGTATCCATTACTCCTTGCCCCACTGCCATGAGAACGCTACGCAAAAGACCTTCTGAGACAATGAAAGAGTTCACCCCGCATTATGCACAACTATTATGATACTTCGTGATCTTCTGACCATGGCTTGGCCACTACTTATTCTTCGTCGACATCACGGTGTCGGCCGAGGACTTTCCTCTTGAACTCCGCCGGATCCTTATCCCACAACTCGGCGGCCTCGCCGTTCAAAGGTGATGCACTATGTAACGTCAGTATAACTTCCTGCGAGCGATAGAGACCTGACTTACTTGTTTGGCTCTCCAAGCAGGCTTTGCAAGCTCAGGAGGACCGTTTGGGTATTGTATGCCGCAGTCCATTTGTCCTTCAAGATATCCAAGCAAATTCTCCCCGAGAAGTCAACATTGGGGTGGTAGATTGGTGTCTTGAAGAGAACCGTCGGTGGAGCGTACGGGTAGTTAGAAGGGAAGGCGAATGACAGCTTGAACGTAAGACCAGCGTACGGTGTGTCGTCTGGACCCTCTATCGTTGCAGTCCAGGACAGCAGGTTGCCATCGGCGGAAGGGAAAGCAGAGATACCAGGAGCGGAAGAGGTCATGAGCTGCATCAGCTCAGTTTGTAAGCTACTTTGAAGTCAGCATTGGTTCGTTTAAGCCACGACCGAGGCACCCTACCGTTTCGTCGTGCTCTGAGCATCTGCAGCTCTTCGAGGAGCCCCGAGCTTTGCAGCCTGCGCAGGTGGAAGGGTTCCGGGAGCAGAGTTCTGAGTGTCCTCCATTTCGTAATTCATAGCGCTGGGGAATGAAAGAGATTAAGCAACAGCTAGGAAGTTGGCTCGAGAAAGAAGGCAATGAACGAAGACCCTTGATTATTTGTGTAGACGAATGAATATATCCCCAGAGCAATTATGAGAAGCAAAAAGTTCGAGCGTTGGGGCACTGAGCGGTAGTTTTAGTGTTGTAGTTAAAGTAAGTTGGATTTGCGCTGGTTCTTATTTACATTACGCCTGGTTGTTCCCCTTGACAACGTGCAAGGCTGGCTGGCCTTCTGCTTCAACCACCAATCAGCGAGGATTTTGAACGTCCCGCGACGGCGCGCCTGAAACTCGCACGCGATCATAACAAAACGCGTTTGATATTGATTGGGACGTGGGTCGATTTGGACGAGGACTGTAGATACTGTTGGATATGGTAAGTTTAATTCCAGATAAAGAGGGCCATCCCAAGTAGAGTTCCTCAAATCCTTGCCTTGTGCTTGTGCCTGTGCCTGTGCTTGGGCTATTCGCAGATCAAGAGCGATGGGAAGGTTAACACTAGATTGTCTGATGCAGTCTCAGCTAGACCCTCTACCAAACGACTTGCCTTTCCGCATCATATCGAAGACAATTGGGAGGGGAGCGTATGCGTCGTACGTTTCACTTGGATCTTTGAACAGAAGAGGTTGCTAATGCCTGAGAATAGAATCAAAAAGGCAATTCCGCCCGAGGAACTCCATCCTGTCTTTGCAGTTAAATTTATACACAAAGCATATGCTGTCAAACATGGCCGAGTCTCAGCAAAGCAGATCGCCATGGAGGTATCACTACACTCCCATATTGGCCAGCATCCCAATATAATAGAATGGTTCGCGACTGGGGAGGATGCGGTATGGAAATGGATTGCCATGGAATACGCCGAGGGAGGAGATCTATTCGACAAAATCGAGGCAGATGTTGGGGTCAGTGAAGATATTGCGCACTTCTATTTCACACAGCTGATCAGTGGAGTGAGCTATATGCATTCGAAAGGAGTGGGACATCGGGATATCAAGCCGGAGAACATACTGCTCTCCGATAGTGGAAACTTGAAAATCGCAGACTTTGGACTTGCTACGCTCTTCGAATACAACGGCAAAACAAAACTGAGTACAACAATGTGCGGCAGCCCCCCATATATTGCACCCGAAGTTATCACTTGCTCGAAGAACGGCCAATCAAGGAATCCTCCAGGGTACGCTGCGAATCTCGTCGATATTTGGTCCTGCGGGGTGGTTCTTTTCGTCCTGTTAGTTGGAAATACGCCATGGGATGAACCTACACCTGCGAGCTGGGAATTCGAGGAATTTACTCGCACGGGAGGACGGAGCACAGACGAGCTATGGCAGAAGCTCCCTGCGTCAGTCTTATCACTATTGCGAGGCATGCTGAACGTGGACGTCGCCAATCGTTACAATTTCGAACGTATCAAAATGCATCCCTGGTACACAAGGAAGAATCCTCTCCTCACGCCGGACGGCAAGATGGCAGACCCTCTCGGGATGGCAGCACAAATGCTTGAGAGCATGCACATTGATTTCAGCCAAAAGCCTACAGCCTCACAACGGAACCCACGCCAGAGCCAAGATGCTATGGATATTGATTCCAACGAGAAGACCTCGAAATTCTCCTTCACGCAACCAGAAACGCCCATCAACGATATCATGTTCGACTGGGAACGACCTCCACGCGTTCATGCCGCGGCACTCAGTGCAACCCAACCAGCAAATGCCAAAGATGCTGATATTTCTAGAATGACCAACAGTGCAGCAGGCCCTCTATTCCCATCTCTCGCCGATGAACCAAGCATGAGTCAATTCGCCTCTGCCCCCACGGTACCGCTCAGCCTGACCCAACACGCCCGCCGCTTCCGCGACATCGTCCCGAACTACTCCCTCACACGCTTCTTCTCACATCTCTCATCCCCTCTCCTTCTCCAGATGCTGCGCGACGCCCTCCATCAACTCAACGTGCCAACCCCCGCCATTCCCCAAGTGCAAGGCCGGGACCACGCCGCTTGGATCGGGGTCAAGACCGTCGATGGCAGGAACTGTGTTCTGCTTGGCGATATCGTAGTCGACACCTATATCTCGGGCGACGCCGAACTGCTCGAAGTCCGCTTCGTGAAGGTCAAGGGCGATCCCCTGGAATGGCGCCGCTTCTTCAAGAACGTCGTCGTGCTGTGTAAGGATGGCGTGTATATCCCCGGGGCGTAGCGTAAGAGATGACAGGGCGTTTCTTTAAGATCTAGTAGATGGCGTTGGCGCGGTGGGTATAATATGGGTTAACCTGTAGGTAAGGAAGGTAGGAAGGTACCTAGGTAAGGTAGTAATGAGTTCGGAATGAGAGCACTTCTTAATGATACTTGAGGGCTTCATAATCCGATGAATCAGTTTTAATTCATGCTATATCTAGGATAGGAATCAAGATTCGTCATCGTTACTATGATGAGAGTGATCACAACGTTTATATAATTAACGCCTCCCTTCTAGCAAGAACTTCCAGCAAGAGAAGTAAAGGCTGCCTAGAGAACCACCATTAAAAACAGCACGTATAGACTCAAAATCCAAAGCCCTGGAGCTCTTTTTCAAAGACGGTATATGTAGATGTACGACCTTTAAAATATATCTTCTTTTTTTTAGTACACTACAGGAAAGGAGAAAGTATACGCCGAGTAGGTAGGTGATTAAATCCACTATAACTTTGAAAAATGCCTCGTTCTAGAAATGCTCGTAACTCATAAGATGCAAAACGCTTCGCTCAATCAAATTGGAGACCCATGGTATCGTGTTCTACGTATATATATCATCATAATTGAAATGACCGTCCCCCCGTTCCCCCGGGGGAGATCCCATCAGCAGAAATCCGGGAAGACTGTTAAGCCTAGTCGGGATTTACACCCGCACTCGAAATAAGAAGTGTGCGGCCCGGGGCTGTGGTTGCAGGCGTCGCGGCTGTGATCTCGGGGGCGCTCGTTCTTCGCATCCGCGATTCGCGCGCGGTCACTCCGAAAATGGTCCAGGTTCGCTTTCATGTTGCAGAGTCGGAGATAGCCATTGCCGGCCCACTTGTCGATGATGCTGGCGATGGTGAGGAAGCCATCCGTGTGTCCTCCCTGCAGCTTGGCTACGAAGCCACACTGGATGAACAGGTAGCAATGGACCAGCTCGTGCAGGAATGTGGAGAGAAGGAGTCGCCGGTCATAGTCGGGATGGTTGAGGATCGGGTCAGAAAGCACAATGAGAGTTTCGTACCCGCCCTGGGCTGCGGGCCGGAAGGCCGTCGTCCCGATCAGCTCCGTCCTGTATCTTTCCTGGGATGGGTGCGACCATTCCCATCGTACTCGACCGGAAAGGACGCCACAGAAAAAGACCCAGTCCGCTGCAGTCAGGAGACTATCGAGAGCCTTTTCATCGATGGGGAATGGGCTCTCAATCAAGTTTCGAAGAATTCGTTCATGCTTTCCATGGGGTAAGAGGTGTTTAAAGTGTATTTCGACCCTACGCGCAGCCTCCTCGTCGCTGTAGGCGGTGAAGGTGTCGCTATGGCGTGGCTCGAAAGCGTCATCCGAAATGATTGAATTCCCTGACGGAGTACGTTCCATCCGAAAGCTTGCAGTATACTCAATTGATCCATTAAGAGAAGAAGGTATCGAGGTATCAGGAGTCGTCATCGTTGCTGGCAACTGTTGTTGTGGAGATCTTTGCCTTTGACGCGGTGGTGAACGTCGAGCCGAATGGTCTCTCGGCCATTCGACATGTTGCCGCCGAGAATAAGAATCGCGCCGACGACCTGAATCGATCGTTTTTCTGTCATGGCTGTACCGTGGTCTTGAGATCGACCGGAAACTTTCAGGGTTCGAGCCTCCTCTAGGAGGTGCAGCCATGGACAAGGAGAGACGAGGAGAGACGAGTACGCAACACAATGATAATCCTAGCAAACGAGGAAGGAAAATGTGAATAGATGTATGAATTGCGAGGTTTGTTGAGAAAAGAAAGGGAGAAGCCAGCCCACAATGGCAACATTCGTGACAAAAAAGTAAGGCTGACTACAGCTGCAGGGACAAAATGAAATCAAATATAAAAAGGAATATGCGGCAGCTTTGCTGGAATCACACAGAGAGCTCAGATAGAGTTGGTATTGATCCCATCGCCGACAAGGCCAATCCAATCATACGCGACGGGGCGTTATTGATTTACACCGTAGGTTGATTGAGACAAGCTTCGCATATGTGGCACGAGAGACAATACCACACAGTGCCACACAAGCGGTGAGGCGAATTGCTGCATTGCCGCATAACAGACGTGTTAATCAAATAGAACGAACAGATGGACGCAGGAGAGAATACGGTCGCGTTGTCCGCCTCCCCAATTGATTGGCCATGGACCTTCAGACGACCCCACGCTCTCTTGTTGCGAAAGGTCCAAGACAACGTTATAAGATGCCCGAGATCTCCGCTGAACATTTCCTATACGCCAAAGATGCCTCCTTTCATATAGGGCTTTGGAGGGCGTTGATTCCCTACTCACTACCGGTTGTCGAGTTCTTGCTTAAAAACTTACAGAGCCCCACCTCTCAACAAGCAACGTCCTGTTGCACCACACGTGAGCTCCTTCGACCGGAGAGGCCGGCCGGCTATCCATTCATCAATGCTATCCAGAGACAGAGCAGCCCCGTACGGTATTTTCGGGATACGGAGTAGACCACTCCGAACTCTTGATGCTATGACTTCTTTTCCAGAAACCCACAGCCAAAACCATTCAGGTCCGACAGTGAAGTATCACAGAGCGAAGCAAGGAGCCCTCCGACTTCGATTGTGGATCGTCTGACCCAGAACAGGTGAAACGGGAAATTCGCTGAATTGTGTAATGCACTGTTACAGAAGCGGACTTGGTTTCCCATTATCTGGTTCTCTGGTGAGAATGCAAAGGATGCCCAGGAAAAGAAGCGCACCATTGTCCCACACTACGATTCCTCGTCCAGGATTGTCGACCTCAGCTTGGTCATCTTCAATGATTTCTATTCCCTCCAAGCCCGATCCCTAGACCCCTCACATACCTGACCTCATTGGCTTGGTTTTCCAATGCTCGGCGCATGGTTGCAGAGTATATTTCTTCCTCTCTCTCCTGATGGGCCTCTTCGGCGGTTTTAGCGGCATCCTCAAAACTGTCAGCTGTGAATCCCGGTTTGCTCGAGAAATTCAACAGCCCTATTTTTTCACCTGTCCATAAGACTAATTCGCCCTGGTTCTCTAGAATCTTGATGACAATGTCCCCTGATCCTGAATCCAGATATGAATCTCCGAGGGTGCCAAATATCCCTCGTGGAGCTTCGACAGAGCCGTGAGAAATGTTCCATCTCCTAGCTTCAGTGAATCCATCGCGCTCCAGCCATTTCAAGTTACCACTGCCATCTGACACCACAACTCTTGTGCCATGGTTCGATACGCTAAGCAGCTTTGAACTTGATGAGGTCTGTCGATTCTTCATGACTGAGTTTTGTAGGCTCCCAGCTACAAAATCGGAAGAGATGGTAGTATTTTCGGGGTTTGGAGATAGTCCATACATCTCCAACGAACCCTTACTGTTATACTCGCCGCAAGCTATCAAGGTCTTGCCTGGCCGTGTCTTGGCTTCCAATACTTGCTCAATAGATAGCTCACCACGTCTAGCCAGATCTTTCTCCATTGAAGCAAACGGATATGGAAGATATGTCATACTGCATAACCGGGCACCGGAATGTATGGTGCCTCTCAGCTTTGGAAAGTTGCGACGATCGTAGTTGAGGATACTCGGGAAGCGTCCCGCGACATAAATATCACCGTTACCGTTCCAATCGTCATCAGAGCTCGGCAAATGGAGGATGCTTAAAGGTCCAGGTTGATATAAATGGGTACAATCGGGGCTTGATACTGGGTTGAGCAGACTCTGGAAATCCAATGATCCAGGATTTCGAAGGGACGGAAACGACGCACCGAATGAATCAAGTCGCTCGACATTGGCAGAACTAATCCCTGCCGGGTGTCTCGAACGAGAATCATAAAGATGCAGTGATAGGTTCGTACCAACAGTCAGTGGAGTAGGGTGCTTGGCTTCCGACAGGGCCGTGATCGAGAAAGGGAATCTCTCATGTCTGACAGTAGAAAATGTTTCGAGATCGATTTCAACAAGGCCTTTTAAGATGATCAGTAGAGTTCCAAAACAGTAGAAGAGCAACGCTGCAAGCTAACAGTGATTCAGTATTTTGAGGAATCGTCACTCGTACGATATATCGCCCAGAACAAATCATCATTGGGCGGCAGTGGGGCACTCAAAGGAAATCATTCGTACCACTCTGGACAGCAACATATGCCCTTTTCCGACCACTATCAACTGATATGCACTCGGTCACTCCTGTGCTCACCATTTTCGAGCGTCCGCTAGGTCCAGCTTGCGGATGGGGGTCAACCGACAAGATGCCGGGTTTGCTTCGCTGCCAGATGGCACCTCTGCGGCATCTCGTACCACTTATATCCCAAAGACATAAGCTGCCATCGTCTAGTGGGGCTACAGCTAGGGTCGAATCCGGATCTCCAGGTGGTGTATAAAGAGCGACGCCTCGTACTTCCAAATATTCGCGCTCGGCACTCTCTCGATTTCGAGGCTGCTGTAACCAACTTGTAGAAATGGGAGCGTTCCGTGCTATGTATTCCTCATACCAACTGACTTTCTCGCCCGGGAAAACGGGATCCCAGTTGGCTCGGATCCGTATCTTCTCGTTCGACATGGCCTTGAAATCCCGCGCCTCTTCTCGAGGCTTTGCCAGCCTCGACTCCCCCAGGCCATTGCCATTCGCCAGTGCTCGGGCAAGATCCCGAAACTGGGATTTCTGTACGGGCTCAGCTACGATAAGCTCTCGCCGTCGACGAAGGCGCTCCAAGAAGGGGCTTTTCAAGAAAGATTGTTCACGCCACAGTGCATCGTCTCGGCCGAGTGTAAGGAACCTCTTGCAGACGAGCTGAAGGGTGACGATTTCGAGAGGCTCCAGGACTGTACGACACATGGGCAGTTAGAATCAGACCAGCCTTTGAAAGAGATAGATTGCATAGCCAACTTACATTGAGCAACTTGGAGGATGATCTCAGTGGGAAGAGAGTCGAGTTTCGCCATGATGCTTCAGGGTGAGGGCACTCTGTATGGTACTTTGCAATTACGAGCGACGTGCAACTTGGAAATACTTGGAGTAGTAGTCAGTTAGCACTTGGCACTACACGGGCAACATTAACCAGAATCGCGAGGATGACGAGCGGGGAGCGGCGAGGACAGGCACGGCTGGACTGCACGAACCGCACTGAGGCCCGAGCTTGCGGGGGAGAATTGATATGCCGATAAGTAAAGGCATTTCTTGGGTGGGGGATGCAGGCACGCGAGATATCTATAGAGACACACCACGAGGTCCGTGTCATGTGTTTCTAGTAACGTGCAAGGTCTTCCCAACATCACACCGCAAAGGCCCTTCGAAGTTGTCGGGCAGAGAAAGAGAATAGATTCAACGCATCTAAACAGACACCTAGTCTAGAGTGCAAAGTAATACGGGAACGTGGAAATGCCTCTCTCAAGTCGAGATGCATCCATCCATGACTATGCTCGAGGCACCGGCCCCTTTTGCCTTGGCTATGATGGTAAAGGTAGGTAGATCTCTGTAAAAAGCCCCTTCGGCATGCATCGTATTTTCTTCTGTCCTGTCTATATTTCCACAGCCTGCTAGAGCAATGGAGATGTGTTGTGGGGAGAGAAGGGCAGAGTCCCTAGAGCCGGCTGATGGCCGCGCACATAGAAACGAAGTGAAGTGTGAGAGTGAGAGCAAGCTTGCAAGGCTAGATCAGTCTCTCAAGAAAGAGATGTCCATCTATTCACTCATTCACTTAGTCATTCCAGGCCATTACCGGCTTACAACAACCTCAGTCTCTACCGGTGTCCTCTCCTTTGATATTCACTTTCTGTGTGCGGAGTCCCACGCGAAGGACCAACAACAACCTTCGAAGAGCCTTTTCAACGCGTCCCGACAAGTTTTGTCAACGCGCTTTTCATCTACCTTCGTGCCTTACCTTAATTGCCTGCCAACCCATCTATCTCTTCTACCTCTCAGAGGACGATTGAAGTCCGGCCTTCGCAGACTCTTCGTCAAGACCTCCGCGGCGTCCTCCTCGATTCTCCTTTGACCACGCCTGTCAGCGACCAAGCTACACGGAACACATGACGAATTGATACTGCGGGACTGCCCCGGAGATGTCCTTAATATGACTTCTCAATCCCCTTTGTCTGTTCGCGCAGATGATAGCCTGTCAGAGGCCTTCCGCGACAGTGGCACCCCTGGTCGGACTCCTCGATCTGAGGCGTCGGAGGGCCCTGTTCACGACCAGGAGCACAAAGACAAATCAAACAACCCATACCGCCAACACCAGACAGCCTCAGCAGTATCATTGACAAGATCGACATCTCAAGAAACTGAGCACTCTGTGCCAGGAGTACGGAAGAAGACACCTGTCAGAGCTGTTTTCTATGACTTGCCTACCGCTCACCTTTCTATTACTACGGGCTCTGCGAGAAGCAGATCCCGGGAAGCCATCAACAGTCTGCTGGAGAGTCATGATGACAAAGACTCAATTCCCCTCCAGGAACTTCCATCGACAAAGCTTCATGATAATCTCCTCCACAACCTTCCATTACCCCCGCTACCCGCAGCTATTTCGCGTCCTCGCGGCAACAACTTGACTAAACAACGCCTTCGCGATGATGATGGCAATCGTCTCTCCAAAGAACATGGAAACCTGGCTCTATCAATGCAGCAGGACACCCAAAGCCAACTAAGTTCCAGCATCAAGCACGCTCCGGGATTGAAATTAGGCATCCCTATGCTATCTCAGCAGAAAGCAATACCATTCGAAAAACTTGGGAATGGAAAGGAAGCCAAGTCAAGCCGATACGGCTCTCATAATCACTCCTCAGGCCATTTCCCGAACTTCAAGGCCGACCTATCTGGATCTGTACCGTCAAGCAGCAAGGAGAAGCATGGCAGTGCTGAATTTTCCAAAGAAGACACTCAGTCACTCAATCTTCCGAGCACGCCCGCCAATGTTGATAGTCACATATTGCCAAGTCGGTTTCCAAGCTCTGGAACACAGTCAAATGGCGTCCCATCACTACCTGAAGGTAGCACAGTCGGTAATATCTACAACCATTACACTGCTTCGAGCAGCGGTGATGCAGACAGTGAGGCTACCCTCCCAAGTCTGAATCCTGCTTCTGCAAAGCCATCCTATCACCCAACTTCGAATAGTGGTCTTTCGTCCAGCTCTATATTGGACGATCCGGTGGTACCCTCTGCTCTCAATATTCGTAAGCAACGTCGAGTCGACAGACTGACGACAAACCCCAATGGCCAGCCTCCTATCTTTGCACTACCAACGGTTCCTCAGCTTGCTACAAGGCGGGTTATCCCCAGTAGCTCGCAAGGCATTGAGCAGTCTTCATCCTATGGAGATACAAAAAACCTCCTAGAAATTACACAGCGGTCGCACTGGTCCGATCACAAATCTCTTATGAGCCGGTCCGAGGCCCGAAATGATCTACGATCTGAAGTAGCTGCATCAGAGTTGGAGGAGTATTCTGAACCTAGCCTGCCTGCTCTGAACTCAAACAACCCCTTTAAGTTGAGACATGGTCCACATGTTGTTGTTTCTCAACACAACGATCATGAATGTATCTATGATGATGACTGCGATCTCGATCACACTTCCGCCGGAAGACTACCACTTGAGCGAGAGGTGAGTAAAGCACTCAGACGTGTCAGTGGCGTCAGCACTCAGAGCAATGGAAGTATATCCTCTTCTGTGCTCCAATATGGGGGGTTTGAACCCAAAACGTCTACGTCCAAAGTGACTGGATTACTCAGGAAATTGAATATTGAAGATACTCCTCCGTCAGAGTCAGAGAGCTTTGGTGAAGATACAAAGAACGGTGTTGCTCAAACGCAGACCTTCTATGATGAAGGTGCTATTTCTCATAATTGGATTACTGCTCATCGACAGAATGCGGTCCGCATACCTATCAACCATAATGGGCTCTTCCCAAATTCGCCTCCCGAATCACCCCTGGAGCTAAACAATGTAGCCCCCGGACGTCAAAATCTCGGGGTTCTCAGTGAATTTGAAGGAGATATAAATGACTGGGAGACCGTCGGAGAGAGTGCTCGTGGAGTCGGATTTAAGGGCACCAGAGACGCATTTCGCACACCTGGAGAGACCACGATCCATCGAGCGGGGAGTAGTCTTGCCAACACTTCTGATGATGGCACTTCCAGTCTTCACATAGCAGAGGTTGACGAGTACGGCTCTACAGAGAGGATTGCACAGCATCCCGGCACAATTCAATATTCAGGTGACTATCGTCAACGAGACATTAAGAAGACACGCATACCGGTTTTCCTCCCAGTGTTCCGAGAACATAAAGTCAACGGCTACCTAGCAGACTCCAACCGAATCCGTCCTCCTTACAATCCCATCCCCTACCGTCCTCCACCTCTAGCAAACCCACATACGAACCCTTTCAAATCTCCGCCACCAGAAGTCCTGTCAACTGGGGCAGCTAAGCAAAGTCTCCTTCAGAGGCGCAATCGACGTCGTCCCAGACCCAATCATTTCCCGCCTTCCACCAAGTCACTCGCTATAACTGAAGCTGAGGTGACTCGACAAGGCGTGGAATCTATATCATCTGAAGTTACGCCTTCTGCTTCAGCTCAGCGCGAGCGCGCATTACGAACACTAATTTGGATGGAAGAGTCTGGAGAGCCAGAGCCAGAGCCAACTGCCAGCCGTACAAAGCGTCAATTCTTAAGGCCAATCAACCCTGTCGGTCGACCTGATCGCCCAAATTCTTGGCAACACATGATGATTCTGGGCAGAGGAGACAAAATCGATGGTTATAATTCTGATGGATCACCGGTCATAGAGGGAAGCTCATCGGGCAATAAAGGATCTGCCGACCCAAATTTACAAGGCGCAACTCAGACTGACGACCTCGTCGAGCCGACAAGATATGCGGGGAATAGACGCGCCGCGAACAATCGGCAATACAAACCACTTGTTCAAGGTCCACCCGGTGCTTTTTACCAAGGTCTAGCACGCTCGAAGCAGGACCATAAACGCGCTGGCTCGTCCGATGTCCGTGAGAGGCCTGCTAGGATCCCGAGTGGTCGTAACAATTCTAAGGATTACCCAACCAATGCACTTCGACCTCTGTCTCTTCTGGTCACTCGACCTACGACACCAAATGAGATGGAAAACAGAAACCCGTTCCGAGACCGTCCACATGATTTCGTCTATCGATCCCCCCTTGCGCCACTCAAACACCTGACCTGGCAACAGTTATACACCGACACGCAATTGACGACCATCCGAGAATCCGCTGTATCTGATGGTTTCGTCGAAGGACCGATTCCACCTAACGCTGGACTCCTGGGCCGAGACGTTAGAGAGGAATCGTCACAGAGACACCTGTTTGAAAGCCCACGATTGTGTTCATGGTCCCGGGACTCGTCCATAAGGACCAATTATCGCCAGAGAAAGACAAAGATCTCTATCGTGGTGCTAATCTTATGCAACTTCTTTCCTCCACTACTTTTCCTGTACGCAATTGGCCAATTGGATGGAATCATCATGTGGTGGACCAGTGGAGAACTCTCAACCTTCGGGAAGAATACGAAGAGATGGGCATACATACTGATGTGTTCTTGGGGGTTGGCCATCTCGTTAGGGCTAGTCATCTTCCTCATCCTTTGGTTCACGGTCTTGCACCAGGGCGCGTGATGATAAATGGCTATTGTTCTGATCTTCATAAGTTTTCTATTTTCTCGCGTTTGTCTGGTGGCGTTGACTGATGATTGATGAGCCTTCCAAAGTATTTGAGAATGTTCTGGCTTGAACATCTGGGCGTATGGGTTGGTTGAAATCGGGATTCAAATTGACTTGGTAGCTGGGGTTGAGAGGAGCTGTATGATTAGTTGTAGTTAAATGTTTGATGTCTATCCTGGTCCTTTGCAAATTGCAGTCATGAACACATGAAGTGTTCTAGTCCTAGTTATTGAGACCAATTCCGATGAAAGCAGGATCCAGATATAACCCCAAATGCTGACTGAAGTCTTTCCGTTTAGGAGGAGTGATAGGGGGTTTAGAGACTTATACTTCCTTGATTGTTTGCTTGATTTGTTGCGTTGAGAGCATTTGATTTTTCAGCCCACCATTCAAGATAGACGCAGTGCAAGAATTGGGTATTAAGGTCTGATTCGATTCTCCGAGGGCCAACTGGCTCGATGATCAAAGGATGTGGTTTATGGTACCTAAACAGCCCTAACCAAGAATGGGAGTCTTCCGGGTGCGCACGTGATATGTTTCAAAGTGGCGCTGACGGGAGCCTCAAGCCGACTTCGCGAGAACAAGGAACCTAGCCTCCTCAACGTCAATCACCACCCACCCACTCTCAAACCACTGTCTTCGTATCTCACCGACGAGATATAGGAGACATGTTCTCGACTTCAGTTCGGCGGGTAGCCTTGGCATCCCCGCAGACTCCCATCGCAGCATCTCTCACAAGCTCGGCGCCACGAGCGGTTGCAACTCAAGCTCTGACATACCGGTGCCACCAGAGACGACTCTCTTCTTCGAAACCTTCTAGCCCTGCTGATGGATCCAAGGGTGTAGCAGAAGGGGAAGCTGTGCAGCCACATGCCCAGGCAAGACCGGATGGCGAGAAGAAGTCATCACGGGCCAGCAAGCGGAAGGCGAAGGATGCTGCGGCGAGCTATGCGGCCAAAGGCAGAGAGGAGGCTTTCCAGAGTCTCCCAAGCGTGCCAAGTACACAGCATATAGCTCCCCAACGTATGTTCAGGCGCATCCTGTTGATTGTGTAGAACTAACGTTTCGTCGACAGAAATTTACGCCTCGGCCTTCTTTTCTCTCCACCGGCCGATTTCTCTTACATCCAGCTTCCCGAAGACAGTCAGCGACGATGCTTTTGCAGCAATTTTCACCCCACGGACGAAAGCGAATTCGAAATCGTCAGAAGTGATCTCTACCTTATCGAGCACGGTCCAAAACCTCGAATCTGCCACCAGTGGTATGAATCAACTTAGTCTAGGAGGCCAGCAGGATCAGTGGAATTCCGAGGCAGATGAGTTGAGAGCGGCTATCACCGCTGAATCGTACCGGAAACAGGAGGTCCACAACCTTGATCCTACATCTGCCGAGAACCTTCCTCGAGTTGTCTTGTCGGGCAGCTACCAGCCATTCAACCCACCACCTCCACCAGTGCCCATGGACAGTGCGGAATCGCTCGCTGCAGGTGCAGAAGCTGCAGCTCAAGAATCTCAACACAGAACCTACACGGCTGTTCTGACAATCGAGGAGTCAACCGATCAAAACGGCCAGGTCACATACATGACCCACAGCTCTCCACTGGAGGAGAAAGCTTCCTTTCCGACACGATTCCGTGAGCGCATGTATCTCCGCCAAGAGAGGTACTGGGAGCAGATGGAAGAGGACCACGGCATGCTGGCGATCAGTGTGAGGAGACAGCGAAAGCTGAAGATGAAGAAGCACAAGTACAAGAAGCTTATGAGGCGCACACGGAATTTGAGACGGAGATTGGATCGAAATTAGACGGGTTTCATTGGCTGCATATGCATTCTGCTCTTTGGTGCATAGGGTTTTCTATATCGTAGTCTGTGGCATTCGACTCGTTTTGCGTTTATATAGCAATAGCATGGCTTCTCCAAGAGAGGCTTATTGATATCCTTACACCCCTCCATACTGTACTCAGCAAACTTGTGCGTCTTACTCAAATTTTCTTTCTTACCCTTTAATCCTCGTCTCTTAACTTCGATTTCTGAAGACCGGAGACCTATCAACGGTGTGATCGCTGCTTTTGGATGACGTCCGAATAAGATATGATACTCTAGTACTCTCTACCGCCAGACTCTTTTCTGGCAATGTCTTCTTCCGAACTTGCTGTTTTACGCCGGCTCGTCGTCGAACGACGACTCCATATCTGCTCTTGTTGCCCACTTCTTCCGGAACTGGATATACCAACGGGACGTAGATATATATGGCCTCCGGCACCGTCCATACATTTCGTTTGTTCAAGTATCTTGTTACGAGACTCATGAATCGTTATCATTGTGCTCGGGCGCCTCGGTCAATGTCCCATGTCCCACGCGGCAACGCTCTGTCTCGCAATGGTATTAGCTCAGAGGAGATGCTCTTAAAAAAGGAGATCTCATGGAACGTCTTCCAGTTTCATAGCAGATCTCTCCTCTCTCCTTTGCTGGACCCAGACCCCTAATTCCTTCCATATGCGTTCTTTCTCAGCCGGCAACAACGTAGCAGCAAGTCCGCTCGTACTCGTCGCCACAAAGACTCTTGCCCCCTCCCAGTCCTGCCCACCATCAACGCCCATATTCTCCCCCTGATCCTGCCATCCATACCTAAACTCATGTTTCTTGATCGGCCTGCCATGCGTCACCCTCCAGATACTCTCCCAGACGCTCTTCCCCACAATACACACGGCCTCGGGTCTGAACTTGGCAATCTTCGCCTGCAGCACATGCACGCTGGCATCCATCTCCGCCTTACTCAGTTCCGAGCTATTCTTCGTCGGGCGCTCCACGATATTCGTATTCCCCAGCGCGAACAGACGCGGCAGGTCGCCATCCTCCTGGGGGCTGCACCGGCGCGTCGTGCACCCGCTGCTGTGCAGCAGCTTCCAGAACAGGTTCGATGGATGGGCGTACGCGTGCCCGGACACGGCGGTCTGGATCCCCGGATTGAGCCCGATGAAGACGCAGATCAGGTTGGGTTCGAGGACGTCGCGCAGCGGGGGCAGGTGGGCGTAGGTCGAGGGCGGGGCGTAGCCGGATGGGGAGCGCAGTTTCTTGCGCGGCGAGGGAGAGGAAGAGGGCGAGAGGGTGTCGAGCTTGCGTTTGTTAGGACTGGGAATGGGGATGGGTGCGAGAGGAGAGGGCGGCGCTGATGATGAATTCCGGAGGCTTCTGCGGGACCCAGGAGAGCTCGACTCTGCTCTGCTGTTCGGCTTGGGGGAGAAGGCGTAGTCTGCAAGATTTAGTCGCCCCTTGAAGCTTGGGGGGATTGGATTAGAGACGGTTGCGTCGTCGTCCATCTCCCCTTCTTTGACGTTCTCGAGGACCTCTTGGCTGTCCATGCTGACCTGGACCAGGCACTGTAGATTTTCGTGAAGCCTGCGGGGTTAGTTGAAATTTAGCGGGGTGTATATATAATAACGAGCTCATTCTTCCGTACTGGAAGGACTGAAAGCAAACATGATCTTGACTATTCACTGGGCATTCAAGTCTTATGCCGAAGTAATTTGCATGAAGCATGTATTGATGATCTGCGAAAAGTAGTATAAAGGGGTCGTTGCGTTGCTAGGCGAGTCAAGTATAGCCAGTACAATACGAGTTTCCGCCTCGTGTTGACCGGCTGGCGGGGCTGAGCTCCGGGGTAAATATAAATAGCAAAGAAAATAGCTGCTGTATCCGCCAATATAAAAGGGCCATTGAAGCTCTCCAACAACTTTGCACATCCCGCATTCTGGTGAGAACTCCTTCGCACATCATGGAAACGATCAAAAACGTCCTGCACAAGCTTCACCCAGGTGGAGAGGGCCAGGAAGCCGCACTGAAGGAGCCCTCACCCAGTGCTCTCCAGGAGTTGAAGGAGAAATATACGAAGGCCGGACAAGATCAAGTCTTTGCCTTCTACGATGCCCTCGAAGCTCCGGAAAAGGCTACCCTCTATGAGCAGCTATCCTCTTTCGACCCCGAACACATCAACCGGATTGCCGACAGGGCCCTCAACCCCCCTAAACCCAAAGATGACGGCAAGCAAGCTGGCCTCGAGCCGCTTCCCGAGTCTGCCACGGCGAGTATCCTCGATTCGAAGCCCGAAGACGTCGAGAAGTGGTACCAGACGGGTCTCGACCTGATTGCGGAGAACAAGGTGGGCGTTGTGCTTATGGCTGGAGGCCAAGGAACGAGGCTGGGCAGCTCTGCTCCCAAGGGATGCTTCAATATCGGGCTCCCCTCTGAGAAGTCACTCTTCCAGATCCAGGCCGAGCGGATACGCAAGGTGCAACAGTTGGCAAGCAAGAAGGCCGGGCATGGAGAGGGCAAGCAGGTGGTGGTTCCCTGGTATGTGATGACGAGCGGACCCACGAGAGGCCCGACGGAGAAATACTTCCAGGAGAACAACTACTTTGGGCTGGAGAAGGAGAATGTCTTTATTTTTGAACAGGGCGTCCTTCCTTGTATCTCGAACGAGGGCAAGATTCTTCTCGAGAGCAAGGGCAAGGTGGCCGTGGCACCAGATGGAAACGGGGGCATTTACCAAGCACTTGTTACGTCCAATGTCATGCAGGATATGCGGAAGCGGGGAATCCAGCACATCCACGCCTACTGTGTGGACAACTGCCTCGTCAAGGTTGCCGATCCCGTCTTCATTGGCTTCTCGGCTTCCAAAGACGTCGACATTGCGACGAAGGTCGTCCGTAAACGCAATGCCACCGAGTCTGTAGGTCTCATCCTGCTCAAGAACGGACGACCAGACGTCGTCGAATACTCCGAGATCGACAAGGAGACTGCGGAGGCCAAGGACGCCAAACAGCCAGACGTTCTGAAGTTCCGCGCTGCCAACATCGTGAACCACTACTACTCCTTCCGCTTCCTGGAGTCGATCCCAGACTGGGCGCACAAGCTCCCGCACCACGTGGCCCGGAAGAAGATCCCATACGTCAATACGTCGACGGGCGAGACCATCAAGCCGGAGAAGCCGAACGGTATCAAGCTCGAGCAGTTTGTCTTCGATGTCTTCCCCATGCTGGAGCTGAGCAAGTTTGCCTGCATGGAAGTGAAGCGCGAGGATGAGTTCTCGCCGTTGAAGAACGCTAAGGGCACCGGGGAGGATGACCCAGATACGAGCAAGAGGGATATCATGCAGCAGGGCAAGCGGTGGGCGCAAGCTGCCGGCGCAACTATTGTCAGTGAGGGCGAGAGTGACGGGGTCGAGGTCTCGCCGCTAATCAGCTATGTAAGTTTATCCCTTTTCTATTGCTTTACTATCCCCCCTTGTAGGCTGAAAGGTGCTAACAAGGTAACAGGGCGGAGAAGGACTAGAGAATCTGAAGGGCAAGACCATCACAGCCCCTGCAGTGTTGGAGAAGCAGTGGGATTAGGGACATGAGATGATGCTTGAGACAACGTTCCTGTATTATTAGATGAGAGCCGCATGTTCGTTCTACGATTTCATTCCAAAAGTGGATTTCCAGGCAAGCATGACCAAAGTAATAGCACTGTTGCTGACATCTCTAAAATTCCCAAGTAAATAGCCCCAAAGTCCCCTTGGGAAAGTCACTGCCACATAACCTACCTGTATATAGCACCTCTCCCCAAGCCTACAGTGATATTCTGAAGCTTCTCCAACAGCCAGCCTATCACCGCAAGGAAACTTAGCAGAGTGGGGCTGAGCTATCAGCCTTACGAGACAGCCTTGCGAAAAGCCGGCGTCCAAACACAGCCTCTCTCTCTCCATGAACCACCAATCAGACCAGTCCATCTCTTCCCTCTTTTCCCCATTAAATCCCTAAAACAGTGAAAACATGCTTCTATTAGCAGATCATTATTTCGCGCATGATTTCTTTGGGCTAGGTCTTATGGAGGATTTTATTGCCCTAGGATATTTAAGCGTGTTAGTGCGATGTATATACGTACAGGGCACATTATCAATCAGTCAATCAATGATATCCACATTGCCATGCCAGCGAAACAGCGACTTACCATAAAGTTGCGCTCTATAGACACACAATAAACACAGCCGCCACTAATATCCAAATTCTTCTCGTCGATAATCCTTGAATAGAAGAGAAGAAGGTAGGTAAGGCGGATTCCAGAAGGCTGCCCCGGCTCTATTATTCCACCGGCTTGGCAATCATCTTTCTTTGAAACTTGGAAAACGAGCGAGCGAGCGAGCTATACATACATACCTACATACATAGGCCACTGTTACCACGACCAAATCTTTAAAGAACCTTTTCTCTCTCGAGACTTGAAAGCATGAGGTTACATCCCTTCTTCGCATTCGCAGCATTCCTGCTACTCGCCGTCTCTTCATGGGCGCGACCAGAGCCTAGTACCGATATCCAGCTTTCGGAGGAGGATGCGCGCACTGCTGCTCCTGATATATCACGACTATGGAGACGTAAAGGAGGCGGTGGCAAAGGTGGGAAAGGCGGGAAAGGGGGTAGTAGTAGTTCATCATCAGGGTACACATCCAATCCATCCAATCCCCCATCCACCCATCATCCATATCTCTCATTCCCCAACTAACCAACAATCCGCAGGCGCGGTTCCTCCTCCTCCTCCACCGGCGGCGCCACACGTCAAGGATCCGGTGTCCAGCCCAGCTTCCCAGGCGCGCGCTACGCCGGCGGTTCCAAGACGCCCTATGCATCGGGCGCGCGCTCTCCTCTCGGGCTCACGCCTATCTTCCTAGGCGCTGGTGTCGGCGGAGCGCTCGCTCTATATCCCGGTCTCTGGCTCCACGGCGCCTATCTATATCCCTATTCGCACCCATACACATTCGTGAACCGCAGTGCGGCGAATGCGACGGCGCCGCAGGGCGCGAACGAGACGAAACCTGTGGTTTGCATGTGTGCGGCAAGGGAGGAGTGCGGTTGTGAGGACGAGTCGGGAGATACGCAGGTCTTGGATTCGCTGGTGGGCAATGGGTCTTATGAGGCTTTGAATAAAACACTGGTGAATGTGGCAGTGGTTAATGGCTCGAGTACAATTCTTTTGAATGGAACGTTGGCGAATGGAACTACGGTTAGTGGGGGCCAAGAGGATGCTAATAAGGCGGGGGCGTTGGTGCAGAAGGCTGGATATGCGGTGTTGATTGCTTGTCTGGTGGGGTTTCTGGTTTGAGGGTGGAGCGTGTGTATTATCAGCTTTGTGTTTTGAAGAATGCACTACAGAGCAGGATTGGCTCTGGAGCCCCTTTATGTAGACTACCTCAATCATCCCTAAGAACAACATCACAAAGTATCCCTTATGAGAAAAGCCTACGCCGTGAAGCTCGAATCCCACAACTACCAACTGCACGACCATCACTTATGAAGCTTTTCAAAAGGATTTCTCGTATTAGTAGCAACATGTTGAGTTTATTAGCAACGCTGCATACATGACATGGTATGCGCCAACTACACGCGGTCCTCGTTCTTCGAAATCATGCTGTTGAGTTAGTGTGTCATGCCATTATCCCTAATGGTTGTTTGTGGTAAAGCCTGTTTTCCCCCGCTGCTCTGCTCGCTGACAGGTGTACTTTTCAATCATTGCCTCCGCCGCCTCATATGAATCTCGCGGTCCCTTCAGCTCAGTAACTGCTCAATCGCTCCCTGGACGCTGCCACCGCTCCGTCTTAAGGCCTCCACGTTCCTGTCGAAATCAAAGAATCCCATGTCGTTCAGCTGTCTCAATTGCTCCGCGTACCTCTCCTCGGGTGGTCTTGTATCTGCTGGCGGCGGACTGCCAGCTCCTGCTCCTGCACCGCCACCAAACAGACTGCCCAGATCAAGACCACTGGATCGGAGGAATTGCATTGCTTGGTTGGCTTCTTGTATACTCTCCGGTGTCAAGGGTGGCATCTGTGCAAATGGATTCGCGCCCCCAGCTCCACCGAACAGAGACGCGAAGGGGTTGGCGGCATTGGCGGCACCGGCGTCGGGATTCGCAGCTGGAGTACCTTGTCCTGGTGTAGCCTGACTTGGCGTACCCTGGCCGGCCGAGCCAGCCGCCGGAGGTGTCTGGGACGGAGTTTGACCTGCTGGCTGGCCGAAAAGCGCTGCAAAAGGGTTTCCTGCTGCTGGCGCCCCACGACCGAAACCCCCCGCACCCATACCCATGGCCGCGAAGGGGTTGAAAGGCGTGGCGGTAGGCTGGTTTGGGGTAGGATTGCTACCAGCCGCACCTTGCGGAGTGGTGTCGGTGACGCCAGGAGCTGGAAATGCGCCTGCTCCACCACCAAGTCCCTGCATCATCCTGCGCATGCGTGCCGCTTCGCGAATCGCCTCCGGGTTGGTCATCATCTGCATAAACTCGGGTGATTGTATGATCTGGCGTGCTTGGGGGTTATTTCGAAGGTGTGGAGTATTTTGAATCATCATATCAACTATAGCTGGGTTCCTGAGGGCTTCTCGCATGATCTGTACCGTGTTGGGGTCCTCGAGCATGCGCGCAACGGATTCCTCGCTTGGAGGAGCGCCCATCTAGAGACTGTTAGAATTTAGACATGCGACTACTTGAGGGATCAACTTACTCCGCCATCTGCGCCAAACATCTCTGCTCCTGGGAGTCCCATGTGGCCAGCAAACCGAGCTCCTGTCAGGCCAGCCAAAGGGTTGTTTGCCGTCCCTGCAGCCATATTGGTTGGTACGCCAGGCGCCGCTCTGGGAGCGCCGCCAGCTGCAGAAGCACCCGCGTTCGCCGGATTCTGCGCGGCGTTGCTCGCGGCACTCTTGACCATGTGTATTGTGTTGCCGGCCTTGATCTTATATTTGCTGAGCGGGTCCTCATCTTTCATGACGCGGCCCGAATAGATGAGCCGCTGTCGACCCGCGGGTATCTTCTCGTAGTCATCTCCGGCAAGCGTGTTCTTAAGATCCAGGACTGTCGCTGATTCTGCGATGGTGATAGTATGGAGACCTTCGCTGGAGGTCTTGACCTTGAAGGTGATTTGAGGATCTGCCTCGCTCGCAGCTGTCTCATCTGCCATGATGAGGTCGGATGCGCTTTCGCGATATGTGGAGAAGGAGGAGGGGGAGGAGGGAGGGTAAAGGGTGGAACAGACGAAGCTGTTGTTGGTTGAGGTAGAGGCAACGTTGGTGTTGGGGGGAGCGGCTATCAAGGTGGGATAGCGAAGCACCGACGGGGGGCGGCTGAAATGCACAGGCAAACGTCAGAGCCGTGCCGCTCCGCTAAGAGCAAGGGAAGGCTGTCAAGGGCACGCGGGCGGACCAGGAGAAATGGAGAAACGGGCAATATAACAATATCAATATCAGTGTGGCTCTGGCTGATGCGCTCCTCTCTGCACCGCCAACTGTGGGATTCTTGAAATGCGTTACGAAGCGGGATTTTGGAAGAGCGCTGGTCATGTGATGGCAGTACGGGGACGAGGCCGCGGCCCTTCTAGGAGCTTCCTCGCTGACTAAGAATCAGACGCATAAGCGACGTGCAGGAGTGCACGTGACTCGAGACGTCCCTGCACCGCGTAAGCGACCTTAGCCTCGGCTCCCCGCAAGTTGCGCGGGAAAGCAACGGGGTCAAGAGCACATCATCACTTCATAGATACCCCTTCGTTTCCTATATTCTTCCTGCCACTGGTTGGCAGCTTGTCTTTCCTAACTTTGCTTTATATCCTCTAATACTCCCAATTGCTATAAAAGGTAATTAACAATGCGAGGCATTCAGATCAAAGAATATGTCAAGGTAGAGCCCCGCCTCCTTTCTGTCCCCTTTTCCTCCCATTCTTCTTCCTCCACCCCATTCTCTTCTCCCAAACGTCCATCTAACCATCAATCCAGAGCCCCGACGAGCTCCGCGTAACTGACCTCCCCGACCCCATACCCACCGACGACCAATACCTAATCGCCATCCACGCCAGCGCAACCAACTTCTTCGACCTCCTCCAGATCGCCGGCAAATATCAGCACCAGCCCCCACTGCCCTGGATCGCCGGCTCCGAATTTGCTGGCACCGTGCTCGCCGTGCCGCGCGGCGCCCGTGCCCCACGATTCCAAGTTGGCGACCGCGTCCTGGGCGCCTCGCAGGGCGGCTACGCGACCAAGATCGCAGCGCGCGAGGAGGTCCTGCGCCCCGTGCCCGCGGGCTGGAGCTTCGCAGAGGCAGCAGGCCTCTTCGTCACGGCGCCGACGAGCTACGGCGCGCTGGTGACGCGGGCGGGCGTCAAGCCCGGCGATTACGTCCTGGTGCACGCGGCGGCCGGCGGGGTGGGGCTGGCGGCGGTGCAGATCGCGAAGGCGTTCGGGGCGACGGTGATAGCGACGGCGGGGACGGGGCGGAAGCTGGACGTGGCGCGGGCGTTCGGGGCGGATCATGTGATTGATTATGCGGATGCGGCGTGGCCGGACAAGGTCAAGAAGCTGACGCCCCAAGGCCGCGGTGTGGATATCGTGTTTGACCCCGTGGGCTTGATCGATCGGAGTACGAAGTGCATCCGCTGGAATGGCAGGCTTCTAGTGATTGGCTTCGCAGCGGGCGCTATCGAGAAGGTGGCTATGAATAAGGTGTTGTTGAAGAATATCAGTATCGTGGGCTTGCATTGGGGAGCATACAGTATCAACGAACCGGAGATGATCCCTGTTGTTTGGGAAGGTTTATTCAAACTGATAGACGAGGGCAAACTCCGAGGCACCGTCTTCACGGATCAGGAGTTTGTGGGGTTGGAGAGCGTCCCGGCGGCCTTGAAATCCCTTGGGAGCAGAGGGACGTGGGGAAAGGTCGTGGTGAAAGTCCCGCAGCAAGAGGGGCTGAGCAAGATATAGACCGAATGCATCATTATTGACCTCCTCGGGGAATACATGCTACAGTCTTCTCCTTTTTCTTCATCATCAGAATCATCAACGGTGTGAATGGTATTTTCGAAACAACCCACACAAATACTACGCTATGATGTACAGTACAAAACAAACTCCGCGCGCCGAATGCATCTCATCTCATTTCATTGCTCAGCCGCCATCGGATTACACCTCCTAGAAATGTTCCTTCCAGAACGAGAAGTTGACATCGCGAGTCGTAGCCGCCTTGCACGCCTTCTTGATATCTCTGGCTGCGACGTTGGGTCCTGATTAATCATAGGGGTTAGTCTTGAGTAAGGTATGGATGGTAGGTAGATAAGTAGGGAGGGACCGGGGGTGGGGGGAAGGGATGAGTATGGAGACTTACCACAGAAGTAAACACCGACATTCGTCCTCATGTCGCCTTCCAAACCGCTGAGATACGAACCCTCTAGGATACCTTCCCTCAAGCCAGTGAACAATCTTGTGAAATCTGGACGGCCGAAATTAGTTCGGGACTTCAGCTCGGTCAGGGGATCGGTGGCGGCGCCGACGCTGTTGAGGACGATGTTTTGCGCGGTGTCGGCATCCATCTTCTGCGTCAGATAGGTGTGGATACGCAAGAATTCCTGGCCTTTGTTGCCCGGTCTGGTGGCAGCTTCTTGGCTTTGGGCCTCGAGAGAGGAGAGGAGGACTTGGAACCATTCGAAGGAGGAGGTGTCCTTGCAGACCCAGATGAATTCAACTCGGCGGAGACGTTTCGGCGGGTTGGGTCCCTGACGCAAATGCCAGATGTTCTTGAGGATGGCGGCCCAGGGCGTGACACCGATACCAGTCCCGATGAGCACGGCAATCTCATTGTCAAATACGTCTTCTGCTGGTGCTCCGTATGGTCCATCAATCCGAAGCTCGGGCATCTGTTGTCCGTTTTGTAGCGCAACTTCGTACATGCCCATGGGATCAACGTCGTCGTAGAGCTTGGACTGGGCGCTACCTGCTCCAAGGGCATCACCAAGGGCACGTGTGAAATCACCGACCTGTCTGACGTGAACGGAGATGTAGGGGTCGAACGGGCAAGACGTGATGGTAAATGGATGCCACTGTTGCCTGGACACTGAGGGAACATTGAGGAATAACCATTGTCCTGCTTTGTACTTCATAGATGGTTTGCTGAACTGGATCTCCATGGCATCTACCAGAACGTTAGTCCAAGTCTGCTGGGATAGGTGGGGAAGCTTTACCATACGGATGGCGCACAACTCGGACGATTTTGGTGTCTCTTCGAGATCGGATCTCCCTATATAGACGTTCGATGAGGTAGATTCCACCGCCCCATAGCTCCCATCGCCAACCTTCATATCCGAGACAGTGGTTCCAGAAGTTGCTTCCGGCGAATGGAGAGAAGGGGTCAGTAGTGTCACGCACGAAGCACCCGGTAGCATGAGTATATAGTCCTAGCAAGAAAGGAATGAAAAGGTGATGCGTATACCAGAAAGTCTCGAAGGATTGCTGGCGGATCTTGGCATGAGCGGTTGTGTACATCAGCAGCATGCATAACAGCATAATGTGGCCAGTAATTCCACCTGCTTCGGTGTAATGGATCTGGATAGCCGTGACCTTTCGAATCTGAGTCCTCTCAACATTGAAGAAGCTACGCAGGTTAGCAACCGGGTAAGAACTCAGAGCAGAATCCTTACTTGACGTAGTGCGCAGAAACGTGGGCAATGGTCCAGAACAGCATCGAGTAAGCCACTTGTCGATGGAACCATTGCGATTCATCGAGCGGCAGGAACTTGACCTTTGGTCGTATATATCTCAGGAGATTTCGGCACATAGGCAGCAAGATCATGGCGCCGTCTACTGACAAGGCCAATCCTGCGCCTCGCGATATCCAGACTGAGAAGGTAAGAGTATTCAGACCCGCAAGTCTTGGATCATCCTGTTGTTTCTTCCTATCACAGTTGATTAGTAGTGAGCGCAGCAGATCGAGGTATAACGCTCACCATCCTAAGACGAAAAGCCCAACGTGGAAGCCATGGAAGAGGAAGTTGAATAACAACTTCGTGCCTCGCATCTGCGACTTCAAGTAGGCCCAAGAAACCATTGTCACTCGTATGTTCCGTCACGCCCAAAGTCAAGGTGTATTAGATATCGACCAGCGATGGTGTCGACGTAAAGCGTAGTCGACTATAAATGGCGGCCTCTGAGAGAGCGTTGGCGCCTTGAAAGTTGATGTGTATTAAATAAAGTGAATATGAGTGCTCGCACCTCAACAACGAATAACCACGAAAAGAAAAGAACGGTTGATCTGAGCCAGCAGGACCAGGAGAAGGAAAGCAGGTAGAGGAAGAAAAGCTTGAATTCCACCTGGCCGTTGAGAGGGAGAGCAGAGGATCCAGGGGTGGCGGGACTTAAAAGACTGATCAAGACCTGGAGATCGTAGCTTCAAAGCTTCGCACCTTCGAAAACCCGTTATAAGCGGGGCCTGCAATATGGAATGTTCAGAGGGGAGGATGGCAATCTTCAGTCACTTCCTTGTAGCCTCGGACCTTGGCCCATGCCATCTGGACCTGAATAGGCAAATCCTACGGGGCACTCAAGCTTTTGGTCGTGGATCAGACGTAGCAGAGCGTTTCGGAGAGATGGTGGTGCGGTGTCAAGTCAAGCGATATCTCCCTCGTAGATAATCGACGCAACCGATGGTTTCGCAGGGGACAATGCGGTGTTGCAAAAAAAAGGAAGACTGCGGGGAGAGGGTCGTGAGGGTCCTGGGAATGAAGCTTGAGACGCGGCTTGTCTTAAGGGACGTGTATCCGCTTCGAGGCGCGACAAGTTTCGGATCTTATTTTATCAGATTGGAGTTACAGCGTAGGAGGTAAGGGTCATCAAAAGATGGGAAAGGATCCCACAATAACACAGAATCTATCGTACGTGGAATGGGGAGATATAGCATGCAAGTATTGCGGGCAGATGCTGGTTGTAGGCAGGAATAATTGGAGGCGGGATCATGTATGAGGGGTTGTGACGTTGGACGGCCGACGAGAAAATCAATACCTCTAAATATACCTACCGTACTTAAATACTCCGTCCGTATGGTACAGAATGTCATGGCCCATGAATAAAGATCCATCATCCTGGGCGGCGCTTCGTCTCGTCAGGGATTCGTCAAAAGGCCAAACGGGGGAGAACAAGGGGCCAACTGCAACAGCTGATGATGGTTTACCCGTGCTGCCGTGCTTCCTGGTACTGTACTATTGAACCTGATTACTGTTCTCTGAGCCTTATTGATCCTCTCGATCCGGGTGGTCGAGATCTGGCCAACTAATGCAAGTTTGGCATTGATTGATGGTAAGATGCGACGCTGGGTTCTCTGAATCTCTCGTCTCATAGCGCCCAGGGGTCTTCTTCATCGGCCCTGGCATTGGAGGCGAGCTCTCCGTCTGTTTTCTGCTACATTTGCTGCTGCACATCTAGATATCATCACATCAGCACGGTGTTGTGAAATACTACGGAGTAGACATATTCTCGACTTACTATTGCGCAGCGTCTACTCGGTACATACAGAACAGATATGTATGTATATAGAGGACGAAGCATCACATACTTCTGCAAGACTACCGTGTCGGACCGCTCCTTGGGCCAATGGGATTATTTAGGTGCCACAGCCTGGGTCTTGGTCCCTTGGGAAAGTTAAGCCACCCTGACGAGGGGCTGGCGTCAAGCTGTGCCATTTGATTGGTCCCCCAATACAACATTTATCCCTCCCGTGGTCCTCGATTTGAGCCAATAGCAGGCCTAGCCGCTTGGGCATCTTCAACGTGCAAACCCCCTTGCAAGTTGTGAACTTGTGATAATACTCCGTACGGAGTATTTGTGACGCAACAGTACGGTAGTAGTGCTGTTGCTGCCGACTTATCAGACCCTCTAATTGATGGCCGATCCCGAATAAATTTTAGACTCCCAGTAGTTGCCGTTGGTGCCTTTGGGAGAAGGTTACCTTCCTTATGTTAGTGATCAAGAGCCCCATGAGGACAAAAGCCTGCAAGTTGCGATGGTATGAACTGGTAAAGGTAGAGGCCTGAGGCGTAAGACATTTGATGATAATCAACAAAAATACTTGTGTGTGACATGCTGGATTTCAAGAACCCATCATACCTGCTATTTCGACTTTGACAGTATTTTAATGGTTATCAAATCCAGAAGACACAGGAAACACAGGAAACCGATCGGAGTGCAAACGTGACATTGTTGCAGTCTCGAGCCCTTTGAGACGACTAAGAAGCCAACTGTAGGTGTGCTAGAATGGTTCTGGCACACCTTATAATTTTGCAAGTGAGAATATCAATCATTTTTGCCGCAGCCTACAGCGTGAGAAAAGTCAATGCTACAGAACTAAGATTCAGTATTAAATTGTAAGGTTCAATTCCTTGATCGTATGTGTTAAGTCTGTGGATTGATGAAGCTATTCGGACTGTGCTATATACAGAATAAGCGAGGTCACATGCGTGCCCTAACATATATCTACCTACTAAAGGCAGTGTGCTTGAGTCTCTCGTTGATGACCGAGGGTTGGATATTGTAGAGGCATTATTGTCCATGTTAGTCGTCACTCACACTGGTTATAGTAATAGCTCATGTACAAGGCTATGCTGCAACAGGTTCTGCAGATGTTATCCAACGAACGTGCGTTGTTGATGCTATCCGCCACTGTGGCGCAGACCATGAAGAGGTTTTCCACCTACCATCAAAGCTTTCAAGCCTTCGGCTTTTTAGGCTTGGTTTCTAACTTGAGATTAGTATCTCGGAACCAAGGAACGGCCACGTCCCATCCAGCTCAACCCGCATTGATGCCAGTACTCGGGTTAAGTGACAGGTGTTAAACCCATCAGTTCTGCATATTCAGTAGCGAAGGATCGGAAAACCGATACATCAATGGTGTAGGTATCTCCAGGGGCTTGCCCTGGTTCGAGGGTCAGAGAGTCCCCAAAGAGTTCTTCTCTTGTGAAGGTGATCTGGTCATCGATGGGATTGGGCGGTGCAGGGAAGATTTCCTAGGTCAATTAGATAATGTCCATTTTGTGACAGAATGAGAGTATACATACCCTCCTGTTGATTCTAGTCCCATTCTGAGTATAAAAGATAATATAACCCGCGATTGTTGAACTCATTCGCAGGTCATATTTTAGCAGTATGGTTAGAAGCACCATATAGTCGGTCCCTCTTAACCATATATCAATGTCGCGATCTAATGAAGGCCTGCTCTCCGACCAGCCAACCTCAGCGACCCAGATGGGCCAAAGTTGTGGTCGTCGTCTCACACGTACAAGGGCATCGGGCTCTTTGACAGTTCCCGCATATGGGCCAACAAAGCCAGTATAGGCTATATAGGTCAATGACTAGTCCAGTTTATAATACCGTATGGGGAGTGAAACTCACTGGCGCCGCTCACCACACCAGCTAGTAGATGCAACTGGTCATATGAAATGAAATTCGTCTGTTTCATATACACGAGGATCTCCCCAAGTGCAATCTGAGCAGTTTCGTGTATTCGAACAGGCATGAAGGCGGTTAGTTTGTTTTTTTCGTAGTTAAACCTGTATATACTGTTCAGTTCTGGCATTCACTGTTCAATAATAGGGCATTGTATACCGAAACCTTCTCTCCGACCCACATTGAGGATCGGATTCCAGGCCTTCAATCAATGGTAATGCAACATCTTCAGGCACGTCTTCTAGAATTAAAGAGCCTTCTTTCAGTAGTTGCTCCTTTGCCCGGTGAAACAGCTGGTATTTTGAAGGAGGGGGGTCAGGAATGAAAAGCTTTGATCGAGTAAATGTGGACATTGTATGAAAAGCTAAGTTGCCGTTGCGCCTGGAGGTAGATCGATGCCAGCTGTTTCCCCAGATCAGTGTGTAGATGATGTAGATAAAGGGACTCCGTATAGGTATACCTATTAACCGAGACCGGTGCACACGTGATCACTCAGAGGCTGAGCTTTTCTTTTGTCCGGTAACCGTAAGACGAGCTTGCGCGTCTCGCTACTGTGCCCGGTGGGGAGGATCATCGCGTAGCGAGCGAGCGAGTCCGTTAATTCTAATCTGGGACATCCGTATCCTTCTATGTAAACCTCCCAAGGACTGGACTCCCTATCCACAATCCCTCCCCCCCCCCCAAAAATCTCTTGATGAGATCTCTTCGTTTGGCTGCTTCATTCTTTTGATTGATTGTCCTTGCATAGCTCCCGGAGTCCTAGACCCTTTCCCGCGGCTGGAGTCGATCTGGGCGCATCCCGAAGCAGTCAACGGCGGGCTGGGGAGGATCCAAGATGGTAAGAAGAGGACACGACCTCGTACATCTGTTGCCCTAGGATGTCCACTGATAGGCTGTCTGGTGCAGGGTATCACAACGCGGAGAAATCAAAAAGCTGCCGCGAGCAATGCGCCGACCGGAGGTGGAGGTCGATCTGGCGGTGCCAGCAAACCAAACATCAAGAAGGCCACGTTCGACACCACAAAGAAGAAGGAGGTCGGAGTTTCCGATCTCACTTTGCTCAGCAAGGTCTCCAATGAGGCGATAAACGAGAACCTGCAGAAGCGATTTGAAAATAGAGAGATATATGTGAGGACCACCGCCTGGCGTGAAGACCAAGCAGCGCCCCCCTCGAGAAGAGGCCCTGTGCTGACCAGCCCATCTAGACATACATTGGACATGTGCTTGTTTCCGTCAACCCCTTTCGGGACTGTAAGAGGAGCCTGGAGACTTGCAGGACAATCAACTGACGTATCATAGTGGGGATTTATACCGATGAGGTCTTGGACAGCTACAAAGGCAAAAATCGTTTAGAGGTTGGCAATATAGACCTCAAAGGTACCGTAGATTATGCTGATCCCTCTAGATGCCACCACACGTTTTTGCGATTGCCGAATCCGCGTACTACAATATGAACGCCTACAAGGACAACCAATGTGTTATTATCTCGGGAGAATCAGGAGCTGGAAAAACGGAAGCTGCAAAGCGAATCATGCAATATATTGCAAACGTCTCAGGGGGCAGCAATTCCTCGATCCAGCATACCAAAGACATGGTTCTCGCCACCAACCCCTTATTGGAATCGTTCGGGAATGCCAAAACTCTACGGAACAACAACTCATCGCGCTTCGGCAAATATTTACAGTTGCAGTTCAATGCTCAGGGAGAGCCAGTCGGTGCGACCATCACGAATTACCTGTTAGAAAAATCCAGAGTTGTCGGTCAGATCAAGGATGAGCGCAATTTCCACATCTTCTACCAGTTCACAAAGGGTGCTTCTCAAGAATATCGAACCAATTATGGGGTCCAGAAACCAGAAACGTACCTCTATACAAGCAGATCAAAGTGCTTCGATGTGGATGGTATCGACGACATTGCCGATTATAAGGAAACGCTCAATGCAATGAAGGTTATCGGCTTATCACAAGCAGAACAGGACGAGATCTTCCGAATGTTAGCTGCAATCTTATGGACCGGCAACATCCAATTTGTCGAGGATAAGGATGGATATGCAGCGATAGCGGATCAGTCTGTGGTTGATTTCTTGGCATATCTCCTTGAAGTCAGTCCAGAGCATGTCATTCAGGCCATCACGATTCGTATTCTCACTCCTCGAAGTGGGGAGGTAATTGAATCACCGGCAAATCCTGCACAAGCCATGGCCACACGAGACGCACTAGCTAAGGCAATCTACAATAATCTCTTTGACTGGATTGTAGAACGTGTCAACGTCTCACTGAAGGCTCGCGGTGCCACGTCAAACTCGATTGGTATCCTTGATATTTATGGCTTTGAGATTTTCGAGAGAAACAGCTTCGAGCAGCTGTGTATCAACTATGTCAATGAGAAGTTGCAACAGATCTTCATCCAGTTGACATTAAAAACAGAGCAAGAGGAATATGCCCGAGAACAGATCCAGTGGACGCCGATCAAGTATTTCGATAACAAGATCGTTTGCGATCTAATTGAGTCTACAAGACCTCCCGGTGTATTCTCCGCATTGAAGGACGCTACCAAGACTGCGCATGCGGACCCCGCTGCCTGCGATCGGACTTTCATGCAAGCTATTAACGGGATGTCAAACCCTCATTTGACCCCTCGACAGGGAAGTTTCATCATTAAGCACTATGCTGGTGATGTCAGCTACACTGTTGATGGTATCACGGATAAGAACAAGGATCAGCTTCTCAAAGGCCTTCTCAACCTTTTCGGGCAAAGCTCAAATACCTTTGTTCACACATTGTTCCCTCACGAAGTCGATCAAGATAATCGGAAAGCACCACCTTCTGCGGGAGACAAAATCAAAGCCTCTGCAAACGATCTTGTTGCAACTCTGATGAAGGCGCAACCATCATACATTCGAACTATCAAGCCCAATGAGAATAAATCCCCGACAGAATACAACGTTCCGAATGTCCTACATCAGATCAAATACCTTGGTCTCCAGGAGAACGTTCGTATTCGACGTGCTGGTTTTGCATATCGTCAAACGTTTGATAAGTTTGTGGAGCGGTTCTATCTCTTGTCGCCACAGACATCTTACGCAGGAGACTACACCTGGACTGGTGACGCGAAATCGGGTGCGAAACAGATCATGAAGGACACCAGCATCCCTGCAGACGAATTTCAAATGGGGGTCACCAAGGCCTTCATCAAAGCTCCCGAAACTCTCTTTGCCTTGGAGCACATGCGAGACCGATACTGGCACAATATGGCAATCCGAATCCAGCGAGTTTGGAGAGCTTATTTGCGCATCCGAGTCGAGGCAGCTACCCGCATACAGCGATTATGGAGAAAGAAGAAGGTTGGTGCCCAGTTCCTCGCCCTCCGAGAACGCGGCCACAAAGTTCTTCAGGGCAAAAAGGAGAGACGCCGATTCAGTTTGCTTGGCTCGAGGCGCTTCATGGGCGATTATCTTGGCATCAGCGCTACTAGCGGTCCTGGATCACGGATCCGGTCCGCTATCAACCTCGCTGCTAATGAAGTTGTGATCTTTTCATGCCGTGGTGAGATCTTGGAGTCTAAATTTGCCAAGACGAGTAAGCCCAGCCCTCGCATCTTCGTCGTAACTAAGAGCAAGTTCTACATCGTCACCCAGCTCCTCGTCAACAAGCAAATACAGATCGCGGTTCAGCGCGCTATCCCGCTCAGCACTATCAAATTTGTTGGCACTTCAAACTGCCGCGATGACTGGTTTTCTCTAGGAGTCGGTTCTCCGCAGGAACCGGATCCACTTCTGAATTGTTTACTCAAGACGGAGCTCTTCACACATATGCAGATCGCTATGCCTGGATCATTCCGCCTGAATATCGGAAGCTCGATTGAATATGCGAAGAAACCTGGAAAGATGCAGGTGATCAAAGTTGTAAAAGACTCGACCACGGCACAAGATTTCTACAAGAGCCAGACAATCCACACAAGTGCAGGCGAACCACCGAATTCAGTATCACGGCCTATGCCAAAGAGCAAGCCTGTTCCTGCAAAGCCTTTTACGAAAGGTCGACTTATCAAGCCTGGTGGTCCTGGAGGCCGCCCTTCAAGAATCACTGCAAACCGGAACACAAAACCCGTCTCCAAGCCAGACCCGCCCGCAGCTCCTCATCAGCGAAATGCGTCAAATGCATCTCAGCAGATGGCATCACCTATACCGAACCATACGAGAAATGTATCCTCTATATCATCTGCTCGGGCCGTACCTCCACCACCTCCACCCGCACCTCCTGCACAACCAAGGGAACCTCAATACAGGGTCCTCTACGACTTTGTAGGTCAAAGTTCGAATGAGATCTCACTGAGGAAAGACGATCTCATTACCATCATCCAGAAGGAAAATAATGGTAAAGTCTTCCATGAATGAATCCAGTATCAGCACTAATCATATACTATAGGATGGTGGCTAGCCAAAACTTCCGCCGGCCAAGGCTGGGCTCCTTCGGCATACCTGAAGGAGGAAGCACCACCTGCCGCACCCATCGTTAAACCAACACCCCCTCCCCCACCGCCAGTCGCTCCGAAAGTCAATGGAGTCAACGGTGCTGCTGCAGCTCGCTCCAAACCTACGCCTCCTGCACCACCGGCGAAGAGGCCTGCTGCAGGTCGCAAGCCCGCGCCTCCACCAGCACCACGTGATTCCGGTATGAGCATGAACAGCAGCAACGGCACTGACAGCGGTCGCAACACGCCGAACCCAAGTTTAGCAGGCGGCTTAGCGGAAGCGTTGCGAGCAAGACAGAACGCTATGCAGAAGGGACAGGACGATGATGACGATGATTGGTAGAAGGCTCCAGAGAGATCAGGGTGAAATGGTTGAATTGGATTGTTCGAGGCATTTTGCGGTCACGTTTTACGACGATGCTACGATTCAATAGATGAGACGGCGTGCGGCTCTTTTTATTACGAGCAGCTGGTCTGATGACTGATGGTGCAGGTTGCGGGCGTCTCTTGTCTGATAGCCGCGGTGACTTTGAGAGAGTAAATAAGGTAAATAGAAAATGACCAAGTACATACATACCATTCATTGCCCCTGATTCACGGCTATGAACCTCGTGAGAAATATGTCTCTCTCGATGGCCAGTTCAGTTGATGAGTTCTGATGATGGGTTCTGCATTCTTACTTTATCGTTTTAAACCTTTGGTCGGTAACAATCTCCTTCCTTCCCTTTAATCAGATAAAAAGCACTATTAGCCTAAGGTATGTACATTGCTTCATCGTGATAAACGTTATCGTATTTTCATTATCGTTAGGTGTCTTAAGTATCGACATCTAATAATTAAACAGCTCAGCTCAGATGCGGTCTCGGACCTGCATTAGGCGACCTTCCTTCTCCTCTCCTCTATTATTAGTTTCTATAGAATGCAGTTGGTGAGAGGTATTATCGCGTCTTCTATCATGGGCACGTGTCGGTCAGTTCCCTCTAATCTCCGCAAAAAGCCAAAATTCAATCACTGCCATCGATGGCTTCCAGGTCCTTTACCCGCTTCCCATCGTCAAAACCTTGCAGGGTCTTGAGTTCCTGCTGGAGCGTGTATCCCCTAGTGAACAAGCTCGCTGCTAACGCCACGCCGCTCAGAGCACACATGACGGCCCAGATAATCTTCAGGGAATCCGTGTATGCCTGGATGAGTTGCGTCTTGGCGAGGCCAGCCGGCATGGCCTTGATGATGCCGACCAAGGCCGTGGCGTCTTTGCTGTAGGTGGAGGCTAGGGGGGCAAGGAGGGGATAGCTGAGTAGCTTCTGCTTGATCTGGTTCTGGAAGATGACGCCGCCGATGGCGACACCGAGGGATTGACCGAATACGCGCATGAAGGAGAAGAAGGCGGCGGAGTGGCCGGCGTCTTGGGGACGGCTGGAAGCTTGGATGGCGAGGGCCATGGCGGGAAAGAGCATCCCGGTCCCGATGGCAATTGGGAAGTTGAGGAATACCCAGGCGGGGATGCTGGTGTGGGGTTCGAGGAGCACGAGCAAGCCGGATCCTAGAGTGGTTAGTACCCATCCGATCCAGATGGCCCAGCGGTAGTGACCGGTTTTGGCGCAGACGACGCCAACTATGACAGACATGGCTATGGTTGTGTTAGTAGATGCCGTTGTCAGAGGAGGGGTTCAACCCACGAGCAACAAAACCGGTCTCGGGTAAGACTGCAACTCCGCTAATGATAGGTGTATATCCCTTAACGGCTTCATAATAAAGGGGCAAGTAGCTAAGAAACTTGTTAGCAGAATGTATCCAGTTATTAGAGAGATTGCGCTGACTATAAGAGCGACCAAAGGACCATGCCGTGAACGAGTGTCTCCAGGTATGTGATGCATATAGACCAGTTGGAGAATACGCTAAATCTGATAATGGGTTCAACGGGATTTCCTGGCAGGACGTTGCCTTCCGAATCAAATGCTTTGGATGACAGGTACCGCTCATAGAAGGCGAAGACAACAAGGCCAGCCACGCCCAACAATAGAGGGACAAGCGTACGCCACGAATCCCAGGGGTACATAACGCCACCTATCAAGATGATTAGGACAATATCGTACCGAAGGGGAAAAGGGTCTTACCCCATGTCAAAGGGATCAGTACAGAAACTGTAGATGCGATGAAACCAACAGAACCAAACCAGTCGAATCTCTGAGCCTTAGCCAGGATCTTGCCGGGGACTCGGTCCAGCTTCATAAAGAGAAGAATGGCAACAGCCCCGGTGCCGATAATAGGAATATTGATCCAGAAGATCCATCTCCAGGACACATTTTGAGCAAAGGCGCCGCCCATCAAGGGACCTCCGACAGAGCCAATTGCCCACATAGATCCAAGGTATCCAAACCAAGCTAACAACATACATTATCAGTAAACCATACTCAACCTTTAGGATGGATAATCCCACCTCCTCGAACCGCGAGAGGAACAAGATCGGTGACTAGTATCTCCCCCAGAGTCAGGATTCCACCACCGCCAATACCCTGAATCGATCTGCCGACAAGCCTGAAAAGTTTAGCAAACCCTTGTCAGGCGGTATGACAAGTACATACATCAAGGTGAAGTTATTAGCCACAGCGGCCAAAATAGATCCAACGGCGAAGAATAACGAGGATGCAAGGATCAACTGCGAAGTATGAGCACTGAAACGCCCCAGCTAGTAAGACCCTGATGAGGTGCCATACCTGCTTCCTTCCAAAGCCATGGCTCAAGCCCGCAATGACAGGCTGGAACACGGCCGAGGTCACTAGAAACGATGTCCCTGACCAAAAGGCTTCGATTGCCGTTCCATGGAGCTTTTCGGTAACGATAGGTATTGCGATACTGAGCGAGGTGGCATCGAAAGCAGCTGCTAGAGTCACAATGCAGATGCTCGAAAATGCAAGGTAGAATGCCATGCCCGGTTTGAATTCCGGGTTGGTCTCCTCGAGCGCTGGCATGGTTGAGGTCTCTTTGGATTCCGGAATAATGCCATTCACGGACGAAGATGATGCTTGACGAGAAGAAGACATTGTAGAGGGAGGAAGATGCTGCTTAAAACCAGTAGAAAAAGAAGTAGAGAATCAAAAAGTAATAAGCCTTTTGAGGCTCCAGCACACAGGATGTGAATTGAAGAGCTACTTCAAGACCTGGCGGTTGGGCTCTCTTATCCTGACATGATGATGTGAGACAACCTACTACTCATTCGCCGGCGACGCAATGCACGGAGGAAACTCATTGCGGACTTGCTGTAGAAGCGGAATAGAGAAAGAGAAAAGGTAAGAAACGGCTGAACCGTTCGGACGAGAAGGAAGGATTCTCACCGACGGTGTGATGTTGTCCCGGTCCAGCCTTTAGCCAGCCTTACTTACGGCCGACGCGACTCGTCTGTACCTTGCGCCGTCACGCCGCATCCGCCGCACTACAGGAATTCCAGTCCGCAGAGAATCATGGCCGGTCTGCGCATCCCAATAGAGGCCTTTGCAATACCGGCAGTATCTCTCCTGATTTTCTTTCTGTCATATTCATCGCAGTTTTTGTTCTATTATATCGAACCCGGACCGTTGAGCAAGACCCAGGCCATCTGGTTCAATACCTTCGTGGTCTGCATTTGGTGGTGCTACGACAGGGCTTGCACAGTTGACCCCGGTCGACGAGGCTGGGTCAAGAGGTTTGCTGCAGATGTTGCTGAGGAAAATGAAGATGGGAGTGAAGGGCTCAAGCTGGAGAAGGGGATGCGGTGGTGCAAGAAGTGCGAGGCTGTAAAGCCACCGAGAGCTCATCATTGCAAGAAGTGTGAAAGGTATGTACCTGGGGATGCGCTCCTGTGGTCTGGACTATGCTAATTGGCATTCGAAGATGCATTCCAAAGATGGATCATCACTGCCCGTGGACCACGAACTGCGTCTCCCACACGACCTTCCCCCACTTCATCCGCTTCGTCTTCTATGCCGTCCTCAGCATGTCAATCCTCGCCTACCACCTCTTCAGACGCGCCATTCTCATCTGGGATAGTCGTAGTCTCCCTGCCTATCTAGGTCCTCCTGTGTGGGCTATGGCACACCTCTTTGTCCTGATTGCTGCCAATAGCCTAACCCTCTTCGCACTTTCCATCCTCCTGGCCCGAGCCGTCTACGGCCTCGCAGCAAACACAACCACGATCGAGAGTTGGGAGATTGAGAGACACGAAGCACTTGTGGAGCGGTCGCGGAAAACGGGAGGATATGTGTATGCAAATGGCGGCCAACAGATGCGTGTGGAACACCAGGAGTTCCCGTATGACATCGGCATATGGAAGAACTTATGTCAGGGGATGGGCACGAGCAATGTGCTTATGTGGTTTATGCCATTCGGTGGAGGGCCAGGTATTGAAAGCGCGGCAGAATTCGAAGTCAATGGGTTTGAAGATGCAAGCAAGGTGTGGCCACCTCCGGATCCGGACAAGGTGCCCAGAGCTCCGCGTAGCTCGGACAAAGACGAGGATATAAAGGTGTATGGGAGCCCTGCTGAAGAAATAGAGGCTTTTAAGAGGAGGCAGCAGAAGGATTATGAGAGATGGGGTGGGAAGCAGGAGAATACAGCCAACGATGGTGTCAGTGACGACGAACAGCCCGACGATTATGAGAGCGAGTACGAAGAAGGCGTTGATGGCGAAGAGGGCTGGACAAACGCAGATGGCGAACGATTGCGAGACTATGGTGTAGATGAGGAAGCTGAGGTCTTGGCTGATGAGGATATACCTCTGGGAGAATTACTGCGGCGTCGAAAAACTAGGAGCTATAGCTAGGTTGAAATGCATACCTACCTTGGACCTGGAACTTCCTATACTGATTCCATTTGTGAGGTACTGTTTGGATGGATTGCCCGGACTGATCTGTGATCTCTGCAAGTGATGGCAGAGTTGCGAGTCTCATGAGAGTATCTCACCCGTGCTGCAAGGTCAATTACACTTGGCACGGAGTTCTCTTCTCTCTCTCACTCTCTCTCCCCACCACCCCCACCCCCCTCTCCCCCCAACCAGCCCTTCTCCCCCGCCACCAAAATCCAGACTCCAGTAATGATCCATCTCGCATACATGCCGTAACGTCGACTCTGAAATACAGAGCCAGACTCATGTCACGTCACGTGCTTTACGTGTTAGAGGTCGAGATAGTCTTGCGCGTACCTCAAGAGACTTGGCGAGACAACCCCACTCCGGCGCAGCGTCACCTACACCCTATTATTGGATCAGCTACGAACTTAAATAAACACAGGCATTGGCCCTACACCACAACTTCATCTGCAATCCAAATTCAATATTCAGATCAACAAGCAAGCCTTTCGGATTTACCATACAACGACAATCAGGTATGTATGGTCTTTCGCCACGATTTCTTGGACCTCATAAACAGCTTCTTTACCCCACCAACCGATGCAGATCGACCCCGCTAACCAGCACTCTCCCCAGCACTCTCCGCAGCATGTCTGGATACGACGGTTACGACCAGCAGGGTGGTGGATATGGAGGCCAGCAGGGCTATGGAGGCGGCGGCGGAGGCTATGAGGGTAAGAAATATAACCACAATTGCAAATACAAGAGGCCAGCAGCTCACGATCATCTAGAGAGACGACACCACGGCCGCCGTGAGGAAGAAGGCTATGGAGGCAGTCAGGGCGGTTATGGAGGTGGCGAAGGAGGTTACGAAGGTGAAGGACGACACCACGGCCGCCGTCAAGAAGAAGGCTATGGAGGAAGTCAGGGCGGTTATGGAGGCGGCGAAGGAGGTTATGAAGGTGAAGGACGACACCACGGCCGCCGTCAGGAAGAAGGCTATGGAGGAAGTCAAGGCGGTTATGGAGGCAGTCAGGGCGGTTATGGAGGTGGTGAAGGAGGTTTTGAAGGTGAAGGACGACACCACGGCCGCCGTCAGGAAGAAGGCTACGGGGGTTCCCAAGGAGGTTATGGAGGCGGTCAGCAAGGAAGCTTTGGTGGTGGACGGGATGATTATGGCTCGGGCCGTCAACAGGGTGGCTACGATGGAGGAAGAGTGCAAGACGATTATGGCTCTGGCCGTCAGCAGGGAGAATACGGCGGAGGTAGACCACAAGACGATTATGGCTCCCGCCCACAACAGAGTGCATTCGGGGGAGGGAACGTTCCTCATGGCGGCAGGTGAGTTTACTTAGGTTGTTGAATTTGTTACTATGTTTACTGATGGAATGTCAGCTATGGTGGTGGTGGAGGGTATGGGGGAGATGATGACATACACGGGGCTATTTCCCATGCCCAACAACATGCCGGCGACTCAGGCGAATCTTCGCTTTTCTCAAGCATCCTGGGGAAGCTCAGCCAGAACAAGCAGCATATTGCGAACCAGGAGGTCAATGAGCATGGTGCGTCCTACTATATGAATCGAATTACCAGATCTGCTAACATTTCTTAGATGCTGTCCAATCTCACCAACAATTCTTTGGGGGCGGTGGTGGCGGTGGCCAACAGGCCAGTTCTGGCGCTATGGGTTCCGCTGCTGCAATGCAGGCTCTTAAGATGTTCAGTGGAGGAGGTAGTGGAAATTCGCAAGCTGGAAATAGCCAAAATGCTTTCATAGGCATGGCTATGGCGCAGGCCAGCAAACTCTTTGATCAACAGGCCTCTTCTGGAAACCTTGAAGCTGGTGCGAGCAAGGAGTCTGCTGTTCAGCAGGCTGCAGAGATGGCGCTCAAGATGTAAGGTCTTTCGCCATATTCCCGACACACCTACTAACAATTTGACAGGTACATGAAATCACAAGGCGGTGGCGGTAGCAGTGGTGGAGGCGGTATGTCGAGTCTCATGGGACTTGCATCCAAGTTCTTGTAGATGCCATGACAGCTCTTCATACCTTGGTATGCGAGGGCGATAAAGCTCTTGAATTCGCTGGTTTTGAGGGAGAATGACCCTTTACAAAAATTGTCCGATTTATGGGAATACACATGACGATGTTACGATTTCTATTTTCAGCATGGGTTTGAGATGTAACACCCTGTGATATTATGATTCGAACAGTTCTGTCGTAAGTCAAGGCTAGCATTCCTCGCCCCTATTTCCCCAAGGACCGAAAGTTCAACATGTTGTTGTCACTGTCACTGTCGCCATCACCGTCAAACTATCAGATACTGGTGCAGGGTGTTCCCGCATAGCTCATCAGTCATCTTCCATTCCAATCAGATAACATGCCTTCATAATCCTAGCTATCGCCTATGCTATCCAGAGTCTCTCAAACACAAAAGGACATTCGATTTTGAGCCAAGCAGGTGTGATTGATGAGCTCAACCGTAGAAGAAGCCCTGGCTCTCACAATGAAGCAAGTTTGCCCGGTTTCTGAACTGTCCCTTGACAGGACCTTAGCAGTGAGAATTGCAGGGGTCTTATCCTCCGGTACGCATTAGGGATAGCCGAGTGTTCCCAGTTGAAGCGGCAACTTTGCTCGAACTCGCACCAATCAATACGAAATTCCCCAGACTCTGGTGTTCAATCCCAGTGCCCCAGATGCGGAAAACCCCACTTTGGAATATCCTGGGGAATTCTTGAATCAACGGTTCTAGGGCTGGAAGTTGGCGCAATGAGGCAGTGAGTGGACCTGCATAGTCCGAAATATCTCAGGGCGAGTATCGCCGGAGAGCAAGATGCTGCTGGGGTTTAATAGAATACCCAAGTGGGCTATCTCCTCAAAACCTATGTAAAACTGCGGTGTATCTGCGAACGTTCTATGTTCTTGTTGTCGTGTGGGGTAATTCGAGTTTTTCGGGCTTCCAGTCCTCCCCGGGAAGCTGATCCAGTTCCTTCACTGCATTCCCATGCTTCTTCCTATTTGTTTTTCAAGACCCATCCCAAGAGAACAACAGCAGAGTCTAGTCACAATGGAGAAGAATCTCAACTCGAGTCATGTGGAGAGAAGGGATAACCCGACCATTGTTCAGTCGGGCGAGGTCTACACGGATGAAGTTTTATCAAAAGCTGGGGTGGAAGAATTAAGAGAAGATAGAGTTGCGAATGTGCACCTGGTGAGCTCTCCCTCTGCTTTGGATATCCGAGAAGTCCATCTCTGAGATTTTTCCCAAGGCCGCGGCGTTGAGCCCCAACAAGCCTGCAACGTGGGGTCAGGGCCACCGCAAACTGTACGCCATGTGCGCTCTAGTGTACTTGTGTTCGACGATGAATGGATATGATGGATCTCTTATGGGAAGCATCAATACGATTCCAGGGTACCAAAGGTACTATGGCCTTCCGGAGAATGGCGCCGCTTCGACTGGGATTGTCTTTTCGATCTTCCAGATCGGACAGATGGTTGGCGCTTTGTTTATCTGGCTTGCGGACTGGAAAGGACGTCGACTATCAATCTTCGTAGGAACCTGTGGAGTAGTTGTTGGCAAGTAGTCAAGTGCTAAATTATTGGTAATTACTAACCATCTGTTAGGTACTATCATTACGAGTACAGCCAAGGATCTTCACACTTTCATCGGCGGTTGGTTGTCTTGAGAATGCCGCAAATGCAGATGCTAACTTGGAATTGAGGTCGATTCCTACTATCTTTCTTCTCCACACTTGCATCCACTGCAGCTCCTCTATACTTAGTTGAAATTGCACCTCCGTTATACAGAGGTACGGTTGCCGGTCTTTACAATACTCTGTACTATATGGGTAGTATCATAGCAACATTCACCGTGTATGGTACCAACCTGCACCTCACGGGCAACAGTATCTGGCGCTTGCCTCTTTGGCTTCAGATGGTATGTCCCGGAATCGTTGCTGTTTTTATATGGTTTCTGCCGGAGTCGCCAAGATGGCTTGTTGGTAAGTCCTATTGAGCTCTCTTCACATTCCACTGGGGCTTTTGAGTACAACTGAAGTGAGGAGGAACATAACTGACAGCGTCCTAGGTCAAGAACGCTTCGAGGAAGCTCGGAAGATACTTGTCCAATACCACGCAAACGGAGATGCCACGCACCCTATCGTTGATCTCGAACTAACAGAAATGACTGATAGCATGAGAGATGCAGGATTACTGACGTGGCAGAGCGCATTTGACATTCGGAACCTGTGTAATAGTAGGGCACGATGTTATCGACTCGCTCTCTGCATCGCCTTCTCTTGGTTTGGCCAGTTTTCAGGGAACATCATAACATCATACGTATGAGTCTCCCTCCTTATCACATTCCCCCTCCCCCCCAAAATTCAATGCTGAGTCTAGATACCAGTACCTTCCTCTCCTCGTAGAGAACGTCGGCATCACCAACACCAACACCCAGCTTCTCCTGAACGCTCTCTACGCACTCGCGGGCTGGATCTTCGCCAGTGCCGGCGCGCGCTTCCACGACATCTTCGGCCGTCGCAAGATGCTCCTCGGCAGCACATTCGCCATGAGCATCTGTCTATCCATCGTCGCCGGCACCAGCGCGGGGTACGCGCACGACCCCCTTAACAACAAAGCCATGTCCATTCTCTCCATCCTCTTCATCTACATGTTCGGCTGCGTGTTCGCCTTCGGCTTCACCGCCATGCAGCCCATCTATCCCGGCGAGGTCTGCGATAACGTGCAGCGCGCCAAGGGCATGGGCGTGTTCCAGCTCACGGGCGGCGCGGCCGGCTTCCTTAATACCTTCGTGGCGCCCATCGCGCTGAAGAGTATCGGCGCTTGGTTCTATGTGTTCTTTATCTTTTGGGATCTCGGGGAGTGCGCTGTGATTTATTGGTTTTTTGTAGAGACGAAGGGTCGCACGTTGGAGGAGCTGGATGAGGTCTTCAGGGCGCCGAATCCGAGGAAGGCGAGTACGGCGAAGATGAGAATCCGGAGGCTTAGGATTCATGATGAGGATGGGAATGAGAAGGATATTGTGATGAGGTAGATTGATGACCGGTCTAGTAGGGGCTGAAAAAAGGTAACTGCATGATGATGTAGCTGATCAGTCGAGTTGTTGTTATGCCCATTGCCTCGAGAAGGCTTTGAGATAAAATTAATATTGCTAGTATTGCTAGGAAAGTGCTGCAGGGCCCTGCCTGTTTGGACTATGTTTAATCAGCTTGCCTTGCCGGGAAATCCCTTTCTATTCCATTGTTCACCACCCAGAACCCATCATGGCTTGTATGCGTAGAAGCCATCCGATATCTTACAATGACCCCCATGCTTGTTAACGAAAGATATTAATTACTCGTCTCCAATCTCCCAGGAGCAAGACTTTTGTGTGCCAGAGATAGGCATGTCCGAAAACGCCTTCCAACAAAATAGCCCGAATGTGGTATCCTCTCTTGCCATGATATTACCCTTTCTTTCCCTACGAACAAAGATGAGAATCGGTCAAAATGAAAATTCTTCTAATGAACGTGACCATCATGGTCATGGTCCGAATGAGTGTGGTGAGCCTCTGATGAAGGCGGCGACGGGGGTGAACAACATCCTCCCACTTCACAGTCATCCACACACTCCAGCAAGCAGTCATCGTCTAACCGACATCCCGATTGCCCATCAATGCCATCAAGACCCATCGCCTGTTCTTGAGCATGATCGTGATTCTTATCAAGACAGAACTCTGGTTGAAGGGTGGCGCTGTGGATCCCATAAGCATGCAAGCACTTCCTCGCTGCCTTGGCCAGCTCCATGTATTTCTCGCCATTAGCTATGCTGATCGGGAATGCTACCTGGATATGCATGGAAGCAATAATCTGGGTGTCGCTGAGTTGCCAGATGTGTACGTGATGGCAGCTAACGACCCCTGGGATGTCTTGGATGTCTTCTTTGATATCGTTGACGTCAATGTGATCAGGTGTTGCTTGTAGGAGAATATTGGCTGTTGCCGAAGTCAATGGAATGGTAGAGCGGAGAATGATTACGGTAATGAAGAGTGATACTGCTGGATCTGCGTAGTATCGACCAGACCACTCTGTGAGCCAAATGATGAGAGCAGAGACGATAACACCGATGTTGCCAAGAGCATCACCGATGACGTGGAGAACCATAGCATTCATACCCATATCGGCATGGTTATGGCCATGGCCTCCCTTTGAAGGCTTCTTGGGCTTGTTGTGGTTGTGGCCGGCGTGCCACGAATCGTCATTTGCCTTTAGTCCATAGGAATGATGACTATGGTCACTGTGGCTGTGGCTGTGTTTCTGGCTGTCTGGGCTACCTCCGTTCGACTTGCCATTAGATTTTCCAAGCAAAGGAGAGTTCTCTGTGGGAGCATTTTCATTTTCGATAGCCTCTTCATCTGATGCAGTAACGTCTCCACTATCACTGCCGTCAGGCGGGGACCTACTTGCGGCAATAATATCTTGTCTGAAGCTAGCAGGATGAATGCTAATATCATCGATGCGGTTGAGACGGCTACTAGTACGTCTTCGATGTTTGTTGCGTGATGATGCCCTGCTTGCGGATCTGCCCAAGGAATCGGCGCGTTCCCTGGAGGTTTTCGCGTTCTCGTCAGATTGAGTAAACCGAATATGTTGGCCCGATCTCGCTTTGACTTTTGCAATGACTGCCTCTGGGAATACATCGCTGGCGTCTTCGTTGTCCACGGACCCTTCACCGACGCTATCGGAATGAGTATGACTATGCCCTTCTTCTGCTGCCCGGATCTCATTGCCGTGCGAGTGGTCATGTTCTTCTGGTCCATGGGAATGGCCATGGCCACCCAAAACAAAGAATCCAGCAAGATTTGATAAAAGACCTAATGAACCGACTATAAGGATAAGCTTAGGATTGCTGATCGTCGGAGGATCGATAAGGCGCGTAATAGCTTCCAGAACGATGGACAGGCAAAGTGCGATTAGGAATACTGCATTAAAGAAAGCACCAAGGATTTCTGCTCGCAACCACTGCAGCCAGCGTTAGTTAATAACCTCCATGGCTTTCAGGCGTGTATACTGACCCCAAACGAATATTTGTCGGTGGAAGATTTTTGGGCAGCCTTCACGGCCCACAGCCCTACGACGAGAGATATGATATCATTCAACTACCTGACAGTCAGTAGTAGGCCTAGATATCTCAAGAAGGCAATGCTTTCTCACCATGTGGAATGCATCGGCCATGAGTGCCAAGGAGGAAACAGCCACGCCAATACTCAGTTCCAAAACCAAGAACGTGATATCAATGGCCAGCATTATCTTTATCCGTGTCAACTTTGACCACGCCATATTGAAGTCGACCCGGCAAATCTGCGCGTAATGTTGGGCGTAGACAGTGCGAAAGTCGACCTCGCGGTCCTCTTGTTGTGTCCCTGGTCCCGCGCTCGTATTTCGTTTTCATCAAGGTTGCCCCACGGTCGTATCAATGAGCGCTCTTCTTTCGAGGCAAGGCCTTGCGTAAATCGAAGGGGAGGATACGGGCGCGTTGAGTCGATGCTTTGTGCGCGAAGTTTGACCAGCCGCACAATGAATGATGCAGATAAAAGTGGTGGAAGATGGAAAGTTATGGCAACGATGGCGTACCTTTGCGAATATTGGCGGCACAGAGCGTCACCGCCTTATTCTGCCGGTCACCCGAACTCGTATCCGAAGCGACCAACTACCGTGCCTAGGTAGGATTTTGACTCGTGAGGATCTACCTATAGTATGTGGGACATAATAGACTAGACACGTTAGCTGCCCTTCGCTTTGCTATTGCATTGCATTTCTTTTATTTTTTCATTTTTTTTTTTTTTAATTATTACTTTTATCACCCCTTTTGCTGATATAAAATGCTGATCATACTATATACCTATACTGCCCTGTGTAGTGTGAAGGCGGTGACAGTGCTCGGCTCGCGGATCACGCCACGCCCGACTCACGCCACAGATATCATGTGATATCCCTGAAGATTCTCGCCCGATTAAGGCACGGATTCTATATCACTCTCTAGGGTACAACGCTCAGTCAGGGCACTTTTCAAATAATACAAACCGAGCTGTAGAATTTATTAAAATTAAAATATTTAGTAGTTCTTGACAGATATTTATCGTGACTTTTAGCCACCTGATTATACATATTTCGACCCCCGCTAGAAACCACCAATGCCTAGATGTAACAGATCTTGGCAATCATTCCTCCAATATACACTCCCGGGATTTTGATATAAACTCTCATGCACACCTTCATCCCTGAGGCTATTTTCAGGGTATTTATGGCAATCCCGAGATGTGCCAACATACTCTTTTGTGTAGCAGAGAAAATGCGGCATAGCTGGCGGCTGGTTCGCAGCCCAGAATATCCATGGTCCTGGCGTCCGAATTATCAGATGAATCCCAATATTCCGGATGATGTACAGTAACGTTAAGTCCTCACCGTTCGTCTGGTTCTCCCTGACAAATACTAAGTGAACGAGGTCTTCCTTCGGCTAACTCTGTCATCTTTGACAGATCTCATCAGGGGCTTATATCCTTCTTGATATCGACCGCGATCATGAGGCCCAGGAATAAAATAAGGATCTCGAGGTAAAGTAAGTTATATAGGTAGGTAGGTAAGACATGGAGTCGAGGTCACTCACGAGGAATATCGCGCCAGCAAGAAAAACCAGCTCAAAGCCTCCAGAAAGAGCCTTACCTCGGACAATCGCATTCTGCGATCTCCAAGTCCTAAGAGCCCCAATTCCCAGAGTATATAGCGCTGCACCTTGGCAAACACATGACAGGGGCTTTCCAAGTACGTAGAATCCAAATGTTTTACTCGGAGTCGGGGAATGTTGGAGGCGACTATATCAAGGTCAGTACATATCTCTACTGAGCCACTTCATCAGGATAGCACTTACAAGAGTTGTGCAACAGTGATACCTAGCATTGACAGAGCCAAAGAGGTCCTGAGGTATCCAAGGAATGTCCGTTCAAGAGCTAGCGGTTATTGTCAGTGGAGAGTATGATATTGGCATTTTGGAGTTCGAGGATCAAGGGAACGTGATAGTCTGTAACTTTACAATTGCTTCACGCAATAGGCTGCCAATCTACGTAACCTGTATGGGTTATGACACGCTATAGCCACAGTACCAGGTGAGGGGTGCAATAGAAGCGCTCTTAGGAGTTTATCCTCAGGGATATCGTATAGGAGGGAAGTCAAGAATCTGGATATGCCATACCTAGATGATCTCTGCACGACTCATGGGGAACCGTGACACTGACTTGGTGTCTCCAAAATTTTGCGATGGCATAGGTGAAACGTTGTAGAGGGGTTGTCGGCTTTTTGGATATAGTTGTTGATTTCGAGGCTCGAGTGTAATTGCGTCTCAGTTGCTCCAGCTCTGTTGCTTCCAGTTCAGGCGCTTCTCCAACGGTTTCGCATTCTGCAGCTTGATAAACTGGAGGGGGTTCTTGAGGAGGGGGTCCTTCAGGCTCTGGCTCCTCCGTTGGGGCTTGATGGTCATGATCTGATGTCGTAGCCATGGAGCGGTTTTGCAAATCTGGAGGGGTGCGTCGGACACGGGGTACAGATTATTGCATGGATATTGCAAAGTAAAGCATACTCAAACTTGGCGCTACTAAGTTTTGAGGACCTTTCACTTCATTTTTGTGACGCCTTTTTCTGTTTTGCCGTTCTTTTGTCCGTACCGGAGCTGGAGACTAGATAAGATAAGATAAGATAAAATCCTTCCTGCACTTGCACTTGTGGGGCTTTTCCTTTCTACCCTATACTAGAAAATAGACCGATGTTTTACCAAAAAACAAGGATAAAACCCCTTATAAAACATAGGTATTTCTCTTAATTCTCATTAGTTTGCTACCCTATTCGCTACCTTAGGCCTCTACACGCGCTGTACGCGTTCTCTTACCTACCTACCTACCTATATTCTTATTCTTTATTTAACGCGTATCCTCTTTCTTACCTCTTCCTTACTCTATATAGATCCTTCTGTTTTGTCTGTTTTAATCTACTCTCTACTTATTACTTAGCTGTTCTACTTTAATTCGGCGGCCTCTAACGCGATAGAATCCCTTACACTATCCCTTACGCTATCCCTTACGCTATCCCTTTCTATTTAGTACTAGACTTATAACAAGCTCTGTCCTACTATTAACTTCGCTATTAATAAGAATAAGGCCTGTTATAAGAAGTGTTTTTAGTATAAGGTATATAGTTATAGCTTTTTATAGTAAAGCTAACCTTTTTATTACTATATAGGATCGCGTAGAGTAGACTATACTTAAAGATCTTAATCCTAATACTAATAAGGCGCGCTTAACCTGTCGAACCGCTACCTGGCTAGCCTCTAAGGCCGAGCTTATAAGTACTCTTACTCTAAAATAAGGACGCTATTACTAGGGCGCTATAATATACTTACCTATAGTGTCTATACCTTTACGGCCGCCTAGACGTCTTCTTAGTATAGACGTGCCTATACTTCTATACCTCTCTAGACGCCCTTATATAGACGTACCTATACCTCTATAGTAGTAAGGCCGCCTTTACTAAGATCTTATAGACGCTACTTTAACCTATAGAGGTTTTATAGTATATAAAGACCTTATTTCTAGACCGCTTTTAAGTCTATAAAAGGCTATTATAATAGATAACCTAGAATTACGGCTTTTTATATAATCCTCTAAGTTCTACGACCTAAACTTTACGCTACTATCTATCTCTAAGCTCTATAATCTATACTAGTTTTATAATCCTTAACTCTCTCTTAAACTCTTAGATCCTTTCTTAACCTTATAAGCCCTAGTTATATAGCCCTTACAATAGTCTAGTAGTAGTCTATAACCCTCTATAGCTAGAGACGATCTTGTGCCTAGTAGACCTAGTAGACCTAGTAGACAATACCTAGTAGCGTTCTTATCTAGCTTTAACATTAGGGCTAAAGCCTATAGTTTAGGCCGTATAACATAGGTCTGTTATTATTACTATACTTTATAGTAGGTTAAGGAGGGTATGTTATGTTACCTTAATAAGGAGGTAGATCTCTTACTTATTACTAACCTACTACGCTTTTTATAGAGACTTTTAGATAAGAGAGATACTTATAGTATAGACTTTCTAAGAAGTATATAAAGGTATAACTTAGCGTTTATACTTACGTCCTATAATTTTATATAAGACACTTGTTTTAATACATTATAAGGTATCTATGTCTTCTTAATCTATAGTAAGCTCTACTACCTTTAAGGGCCTCTAGACACGCTACTAGGCTAAACCCTTTCTTTTGCCTAGCTATTTATTTACGACCTAGATTATACTAACTTTATTTAGTTATAGACATTTATAGGTTTAAACCTTAAGGTCCTTTATAAGCTTTTGTAATAGCTTTGTAATAATAATCGTTTTATAAAGGTATATAAGACAGCCTATAAGCAGCTTTATAAACAAGAAGGTAAATAAGAAGGCGTTTTCTAGATACTATTAAATCTATAGATATAGCTAGTTCTAGAGTAAAGTATAGATTATCGTAAGTACAACCTGCCTATAACTAGCGACAAGCTTATAGCTATTATTACGTATAAAACGATAAAAGTAATATACTATAATATTGTTCTTATAGTCTATAACCTAAGTATAAACAAGCGCCCTTTTAAGTAGATTAATCTTATAACTATAGCGTATATACCCCTTTACTACGTACTTCTCTTTTTATATAAGGACTACGGCTAGTACTATAGGTTAACTCTTTGTAACTAGAACAGTACTTATTAGTAGACCTGTCTATAGTAGTACTAGTTCTATTAGTACTATCTTATAGCCTATAAAGGCTAGTTTTTAATCCTTTACTACTCTAGACGCCTATTCTAGTAATATTGTATTAATAGTTACGTCTATACTAAGTATACTACTCTTAACTAGATTAAGTAGAACTAGGATAAGATACAGGCCGATCTTTACTAGGGCTTAGTAGATACAATAACCTATAAGGATTATGTTAACCTTAAAGAGCTTAGCCGTAAGGTAATTATCCTTCTAGCCTCTTATATAAGAAGTAATAAGAGTATATAACAGTAGTATTAGGACTTAATAGCTATTGTCTATTACTTTAGTAAGCTAACCCTTTTTATTACCTTTATAGCTAACCTAAACTAGCTAGAGATTAGGGATTAGCTATTACTAGGCTAGACAGCTAGTAATCAGCCTAATATAGTAGTCTACGTCTTTTACTAAAAGGTTAATAAGCTACTAAAGGACGTTTATAAGGGTATTTTTAGGCTATATAGTACTTACGTTTATACGATTAAGTACTAGAAACGCGGCCTACTATACATATACCTGTTAGTGTTCCTTTAGGTAGACTTAGATTACCTTATACCTAACCAGATTAATAAAATTATCTATACTAAGCTTTTACCTTATTTATAAGACTTATTAAAAGAGTTAGCGAGAGTCGTTATAAAACAAATAACCTATAGCCCTTATAAGGATAACGACCTTAACTGTCCTTATATATAAAGTAAGACGCCTAATAGCCTAAAAACGTACTTAAAACTCTTTCTTAAGGCCTTTATAAAATAGACAATTATCTAAGAGAATTTGTACCTTAAATACTAACGCTAAGACAATAGGTATAAGTTTATAGTCCTTAAACTAGGCTATCCTAGCTAGGTAATAACTTATAATAATCGTTAGGTAGTTTCTTATAACCTGTACTTACTTTAAAAGTTCTACTCTTATATTAACGTTAAGGTTTATATAAGTATTAAGGCCGTAAAGTATATATATAAGTACGTTTATAAGGGTTTAGATCGTACAACTATAGCCGTTTTAGAAACAGACGATATTAACGAGATTATGTAGTACGTTTAGGCCTGTTATATAAGAGTAATAAAAGCGTACTAGCGTTTGTTTAATTTTAGGTATTACTAAGAGTTTCTATACGTTAAGTGTTTAGCCTTATACTTAAAGGGTTAATAGGCTGTCTTTTTTAATAAGGAGTTAACCCTCTCTTAGTTAGCTATAAAGGCTAAAACGGCTAAGTTAACCTTAATAGGCTTTTTTAACTATAATACTTATTAGGATCCTAATCTAAAAAGACTATACTAAGAGTTCCTTAACTATTATATATAGTATAAGAAGATAGAGTAGTAGCGCCTATAGTAAAAAGGGTAGGCTATTAGCTATATATACTACTATAGTCCTGTTATAGGTAAGTGTTACTACTTACAGCTCTTACTTACTATTATTCTTAGTCTAAAATCGTTTAAAGAGCTGTACAAATTTAATAGCTAAACCTACTTAACGTATTACGCTACGTATATAGTACGTAGGTTATATAAGAGTGATTAAGAGTAGTTTTAATACTTTAATAAGGCTAAGCTCTTTACGTCTAAGAGTAGGTTATAGACGCTTTTTTTATTAGGTATCTGTTATAAGGCTATTACAGATCTAACGGCTTTATAAGATTAGTTTAAGGATAATCTATATAACGATTTGTACTACTAGCTTAGACAGGCGCTTACTAGCTCTTTTCCTTTTCTGTTACTTAATCTTTACTACGATTATAGACTATTTCTAATAGAAAAAGGGCTTATAGATTTAGGTAAGTCTCTAGTAGGCGTATAGTTACTTAAAAACAGGTTTAATTAGTCCTAAGTAGAGGCTATAAGGGAACAGTACGATCTTATAATAGAGGCTACTCTAGCTAAAGATCTTAGATAAGATTTAAATAAGGGCTAGAAGGAGTACTTTAATACTATTATTATAGCTATAAAAAACAGCCTAGAAACAGCCTACTTTTATCTCTAAGGCCCTAGTAGTACTAGTAAGACGTACTTTTACTAGACCCTTTACTACTACTTTTAAGGCTTAAGTAAGGTAGTTTTTTATGTTACCTCTATAAGTATTATAGGCCTCTTACTACTAGGTAGCTATACCTTTTACTCTTTATTTAAGATCTTTGTCTTTATATATAAGGCGTCTAAGAGTATAATAACTAAGACTTTATAGGCTAGAAGGCTCTTACGACAGGCTAATTTAATTATCTAAGACAAGGTTCTTATATAAAACAAGTACTATTTTAAGGTAGTCTACTAGCTATTTATTAACTTATAAGGTACTATAGATAACGTTCTCTTTAGTAGTGTACTTATTATCCTTAGTAAGGACTTTACTTAGATCTTCTTAGTTATCTGTTATAGCTTGTAGGCTAATATCGTTATAGTATTCCTTTAAAATACGTAGATCTAGCTACGGCTTAAGTAGTTATACTTATAGACTAATATATAAGTAAGAGATAGTCTACTAGATTAATAGTTTGTATAGTAGATTAGTAGCCTACTATACGACCCTGCCCTTTATAGCTAAGTAATAATACCTTTATATATCTCTTAGCCTTAGACTATACTTAAGCTTATTAATACTATTTACCTAAAGGCTCTCTTATAGTAGGCTGTTACAGACTATACCCTCTTTTATAAACAAGCGATCCTGTCTACCTTAAACAAGACTATAATAGAGCTAAATTACTTAGTCTATAGTCTGTTTAATTATAAAGGTAACAAACGTACTTATATAGTAGTCGACTTAGTAGATATAAACAATACTAACCCGGACGTTATAGTACTACTAGTTAAGTACCTATAGAGTATTAATCTCTTGTTACTACCCTTATTAACCCTAAAA